ATATAAGCATCATCATAGTTTCAACAGACAGTTTATGTATATCAAATGTTAAATGTCTTTGTAGGGAGAATTGCATATCAAAACTGTCATTATTTTATTACTTATGAGTAGAACTTTTTAAGTATCTGGCATGATACATTTCCTTGGTCCACAGACACATGTTACCAGTAAACTGGCTTGATAAGTAGCATAACAGTCAGTGTGGTTGGAAACTAATTAAGCCGTCACTACTCAATTAAGTAATTAACAGACAATTGCAAGTGATAATACCCACCTGACACTAATTGCCCTGTTAATCCCTAATCCACCATGAGTTGACATTGAGCTCATCTTGCTAATGAGCTGTTGTGAGCGTAACGTGATGATAAACATCAAAGGTGGGGCAGGCTTTGATCAAGTGTTCTGTAGAAGAGATTATGTCACTTGTTTAATGTTTATTTAGGATTAGCTACATCCCTTGATGCGACCAAGACCATACTTGAGGTTATCAGACAGTTTGTCTGGATACAGCCTGACAATCGAGTTTTTGAAATACTTGACGCCCTCGTTCGGGAAATCCGTGTTAGAGGTGATTGAGAACAATGTATCGACACACGAGGTAAGCATATCGCAATCGAGCATCAGGTGTACAACGATTACACGAGGTTTGAGTGTTTGTTTACATTTGTGTTCCAAAATGGCTCCCTCGGCCATACAGGGAGTTATGGGTAAACTTGCTTGTCCCGGAATAACACGAGTTGGTCACGAATGACGAGCGGTCATTTCTGCAGCAGTTACGGAAAGAGGCGAGGATTGCCGATTACAGTTCATACAGGCCATATTGGGAGCCGCGGGGATTTCGACAGTGTGTATTAGGAAGTATACTTACGGCGTGTATGGAATATTTGTTTGCTTACCATGCCTAGATAAGGCAGTGTGACAAGGGATACCCCATCGGACGTAATATTCCTACAGCAGAAATGTTTCACAACCTCGTCAGAATTGGCGATTGCAGGGAGCTGAAGACGTGACTATAGACTATTATATGGTCTCTGATTCAGGTAGGGAATATGTGAATACTATTGATCACGTATTAAAGTTATTTATCATCTGTAAACCACTTATGACATATTCACTTTTATATATGTTAGTAATTGTGTGATTGTATTTTTGTAGGACAAGCAGCCTATCTATCATATGTTAATCCTTGCTAATGTATATGATGTAGAAATATGTTTGCTTACTTATATTCCTTTAACTTGATACTCTACTGTGACATATTTTCTTATTTCATACCGTACCGACAAATCAATCTGTGGTACTCACCAATCTATGAGAATGATTAATAGACTAAACTTACTTTTGCAGGTGTGAAGAATCAAGAACAAATTAAATGACAGAAGTTTTGCAACGGTGAACATAGTGAAGTGGAAGATAGGACATTTGAAAGGTATTGACATTTTCATTTGAACTATCATGTTGGGAATTTTGGCGGTGGGGATAGCCTAATGGTTGAAGTGCTGAAGACCAAGGTTCGATTCATGTCATTGGTAATGTGTGAAGTCCATGTCAGGTGTCCCTTGCTGTGGTATTGCTGTAATATTGCTAAAAGCAGCGTAAAACCATACCCACTCATGTGGGGATTCCGGGTTGGAATTGGTCCCCATGCTAGATGTAAGAGAGGGTTATACTATATAGCGAAAACGGCACCTCCCCGAAAGCGAAAACAGCTACTATTGCCTGGTGAAAACATCACCTAGTTATTTATTTTACCTTAGTTCTGAACATGCCCTAATACATGAAATGAAACTCGCATGGTCACTTGTAAACACAAATAACTGAGAAATGTTCAAAAAGGTTTACATTAGAAACTAGCCTCTACTCGCCGACTCTGATTTGGAGATGCAACTAAACTTATTGTCAAAATATAACATGCTTTGATTACTCTGAAGGAAAAAAAAGAGAAATTAAACTTGCAAACACAAATAATTGTGAAATGTTAATCACCTAAAAACAGTTTACATTAGAAATTAGCCGCTTCTCAAATTTACTCACGATTCTGATTTGGGAGGTGCAACTAAACTAATCACTGAAAGATCACATGCTTTGTAGTTTTAAGTAGCTTTACTCATATTAACTGATGTCAAGCTGAAACTGAGTCTGGCGAAAATGTCAAGAAATTGGACTACAGGTATACTATATATTTCATATTTATGTTAGTAAGTAGGAAATAAATAGTAATTTTATAGAAATTTCATATATATCTCCCCTTTCTGCCAGGAACCAACATCTCAAGAATGTCTCTCCCGATAACAGACAACGACTATTAGTAGCCCTTTTTGCCAAAACAAGGTGCTGTTTCGCCCGAGAAATCAGTGACATTTTGCTGAGGTGCCGTTTTAGCCTCACCCATACGAGATAACTTAATAGATCGGGTGATCAGGCTCGACCTGGTTCATGGCATCTTACAGTGACCATCTGACTGACCAGTGACTGTGACCATCTGACAGTGTGGATTGTTGTTCACATTATCAATCAATGGATTGTCTAGAATCTTGGACCTACCTTTAGAATACACTACCACAAACTTTTCAAACAGGTCACAGTACCCTGTGATGTAATTTGTAGTATTTTATTGCCTGATACACTTGCAAAACATTGCCCTGTGATGTCAGGGGTCATTGGGTGTGCATATATATGCTCTTTTCAGTGGCCATCGTCTCCACATGCTATGTTGTTGCATAAGCCCAGCAATGTTGACAGTTTTAATTATTTGTTTACTAAATATTGCCTGCGGCTGTGCATTTTATAACAAGTGCTTGTTTATGAAAGCACAAGTATTTTTTATATGTTTTTTAGCTTATTTTTTACTTATTCCAGTGGTTAAAAGGATTATACATTGAAACTTAAAATGTGCAATAAGTGGGTTATAGCCAAAACGACACCTTCGCAAAACGTCACCGATTGGCGAAAACCTCGCCGAAAGCGAAAACGGGATTATTACTTGGCGGAAATGACACCTTTTTTTTTTTTACCTTGGTATAATAAATGAATTTAAACTTGGATTGATAACTTGCAAAGACCAATAATTGTAAAATGTTAAAACAAGTTTATATTAGAAATTAGCCTTAACTCCAACTTATCCTATACGCGACTCAATTTATTGTGATAACATGCTTTGAAGTAAAATAAATGGGTTTAAACACACATTGTCTCATACAAACACAAATAGTTGTGTAACATTAAAACAAGTTTACCTTAGAAATTAGCCCCCTACTCCAATTTACTCACCGACTCTGATTGGCAGACGCAGCTAACATATTGTGAATATATTATACGCTTTGAAGTTTAAAGTACTCAATGTTAAGCTGAAACTGTATTTAAGAATTCTAACATGGTGCTGTCAGATCACAATTATTCACAATGGCCTTTCGATGTGTCATTTGAACATGTTGAAAGGTTTTACAAGAGATATTTGTCAGTAGTGCTGATGCTATTTCTGCCCTTACATTACAATAAATAAATCAACAAATATGGAACTATTTTATTGATATGTGGCAACAAACATACTTCAGGCTGTAAATTTTACAAATGGGTCAATATCTATGTCATCTTGTTTCTCCTAATGTCTGAGCAGGTGCTCGCTACAATTTCGGAACGTCTTTACAGCTACAGACAGAAAATACTAGAACAGTTAACTACTACAAATGAAATACTGTATGGGTTTCACTGAAAGTGTCGCCACAACTGAAAATCTTCAAATACCTGTATTTGGCTATAAATTTGACTATGGTTTCTGTCAAATTATCTATTCCTGCCTCAGGTAAGGATGCAGTGCACACATATATCACAGATATACTCCTGAAGTCTATGAAAGTTATTTACAAGTGATACACATAAGGACTTAAAGGAAGAGAATGTATTGATGTGAACTTATTTATTATGAGGATCACAACATTTCGGAGTATATACTTACTCCTTCATTAGGTGAATATTCACGATTCTGCTCCAATTGCTTAGATCAATATTCATATTGTCAATCACTGGGTCGTCTGGTACAGACGCGATTATTTACAGATCACTGCCATATGGCTGGAAGATTGCTGAGTGTGGCGTTAAACAACAAACACAACATGTTTTTACTACCTGCCGTTGTGGATACCATTTTGAGGATCCTATACATAATGTCTTTTCATGTCATAAGTATTGCCATCTTCTTAATAATATGTACTACTATTGTTTTGAACATATTTATTTCAAATTGTAATGGATTTGCAAACAATCTGATTCCCTATCTATATGCTAATCAAATACACAAAAAGTATTAATTACAATAAAGTACAAGTTCAATACTATCAGTAACGTAATAATGTAGTTATTAAATTGTAAGTAGATAATTTAAGTATATTACCATATTGATTAAATCTAACATATTCTGACATAAATGCATGTATTGATTGCATATTTCAATGTTTTCCTGTACATAATTTTCAACATTACCATATTAAGCCATTTCTATATCATATTCATGTGTACAATAATACATATTAGTTCTAATAATGGCGTAATTTGGAGTGAGTTGAGTGAGTGAGTGAGTTTGTTGTTTAACGCCGCACAACACTATCTTTGGTGGCCTCGGATACCTGTTGTATGTATGTACACTATCTTCGGTGGCCTCGGGTACCTGTTGTATGTATGTACACTATCTTTGGTGGCCTCGGGTACCTGTTGTATGTATGTACACTACCTTTGGTGGCCACGGGTACCTGTTGTATGTATGTACACTATCTTTGGTGGACCCTAATAAACAGAGACTCCATCAACTCAGTTCGAATTGTCAGTTCATCGCTTGACTGAACATACACGAAATTTTATTGGCATGACATCTGTTATCATTTGAATCATCCACATAATGTATTACAGTTTACAGATGACACGCTATACAACTCTAAACTCAAAGAAACATCAAATAATGATTATTGCACATGTTGTCTCGTTTATGCGCCAGGCTATAATATACCAGACAGCGATGCTTCATGGTTCCATGCAGATCATTTGTGCTTGGAGTTAAACACATCACGGCGTACACAGCAGAGTCTCGCCAAGCAGTACGATATCGTCACTGCCGCACGATTGAGTGAATTACACGTTGTTGATATTGAGGATTGCTGTCGCTGGACCCGCGGGTGTGTGGTACCATTCTAAGACGTGATCAGCGTTGCTGGTACGACAACAGGAGCGGACCACCTGTAGCAGGTAGGCTTCCTATGTTGTACAGATCAACAAGTGAGTGAGTGAGTTAAGAATGTAACGTCGCATCGGCATTATCTCAGCCATATAGCGACGAGACCAAGTTAATATATTTACAATTTAGTCATTTATGCAAAGTTGTCAAACATATTTGAGCATACTATATTTAGAAACAATTCATGAAACATTCGAGCATTAACAATATTATATAAACAGTTTTAAAACACGGGCTATAGGCCACCAGTAACCAAAGCTAGGCCACCTCGCTGGGGATGATGGGGACTTACAGTACCTCTGCTTCCTGCATGATACCCCAGCAGGATTTACGTCATCACTTTAGCCACTTGTGGTTGTGCACAATGCTAGCCAATATTAAAAAATACTCATCAATGAGTTGGCTTGAAAACACTGGTTGATGATAGTTACATTGATTATGATAGGATTCCGTGTCACACAGGGGGGCATTATTTTTACGGTACTTTAACCTCCTGGACAGAGCCTTCAATAATGTCTGTTAATAGTAGCATGACACCAAAGTTGAAAACAAGCAATTTATTATTCACATACATATTTAAAGTTTATCATTCAGACCAATTTCTTTCAAGTAATTTATGATGACATGCCCGCTGACATGGGAAAAGAGATCTTTTAGATTTTCACTTTGATAATGTGAATCCCTTGCAATTGCAAAGTCCACACAGTCAAGCAATATATGCTTGACGGTGAACCTTTCATCACAAGGGATACACTTAGGATGTTCGTCCTTATCTGTCTTAAGCAGATATTCGTGTGTAAACCGACTGTGGCCAAAACGACATCGTCGTAAAACGACCTCGTCATGTCTTGACTGACAACCCAAGTAGGTATGACCGATTGTTGGTTTCAATTCGTGTAGTGTATTGCTTCCTACTTGGGTGTCCCACCTCTTTTGCATGAGATCCCGAGTATAAGATTTGATAGTTGGTTTGAAATCACTGTACAGGATCAGTAGTGGAAATAACGTTTTGTCAAGAGCTGCTTTGGCTGCAGCATCGGCTTTTGAGTTACCTGTTATGCCTACATGACTTGGTAACCAGCAAAAGACGATGTCACATTGGCCAGTAGAAAGATCATTTTGAGTTCTAAAATGTCAAGGATAATAGGGTGATATGGTGAGACACTTTAGGTGCCTGAAGGCAAGATAACGAATCAGAGAAGATGATGAAATTTTTAGATTGGTTTTGTTGTTGAATATAGGTCAAAGCTGTTAGGATAGCTTTGGCCTCAGCAGTAAAAATTGAACTAAAATCTGGGATTCTTGAGGAGACAGTTCTGGATCCAATGATGATGGCACTTGCAACTTTGCCACCATCCTTGGACCCGTCTGTAAAAATGGACCTGTGAGAATTATATTTGGAGCGTAATTGGTTATATGATTGTTGATATACCAAAGGATTGGTATCTGACTTTTTTAGATTGGTTAGAGTGAGGTCTTCTTCTGGCTTCACCATCTGCCAGGGAGGAGAAGACAGAAGACAGTGAGGTGATATAATATTTAAATCTATTTTAGCTGCATTGATGTGTGGTTGAATTCTGATTCCAAGTGGTGGAACCAGGTTTGATAGATTTTGAAACAGGTTTTCATATTGAGGGTTGAAAACACAACTGTACGCTGGATTAGATTTATTTGAGTGCAATTTAGTGATATATTGCAGTGAAAGTTTAATGCGGCGCAGTTCGAGTGAAGGTTCATCTGCCTCTACATACAAACTGTCCATGGGAGAGGTCCTAAAAGCTCAAAGACAGAGTCTTAGGCCTTGATGGTGTCTAGTGTCCAATTTTTCTAAATTGTTTTTGCAGGCTCCACGATAGACAATGGAACCATAGTCTAGTTTGGAGCGTATTAATGATCTGTACAAGTGAAGGAGGGTGGTCTGATCCCCTCCCCACTCGGAATTTGAAACGACTTTTAACAAATCGAGAGCCTTCAGGCACTTTGCCTTGAGATATTTAATGTGTGGTAAGAATGTGAGATGACGGTCAAATATAAGGCCCGGGAATTGGGCTCCTCTACTACCTTGATAGGAGTACCATCTTAAAATAAATCTGGATCCATGTGAGGTTTGTATTTACGACAAAAGTGAATACAGTTTGTTTTGGATTTAGAAAATTTGAAGCCATTTTCGTTTGCTAATTTTTGAATTTTGTTAAGACAGAGCTGTAGCTGTCTTTCTATTGTATTCATATTCATACCACGACGTGAAATGTTGAAATCGTCCACAAAAAGTGAACCATCAACGCTATTGTTTAATACTTTAGTGAGACTATAAATTTTGATGCTGAAAAGGGTGACTGATAGTATGCTGCCTTGGGGGACGCCCTGATCTTGATCGAAATGATCACACAGGGTAGATCCAACTCGTACTTGAACTTGTCTGTTGTTTAAACATTAAGATATGAACTGAGTTCATCTGCCCCTCCATCCAAATTCATGCAAATCTTTTAAAATACCATGTTTCCACGTTGTATCATATGCTTTCTCTAGATCGAAAAAGATTGATACAGTATGTTGTTTGTTAACAATGGAATTTTTAATAAACGATTCTAAACGCACCAAATCGTCAATGGTACTTCTGTTTTTTCGGAAACAACACTGGATGTCACTCAGGTTATTGGTCTCCAGGTACCAGACTAATCGATTGTTGACGATGCGCTCCATGGTTTTACAAACACAGCTAGTTAATGATATTGGACGGTAGTTGGATGGATCTGTATGATCCCGTCCTGGCTTTGGAATACGAGCTATAATAGCATTGTGCCACGAAGAAGGGAAATTTCTGGTTGTCCATATTTCATCAAATATACTAAGTAACGTTTCCAAACATGAATCGGGCAAGCGTTTCAGGAGCTGATAGTGGATGCTGTCGGCTCCTGCTGCAGTGTCTTGAGATTGCCCTAGGGCAGTATATAATTCATGGAGGGAAAATGTTTCGTTATAGTACTCCCCGTTATCAGAGTTAAATTGACTTTTTTATTTTCCTGCTGTTCTTGAAACCTCTGAAATTGAGGATTATAGTTTGATGATGAGGAATGGTTTGCCAAAGTGTCACAAGGTTTGTTGGCAATTTCGGATTTAGTAGTTAAAAGTGTATTACTATCTTTGAGATGGTGAACTTCAGATTTGGATCCTTTGCCCTTCATCTTTTGAATCATGTTCCACACCTTGGACATGGGTGTGCGGGAATTGATTTTTGATACAAAGTTCCTCTAGGATTCACGTTTATTCTGTTTAAAGGTACGTCTCGCTTTAGCGCCCGTGATTTTAACGTTATTCAAATTGTGGAGAGTTGTATGTCGTCGGAAATATTTTTCAGCTTTCTTCCTATTTTTCCTAGCTCGTTTACATTTATTATCGAACCATGGTTTACGTATATGAGGGTTTGCAGAGGACTTAGGAATGCTTTCGTTTCCAATAACATTCAATATACCTGAAAAAAGTTGTATAGGATCAGGAACATTCCTGAAAGTGTTTGGAATAAAGACCAATTGGCCTTTGTAAAGTTCCACCTTGTTGACGGTAGATATATGATATTACCATCATTGAAGATGCATAAATCATTGTTTGAGATAAAATCTTCAAGGACTTCTCCCTTATTATTTGTGTCAGTACTCCCCCATAGGGGATTATGACTGCTTGAATCGACCATGATGATACAGGGCTTCGGGAGCTGATCGTACAAAGTCTGAAGATCTGATTGACGGATAGTTGAGGAAGGTGGAAGATACAATGAACATAATGTAAACACTATGTTCAAAGTAACACGGACAGCAACAGTTTGTAGAGTAGTATTGAGTGGAAGAGGGCTATGGATAATGTCCTGCTTCACCAGGATAGAAGAACCTCCTGTAGCTTTATCACCAGGAGGGGAAAACGAACTGTACTGATGGATATCAAATAGATCTGTGTTTTTTAGATAGGTTTCTTGGAGACAAAAAGCTGACGGTTTAAAATCTTGGATTAAAAATTGTATTTCATTAAAATTCTTCTTAAGACCTCTTCAATTCCATTGTATAATGTTTTGTGGATTCATGGTGGTGCTTCCACAGGAGAAATGTCACGCGAACGTGAGGAAGACTTTGTAGTACTCCTATCGGTATCATGTGGAGATGGAGTTACCTCCATGTCCAGAGGTCCAAAGGTGTTATGGACCTCTACTGGGATATCTAAAGGAGAGGTGGCCTTTGGTGTTTGCAGCTGTTTTTGCTGCTTCTTTTTCAATAATTTCTTTTCCCTGTTTGTAAGTTTAGTAATTTCTGGTTCTGGTTCTGTTTCGGGTTCATGTGTTGGTTTAGGAGTCTGAGATTCAACATTTTTAACAGTTTTGTTTTTGGGAGGAGTCACAGACGAGGGTGTCACAGCTGGTTTATGGAGTAGCAGTAGGAAGTGGCTGAACAGACTTGACCCATGTCAGATCAGTCTGGCAGTCGATAGAGGCAGTAGTGACAGGAGGACGAGAGACAGCAGCAGAGTAAGAGAGAGTGGAAGTGGTTGTGGGAAGACCCACAACCCTCTTCTTAGCTTCGTGGTACGAGACATTTTGTTGTGTTTTGACTTTAATGAATTGGGACTCGCGTTTCCACACAGGACAGGATTTTACAGAAGCTATATGGTTCCCACCGCAGTTTGCACACTTCACATCCATCCTGCAGTCAGTGGTCTCGTGTTTGTCACCGCAGCGGTAACAAACAGCGGAGGCATGGCAGGGCTTGGATCCATATCCAAACGCTTGGCAGGTGTAGCACCGGAGGGGATTGGGGATATACACCTCCACTCCGATGTTACAATAACCAGCTTTGATAGATTCAGGGATAGTCGTTCGGGCGAAAGTGAAGAGGTAGGTGTTGGTCGGTCAGACCACACCATCCCTACAGTGAATCGTTTGACAGCTGTGACGGACTGTTGGTCAAGTTTCTTGGCTATATCGTCTTCGGACATGTCGGACAGGCAGCGAGCTCTGTCACGGACAATGCCCTTACACGAGTTCAGTGTCTTGTGCACTGAGACAACAACTTTGATATTGACAAACTCATTTAAATCGAGAAGATTGATAGATCGTTGCCTCCGTGCACATTCTACAAGGAGAGAGCCAGAACGATGCTTTGTGACATTTGCCACCTGACCGCAGATACCAATGATACCTTTGGGGATAGCAAATGGATTCAGTTTGATTTGTTCTTTGTCTAAAGCTTCTATAACCAAGAAACGCGGCCAATAGTCGGATCGAGTGTGCGTAGTGTATTCAACAGTCTGTACATGTCGTCTTTTTGAACCAGGTTGAAGCCATGTCGAAAGGAAAATAATTCAGCACCCCTTTTCCCCACCCACCATGGAGTGTCTACAAGGACAGTCTTATGCTGTAGCGGATCTCCAAGCTGCAAAGACTGGGGATAAAGGGGTGGTATACTCCAGCAAATTTGACATGAAGAGCTATAGCATTCTACCAAATTAAAGGTCAGGCTGGTTCGGCCCTTGACAATCAATTGGAGAAGTACAGAACTCGGAGGTCAGCATCACCAGATTGGCCCATGAGCCACCGCCTTCTGGGCATAAGACTCCAATCAACTTTTATACACTGATAGATATGATATAGACATTTAGAATACATATATTTTTAAATACCAAAATTGTGCGTGAAATATTTAATGCACAGGGCATGACACGACCAGGCGATTGATAGAATCGGGCCCATTCTACCGCCCGTCTAGGCAAAGTTAGGGTCGAAGTGGTGTGTTCGACTAAGGAGCACTATTGCCGGCTCCGTCGCCCTCAACCACCAGAATCCCTTCCTCTGCCGACACAGGGTCGCAGCCCACGCCAAACAGGCTGCCCAATTCGGTCGCCTTTCACGACCAGCATTGGGGGCTGAGGACACATTCTTGTTTACCTTCCCCGGGTCCCCACAGGGACAGATCAACCCGTACCATCTCAGAGTAAATAATGACGGCAGAGCGAGGCGGTTTCCGTTACAACATGTGAGCAGAAACCAGCTATACATCCGGGCCTTTACAACAACATGGTTGAGGAGAGGGTGTTTGGGGGCATAGATCTTTATAATAACATACACGTAATGGATGAATGCGTCAGTCCTGTACACCCCTGGAATCTGTTCATGTATGTAAACAACAAATTCAATTACAGATTACAAAATGCAAATTTGTGGTTATCACAATATTCAAAGGATGTGTGGCAATACATTTCGTGCAGATAACACGATAGATATCTACAAAGAACAGGCATTTTATGTTTTGGGGACAAGAGATTTGGGAATTGGGCACTGTTCTATAAACGACTGTGAAATCATATATTTAGCGTCACAATGAGCGATATGACGTCATAATTGCGACGTGCGGCATTGGAAAGCTCGCTTAGTTTTCTTTAGTGATGCCTACCTCATGTTAGCTTACCAAGCTGCCGTCCTTATATGCTTTCAATCTCTGTCATATGTTTGAGTGAATTACTACGGTGTAAACAAACTGCTTGAGCATATGCAGCGCCATATGTTGTTTAAAAGGCTGTTGTCGGTGATTCCATACTTCAAATCGACAACCCACTCATCACAATGGACTCAACCCATGCCGCTTCATTATGAAAACAGTATTTTTATCTCCTAATCAGTAACATAGCGCTTCAGTAAACGAATGCATACACTGGTGAAGCAGTGATGCAGTGATGGACGCATACACATGGAATACACAGTGAACAGCTCCTGAAGAGGACACTGTCGGTATAACGTCCTGCACGACAATCAGCGGTAGTGGAATTAATTTTCTATTTTACTCTTGTGAAAAGTATAAATGTGACCATATTGAGAAAAAGCAGCTGTACGAGGTTAGTGAAATACAGGAAGAGTTCACAACGAGATGCGCGAGATGTAAGTACACCTGCGAGACAATATTAATGTATCAGACCGAGGTAGGATATAAGTTCACCTACGAGACAATGTATCACCTTGATGTAGGATACAAGTACACCTGTAACACAATGTATCACCTCGAGGTAGGCTACAGGTACACCTACCACACAATGTATCACACTGAGGTAGGATACAAGTACACCTGCGAGACAAAGCATCACCTCGAGGTAGACTACAAGTACATCTGTAAGACAATGTATCAGACCGAGGTAGGACAATATATCACCTCGTGTCAGGCTACAAGTACAACTGCGAGACAATGTATCAACTCGATGTAGGATACAAATACATCTACGAGACAATGTACCACCTCGATTTAGGATAGTACACCTGCGAGACAAAGCATCACCTCGAAGTAGGATACCAGCACACCTGCGAGACAATGAATCACCTCGATTTTGGATACAAGTACACCTACGAGACAATGTATCACCTCGAGTTATGCTACAAGTACACCTGAGGGACATTGTATCAAACCCAGGTAGGCTACAAGTACACCTGCGAAACAATGTTACAATAGACAACCTTTGACAGAGAAAATCCCTATGTCTCTAGCTTCCTTTATAACAAATTTATAACCACTTCCGGTTTAGTAACATCACTTTCGGTTCAAGAAAGCATTTGCCCAAATGCAGTACAACTTTGAAACAGAAAAGCCTTCGCCTGTAGCTGCCGCAATAACAAAGTTATTTCCTATTTTAATTTAGTTACCTTTGCCTCCAATCTAAGCAATGAGATTCCTAGATATCATGTTCATCAAATTTCAGGTATAAATATCGTGTACAAAATATTTAGAGGGCGTCTGCTTCATACCGAGTGACCTTGACTCTCCACGACATCCAATCAAAATTAGTTGCTTAGAGTTCATCATAACTGATTGCAGAAACGTGTGATATGTAGCACTTTGACTGAAAGTCAACAATGAGCTTATACCATGGCCTGGTTGGCCGTCGTCGTTGTCGGCGGTGGCATTATGGGAGCATTTCTGGGATCCCGGTGTTACCATATATACTCAGGCGAGTAAGCAGAGATATACGGCCATAACTGGGTCGTTGACAAGATTTAAATGTACAAGAAAGGTGTTTGCATGACATGCAAAAACAGAAGCGTTTTATCTGAATCACCTTCCCATTAGAAACATAACATGAACCATTTCACCACATCCGGTGATAGGTGTTCTCACACATGACTAAAACAGTACACTTTTGACAGAGAAATTCCTGTGTCTCTACCTGACACTTCCCCAGAGATATATGTGCAGCTACTTCTGGGCCTAATCATATAGGTTTCAATCCGTGAAGGTCCAGGGTAGAATAGGTCTTCAGCAATCGATGCTTGGCGTAAAAAGCGACCAACGGGATCGGGTGGTCAGGCACGTATCCCAATTGCGATGCCCATGATGCCAGTCAATGGATTGTCTGGTCCAGACTCGAATATTTACAAACCATCGTCATATAGCTCTAATATTGCTGAGTGGGGCGTTAAACAACAAACAAACAAACATCATATAGGTTTCGGTATTTGCAATATTTTTATTTTACATTGTGCATTCAACTTTGCATCATCAACCGAAACTTTGTACTGCCATGTGTTTTTCAAATTGTAATGCAAATTGGTACACGTGAAATTAGATGTGCGGCTCCGTTGGTTGCGATAAATTAAATATTTGACGTTTATTTGACACTGTCGTCTACTTCTTCCCACCAATGAAGACACCCAAATATAAGAGGTTCGTGTCCGCCACAGTACCCATAATGAAAATCTATTATTCTGTCCTGTTAAGCGTTCACTCTTCACGCCGAAGACCCGGGTTCGATTCCCGATATGGGTATGTGTGAAGCCAATTACTGGTGTCCAACGCCGTCATATTGATTGAATATTGCTTAAAGAGGCGTAAAATCAGACTCACTCACTCAATGTTGAAAATGATACGAACATTGGTCTATGATGGAGGAGTGGAGAGCACTTAATTCTCTCAATATGTGCTTCAGGCTGTGTAAACACCATCTCCCCAGTTTGCCGCACTCAGCAATATTCCAGCTTTATGACGACGGTCTATAGATAATCGAGTCTGGACCAGACAATCCAGTGATTGATATCATGAGCATTGATCTGCACAATTCGACATACATAAACCAAGTCAGCAAACCTGACCACCCACTATTTGACCTTACAGGAGGCTGCACAATTAAAATGAATATTCAGGTACACAGATATTTTTCTGCAAATCTGTTTCTGGGTATTTCAGTACAGATACAATCCCGGTTAAATCATCATGAACAGCTTCAGCATCGTCGACTACGTGGTGTTCGGCGCCACCATCCTCATGTCACTTGGCATCGGTTTGTATTTTGCCCTGTCTGGTGGACGTCAGCGATCTACATCAGAGTTTCTGGTCGGAGGTCGGAACATGCAGATTATCCCCGTCGCGTTGTCGCTCGTGGTGTCCTTTGAATCATCCATCATGGTCCTGGGTTATCCAGCTGAAGTGTACGTGTATGGCGCCCAGGTCTGGATCACCTGCTTCAGTTCATGTCTGACGGTGTTCATTCTTACTGGTCTACTGGTTGTGCCTTTGATGCATCCACTCAAGATAATGTCTGTTAATGAGGTACGTGCAAACACTACTATATCTAATAATTAAATTGTTAACATAATGTCTATGAGGTACTTGAAGCAGTTTGCCTATTTTATTTGGTCAATGTTAGCTATTATTATAAATATTGCAACTTAGCATGTGCATAAAATGTTTCGTTATGCAAAGGATAGTCTTTTGTTACTAAATATAACATTTGTCAAGTAGCATTGGCCCTTTTCTCAGATAATCGTGACACGAGCTATTAACATACCAAACTTGTTACAAATAATGTTGACATCACATACAAACTATTTCACATGAAGGTCTTACTTGTTGAGTTTATCAAATCCCCTTCACAGAGTCAAAGGTATACTTTGCTTTCTTGTCAAGGTGTCAATCTTATGATGTGAGTGCTTACTTTCTGTAGCAGTGAACAATTTGAAGCTATAAATTTTAAGAATCACCGTGAATAATCTGCATTTTTTAATGAATTAATGTAGAAACTTTATTTCGTATTTGAAAACATCCTATTTTAACAACTTTCGTTTAATATAAAAATACACATTCACTATTATCATAAATGACTGAATGAGAAGAAGGCTGTCTGTTATTAAAATTGTTCAGCAGTCAGGTATAAAGAGGAGGGACTTGATATAATGGATCATGGCCAATCATGCGGAGTGACACAAGGCTTGTCGTCAACATTTTGCATATTCAAAACATGAACAATCAAGAGAAAGCCCTAAATATAGCAGAACTGAATCTCAGGAGCGAAAGTTTAAACGTTCACGTCAATCATGTACAATCTTTGACGAAGGATGTATTTTCTGTTGGGACTATCAAGTGATTCTACATAGATGTTCAATGTCAGATCTTCATGAGAGACTGAGATAAATGGCCACCCTTTTCCAAGATACACCATTGGCCTCACTGCCGGAGGGGATTTCATAGCTACATATCATAATAAGTGTTGGATAGCCTACACAAAATGCTTCAAACATATGGACAGCAAGAGATCAGACTATTCAATTGAATAAGCTTTAACAAATGACAGAATCAAAGTCAGCGATCTAACCCACTTAGCCACCGAGGCTTCCACATAAATGAAAGTCCGACAACTGGTAGTCTAGATCACGTATTTTGTGTACCCAATGTCAACGAGCGTTTAAAGACTACATATGTTTATAAAACACGTTGCTGACATATACTAATGAAATTAAACATTGAACAGTTCAAGTATTTAACTCCCTGTACACCAACAAAAAGGGGTTGGGGGCTGAACAATATTCAGTGTATTCACCATATATAAGACTTAATATCAACAAATATTTATTTGGCTAAGAAGACACTACACCAAGCTATGTCAGACTTCTAAGAATATAAGCTGTTTCGGAGCATGGCCTACTTGAAGTCGGGGAAATCCAGTTGACATAAATAATCAAAGTTTGATATATTTGGATGCAAAATTAATACAAATCGTAAGGCTATGTTCTAATGTTTCAGTATATACAAAGGCGTTTCAATTCCCGTGCAGTCCGCCTCTTTGGAACTTTCGTTGGTCTTTTATACTACGTACGTCATTACATTTATTGCATGCCTGGTTGTAAATGTTATGTCAAATATGCCGGTCAAGGGTCTGTTCCGAGTTGCTTCCATTTCGTGTACCAACATGCACACAACATGTTACATTGTTTTACTTTTCCTATATTATGGATCTGTGACATTGAAACAAACTGTCCCAAATCCGTTATTATGCCATTAACGTATCATAAAGAAATAGTATATTAATTATATATATCCTAACGTGATGTGTTTTCGAGCCCCTACGAAGTATTTCTGATCACATTGATGTCTTCATTGGGCTTTAAAGCATTTACCTTGATTACGTCATTAAGGGCGTGGTCAAATATTGTTAATGGCAAGGGAAACTTTCCTCACAACTCGTGAGACTGTTGATTTGTCTATCCCTATTGTGTCGCCAGTGATTTGCAGGAAACTTCCACTTGCAAAGAAACGTAGGGCTACCAGAACCTGGTAAAATGATTATAAAGAGGCTAATGATAGGTTTGACAAATTTTCAAATATTTCCATAATACTTATATCTACTTTGTTATTTATTTGGCTGCGTTATCATTATGTCTCAGTAAGTAAAGTGTTAATGATTGATATAAGATGGGCATGCTTAAATTAATTAAAAGGTTCTTTTGGCCGGAATCGAACACGCAAAACTGTTCTCTTTAGTGTGCACGACACATTTAGTTTAAGTCATTAGAGTAACTCCCCCTTATGAAATTCATCATGGCTGCCAACGCCAAGTTGAAAACGTATCTTTCTAGAGTGAAGTGAAAGGGATCCATGAATTTACATAACTTTCAATTGTGAAATATAATTACAAGGTTGGTATCATTAGGCTTCATATATGACTTTACCAACAAAGACCAGTGAGATGACCCACGCAGAAGTGCTGGCATTCATTGTAAAGGTTGCCGCTATAAATTTGCCCGATGTGGCGCTATAATTATATGTTTATTTCAAACTAGCTGAGTTTCTAGTGACGACGTGTTAATTATCAAACATTTACCTGTAGTTCAACACTAAGTGCGTGCGATCTTGCAGATTTGGGCTGTATTTCATCTCTCACAAGATCGCAGACGTATCTGATGCTTGCCTTCCCAACTTCTTCATCGCTCATGGATTCGAGGTGTTGAGTTCGTTTTCTGAAAACACGGTCTTTCCTTGTGCGTTCAAACAATATGTTCGCTGCCATGTTTGTTTTTAATGACACGCTAATGATGCCCCAGAACCTTCAATAAGTTAATGACGCGCTAATGACACCACGACGTCATTAAAACGTTAGTACAACTGGATTTAATGATACATTAGTTAATGAAGGTTTAATGACACGTTAATGCATCATTAAAGTTTGATACAACCGGGTTCAGGTCTTATGATTTTTAAAGTGGCATCGCCTCGCCGAGTGAGACGAGTCAGTCGGGCGCCATCTTGTTTCTGTCACATGATTTCGAGCCCCTCCATTACAGTTTAAAATAGAAGCTCAATATGATCAGTCTCATGACATACCGGAACATTTACAAACAACAGCTGATTCATCATCGGTGCATACGATCGTTGTGGTGCACAAATACCATCAGATCAATTTTGATTAAAATGTGCATTAGTTAAAAACTAGATTTTGATGTTTGTTTTCATTACTTATTGAATGTCTCGTGTATCTTAATTCGCAACATAACTTCAGCCCCAATAGGCGAACACATTGATGTCTTCATTGGGCTTTAGAGCATTTACGTTGATAACGTCATTAAGGGCGTGGTCAAATATTGTTAAGGACCTCGAAAAGGATGAGACTCGAAACAAATGACGTTGGGATATATAAATTGCTTTTTTCATACAAACAAAAATATACTGAAATAGAAATATTTTCTTTTAATTCTAAAGACTTAGCACAAAAAGGATTCACTTAATCATGCTCTTACTTATATTTGTATTTGTAGGTATTCTACATTGGAATAGTAGTGTTTGGGACAGCCATAGGTCTCGAAGAAGGTGATTATATATACTCTTTAAAAAAAAGAAACGCAAAGCCAGATTTGTGTGAGGTAGGAAAAAACATTTATAGAAGAAACCGTACAAGGTATTGGTCCTAAATGTTGTGGATATAACTCGTGGTGATTGTAGTCATCTCATGGAAACTATAACACATAAACCTCTTCATTTTGCATCTCTTTGTTCGCTAATTCTGCTTTTATGGCCAAAATATCCGTATAATCTCGTATGTACTGTTATCTATTTATTATTATGCATCAGCTTTAGAATGGCACGCTTGTAATATATAATTGTTTGAAAACTAAACAATACATATCTAATTGGCTTGGTAATAATAAAGCTGTTTTGTGATCAGTGCCTCCATAACGGAAAATTGATTAATTTATAAAGCTTTGTTATTCTGGAAACTTGTGGCATGGACCTTTGTGTTAAAAAAATGTGCAGCATTTTTTTTGCATATAAAGCAATCACTTGTTTAGTTGAATAGTGTGGGTATTTAATTCTTGCCAATAGCTCGGTTCACGGTTGGCCTTTTCATGTGTGTTTAGGAAAGCTAACAATGGAGTTAACATAGCCTTGACTCAAGTAAAACTGTTTTGAAATGATACCCAGGCAAACATATCTCTATTTCAGTGACTGATATACCTAAAGTGTGGTCAATGTTCCTCGCCATCTTTGCTGCCATCATTTATACAGCAATGGTAAACTGTACAAGCAAATCTGTATGGGTAGTGTTAAGATGTGAATGATGAATGTATGAAATGAACATCCCTTCAAGTTAATAATATCAGCGTGAAGTAGTGTTCGACTGTGGACGAGGCTTTACGTCTGCCACTATCATTTGAAACCATGATGCAATGTGAAATATCACACATTATTACAAGTAACCCGTGAAGATCCGGGTTAGAACCCGCAACCCATACGTAATAGGCGACTATGCTTGTCGTAAAAGGCGACTAACGGGATCGGGTGATCAGGCTCGCTGACTTGGTTGATGCATGTCATCGTATCCCAATTGCGTGGATCGATGTTCATGATGTAGACCACTGGAATGTCAACACTCGATTTTTTAGAGGCCGCCATGATCAGCGTCCATTTTCAACCACCATACCCCATGTTCTTTACCCACCCTAAATGTGTTTTTGAGTGAGGCTGTTGCTATGTTAATGAGTTAGTGAGTACTTTGCTGTAAAAATTGTTTTATTGCATAGGGTGGTATCAAAGCAGTTGTATGGACCGATGTCTTCCAGTCGTTCATTATGACCCTCGGGATCCTGGTCATTATCATTAAGGTGAGTTAAACTTCCTGGAGTGTCTTTACACACATGGGAAATGTGTGTCCCAAACGGTAGCACCCGGTCAATGGTTCATGTGGAATCGGTCAACCACACGTGTGCAATCCGTCAACCATATATGTATGCAACCCGTCAACCACTCGTTTGCAACACGTGACCCAACATATGGGAGGGAACAAACCTTTGACAAGTCCAATCTTTTCCTGACATACGAGGTTGTTAACACAAGTGATATAACTGTTTTCAAGAATAAAAGGCTGTGGGTTGTATTTGCTGATTTAAGATGAGATGTAAATAAATTGACTTACGCAAGCATTTACACAAAGTGTGCTCACCGGTTTTTTATATAACGTATCAACATAATGTACAGCTTCTTTAAGGATGTACACACTTTAAAAATATTTTCCCGTATTTGAATAATGATGACTCCCTCAAAAGAATCCGACCTCGGCAATGTCGGACAAGTTCATTTTATGTACAGTGGGTATTGGTATTGGTATTTACCGCATATTCTCACAATCCTCACATCGATTAACTGTACCTTTAATCCCAGTACCGAGTGTCATATCTTTCGCACTTTCGATCCGATTGTTTGGCCACGGCATTTAAACCTATGGGGAACAACTAGGTCGATACAATATACGACGTCATCAAGTTCATATGCGCATGTTCAAATCTTTAGAAATGACGTCATGCCGGAACAATGTTTCATCGTGAACTAAACCACACTTCGTCATTGGTCTTTCCGAATTTTCGCGGAGCTATCAAACTGTACACAACAGTACGAAATCAGTGACATCCTTCTTTTCTATTTTCAAGCAACCAAGAAACAGTAGTTTCAAAGTGGGCGTGGCCTGATTTGTTTTCTGTTGATGGAAACATAAGAAACGCAAAAAAGATTCTTGGTTAGCCAATCAAATGCTACGGAATCACTTGCAGTTTATTTATTGTTGGAAAATTTGAAAGATTTCAATCAATCACATTGTCCTTAATTCAAAGAAAGTCAGTCAAAAACTGTTATTGTGGGAATTCATGACTTGTCATTTACCGGTTATGAGGAAATAGGTACTTAAAACATTCATGGAGTTAGCACAAAGGTGAAGGGCGTTATATTATTGATGTACTAATTGTCTCTCTCAATTGTCTGTAACTAATTAGGCTTGACTTGTTTGTTTGGCAATTTTTCTCGCTGAACGGTGCGTGCTACGTGATAAATCATGGTCAAAACGATTCTTGCTTTCACCATTGACTTGGCGAAGGAATTAACGAAATTCGATTAAGACCATAACATATATTTCGATATTTACTGTGTGATTGTTATAATAATAACAATCTTAATTAGCTCTCCTTTGTTGCACTGACATGCATATGTGTCAATATAAGTGACAAAAAATTCAAAAAGGCAGAGTCCATTATACGATTCCGATTCACACTACATCATGAGCAGATGCTTATGAATCACAAAAAAATATTCAGTACATAAAACCCATTTTGTGCCCAGCTGTAGATTAAATTACTATACTGAACCGCAATAGAAACGTCACCCAAAGTAACATTGCATGAAAAGTTGTCATTTAAATATCTGGGTAATTTTTGTCAAAGTTTCTAAAACTAAACATTTCCTTGTCCGGAAAAATGAAATTTGATGATAAAAAACAAAGCAGATGACAATAAAACCGATCGCCCAAACGAATCACGGTAACGGCCATGGTAACCCGATGCACGTGAGTTCCGTGCAAATTGAAATGCACATACGTTCCCCTATTTCTTGCCCTATAAAAATCAACCCAGATCGGATAACATCCATTCGTTATTCAATTGCTAATTCATGTCAACATTGACAAGAAATCAGCGACACCAAGCCCTTGGTCGATTGCAAGCTGGACAAACCGCCCGGCAAGAAGCCAATGCATTTCAAGTCCGAGTAAGGACCATATACAGGCTCCAGCAACGGTACCAGACCACCAATACCACAGATGACCGACCACGTAGCGGAAGACAAAGGGAGACTACCTGACGTCAGAATCGTCAGATTGTGCGACAGCATCTTCAAGATCGCTTTCTTACTGCTGCGGAATCTGCTCGACAGACCATGGGGACACACCAGCGACACATTAATGCGGACACCATGCGTCGACGATTGACGAGCAGACACCTCCACTGTCACAAGCCACACCGAGGACCCATTCTGACACCACGCCATCGCCGGGACCGTCTTCAGTGGGCAACACAGCACCAGCATTGGCGCCACCAGCAGTGGAGAAGAGTCCTCTTCTCAGACGAGAGCCGTTACTGTATGCCGATGGGAACGTTATTCGGATGCTTGTGTTGTTGAGAGAGACTCGTGGGGTGGTCCGAGCATCATGGTGTGGGGTGAAGTTGGTCTTGCACAGAGGGACAGCCCTGTGGTCTTCCAGAACATCGGTCCAGGTAGAGGCAATAGTGTCACAGCAGCTCGGTACATTGATCTTGAGACCACACGCTATACCTCATTCGGCACGTCGCCGCAACCACGAGTTCAGCATGATAGCGCCCGTGCCCACGCTGCGAGAGCAACAAGAGACTTCCTCCAGCAGTATTGCATCAGAACCATGCAGTGGCCTGCCCTCAGTCCCGATTTAAATCCCATTGAGCACCTGTGGGACGAGATTCAAAGACGGCTGAATGAAAAAGGCCGACAACTTCAGCTGAACTGCGTCAGGCGTTCCTCAGAGTGTGGGCTCAAGTGCCTTTGGCCTTCATCAACAGCCTCATCCATTACATGAAACGACGTTGCACGGCAGTCGTCAATGTACATGGCGGACACACGAGATGCTGACTTGTGATGCCATTTTCTCAGGGAGACTAGAGTTGTGTTTCACTTTAAGAACATTTGACACTTTAATTTCAACCTTGATGATCAGTTTTGCCAGGTTCACCTTTTTAATATATCTCAACGTATGTTTACAGTGTTTGGACAAAAAAGGTTTCTCATATATCTATCCATGGTGACGTTTCTTTTGCGGTTCAGTATACATTAACAGGGATACGGCACGTAATTGATTGCGATATATCCTATTAACACTGGTTATTCCCTTTTGTCAGACAGGCAGTTGTCAGACAGGTGATTAATGAAGACAGTATCTATAACTAGAATAGGGCACTCCTCGTTAGCGGGTTCTACTCAGATGTTCTTTGATGATCAGACAGGTAGACTGTCATTTTCCTCCATCCGATTTTTAATATTTACCAAAACACATATGCCAAAAATTAATAATAAAATCGCTATTAATGTACACATTCAATGTTATTTGCGGTAACCATAAAGATAAGCTAATTCATAATATATTCGTGGATGAACACATATATTTTTCTACTGAACATAAACTACTGATCAAAGTATACATCGACTTGAGCTGCATATGGAAAGGAAATGAGAAAAACATGTACACCTTTAATTTGAAATGTATTTAGAATTTCAATCATTTACCGTACAAGCTAAAATACAACTTGGGTGAATTAACATACTGCAATGAAGCATATGTGGGATCATACGTGTCGCTTTTCATAAAAATTCACAGATGATGAAAAGCTGATAACAAAACCTTTGAACACGTCCATAGCACCTCGGTCGCAAAAGGCAACTAACGGGATCGTCAGGCTTGCTGACTTGATGCATGTGATCGTATCCCATTTGCGTAGATGGATGCTCAAGATGTCAATCACTGGATTGTCTGGTCCAGATATTTACAGACTGCCGCCATATAGCTTGAATATTGCTGAGTGTATTGTATATGTATGTGTATTGTATGCAGCACATCTCTACAGCTGTGTTGTACTCACGGATATTATCTCTTTGTACCCTTGTTTTGTGTATGGGCCGGAGGCCTTAAGTGCAATAAAACCTCTCGATCTTGATCTTGAGTGCGGTGTTGAACAACAAACAAACAAACCACACCGGCACAACATGGCTTGTCAGCTTCAAAATTGTCCTTATTGCACCACGTTTCACTTTCCAGGGTACCTTAGATGTCGGGGGAGTGGTGGAAGTGTGGTCTGCTGCATCCAAAGGCGGAAGATTTAACATGTTAAAGTATGTACATTTTTCTTTCAACCCTACGATTTCAATGTGTAACTCCCTTTCATATACGCCTTTCCCTGCTCCCAAATACAATTGCTTCTCCCTCAAAATAAATAGACACACCAATTCACAAATTGACATGCGACACTTTCAATGAGCTGAACTCACTGGTTGCCAATCAATGTAAGACGCTGCAAGTCACTGTGCAAAGTCGAGTCCCTCGGAAATTAGAAACCAATGATCGTGGGTTTAAATCCCGGTTCTAAGCAATTTGAGGTTTGTCAGCTCCATTCCCGAGGTTGTGGGTTTCATCAACGTGGTCACTTCAGCCGTTCCTCCCTTATGAAGCTGACACGCCGTGATATAACGGGAATACTTTTCACTCACTCACTCACTCATTCACTCACTCATCTGTTATTCTTTTCAATTGTTAGCAATTGTTACCGTATTAGATACTTAAAATTTCCTGTGACAGGTACAGCAGTACAACGGTATGCATGCATGAATATAGAAATAACATGTTGGGAAAGTTTATAACGAACTCAAAATTGACGATTCCTTAATTCCTTTGTGACAAGATCACATCACGGAAGAACGCATTACCGACTAACATCTTATTAATTTACAGCTTTGACCCTGACCCCACTGTGCGCCACACGTTCTGGGGGCTGTACTTTGGGTACCTGGCAAGAGGACTCAGTTTGTCATTCAACCAATCAACCGTACAGCGTATATGTTCAATGAAGACGCAGAGGGGAGCACAGAAGTATGACTTGTTAACAAGGCAATCAGTTTCAAAGATGCCTATCTTTATTAGTAATTAAAGTGTAAGAAATGAAATGCATGTTCTTCGTCGTTGAGATATGATTGAAAGTTTCTAATAATGACAACTATTTGTCTGCCAAGAACATAAATAAACGATAGATAATGACTGGATATATGTTTCTTGCTTTCTTGTTTTCAGAACCACCCAAAGTATTGTATGGTACGGAAATAAGCATCTTACATGCGAGATTATTCAACAATTATTCCAAAACAGCCAAAATTGTGTTCAGAATAACTTATATTGATATTGTCCTGTTAAAAGAATGTATTTTTCTACACGTGTGGGATTATATATCTTCTTCAAAAAAAAGAAACGCACAGATAGATTTTTAGTAAATTTATTGAACCTAATAAAGTCCATATATTTGATTTAATATCACAGATACAAATATGAAATTTAGACACATGTTGTCGTTGTACAAAGGCATTGGAAGCTATTCATTGTCATGTCACATAAGGCCAAAAGTTTGCGCTGAACTCCCCAGGCAGCATACACGGCTTTGCATCTCCCCGCACTGACTGGATGAGTGTACAAATTCTGTCCTGCTGAATTTTGCGCCATTCTGCTTGTAAGGCATTGGCCAGTTAAGGGAGTGTCTGCGGCGTGTTCTGACGTTTACGTACACGTCGATCGAGCTCATCCCAGCGGTGGTCGATTGGGTTGAGATCTTAAGATCTCGACTGCCCGGGCATTACGTTGAGGTTGGCATTATGAAGCGTATTGCACCATGACACCAGCTGTGTGCGGTGGAGCGTTGTCCTGTTGGTGGTCAATAATTGGAAGAAGGTGAGGTTGAAGAATTTGATTCATGGAGCGATTTGCTGTCAAATTTGCCTGACCACAACCAAGTCAGATCATGTCGTGTAGGATATAGGATATGTCCCCCCCCCCCCATATTATGACGCTACCGCCACCGAATTTGTCGAATTCACGTACACAATGTGGGCCAAAACGCTCATTTCGACGACCATAAACACGTTGTCTTCCATCTGGCCGTTGAAGAAGAAATCGTGATTCATGGCTAAACCACACTGTCTCCAGTTTCGCATATTCCAAGGCTGTAAGGTATGGCACCAACCCAAGCGTCGCTGTCGATGGATCTGTTGCAAAACGGGGACGATAACTGGTATTCTGGGTCGGATTCCAGCCTCGCAAAGATGGTTCCTGTCAGTCTGGTCGGATATCCTCCTCAAACCAGGGATGCACCCTGTACTCTACGTAGCTGTGACATTGCGATGACGTAGGTGGAACAGTCGAATGCAGCGATCCTGTGCAGGATCGGTAACTCTAGGTCGGCCGGTTCTCGGACGGTCTGCAGGGTAATTGAACTGTGTGTATCGCTCACAAAGGCGGCAAATGGTGTTGTGGTGGACGTTGAAGTTGCGTGCAACAGACTGCCATTCCTGGCTTTGGATACGTCCTATGGCGATGTCGAATGTTGACAATTGAATGACAAATTATTATCTGCTTGCCTTTTTATAGCCACAACCACGAGTTACGAATGCCATAACGTGCACGTACATTTTGCTTTACTGTTTTCCTCCATGACAGTTTTAACAAGTGTGAAAACAATGCCGTTTAAGACATTGCAAATCGACAATGGCTGTGTTCTGACACACCGTTTGTCGAATATAAGGCCACCAACATTTTCAAATAACATATATTCAATTAATATTCCGGATTTTTTATGTAGTCAGGTTCATACTACATACCACCTGTGCATTTTTTAAAGAGTGTATGTGTATTAGTAAATATAGTGACTATATTATCCTATTTAGCATATGTATTGCACAGCCAATGTCATGTAATCATTGCACCAAAGCACCATTATATATACAGTGTTAATAATAGATTGACGTGTCAGGCTACAGGAGTAAGGAAATGATCATTAGGGAGGGGACTGTCATGGAGAAGAATGGTTCATTGTTAAAAATAACAAACGCACTCACAACGTTGTGGGTTTCAAATTTATCAATATCTCCATGTGGAGATCAACTTCATTATAAAATAATATTAAAACATTGTAATTATTACTTTGAAAGAAAAACAATATTAATAAATTTAACACTGTAGATATGTCGATGTCAACAGTGCCCTTTATACTACGATTGTGTCAACGTGGCCGTGGTCCTTGAAAACAATAACACATGTTTCAGGAAGTCATCGTTTTGAAAACAAAATATTAGTTTTGTTTTCATAATATGTTTGTTTTTTACTTTTATATGACATAACTACTTATACTGAAATGTGACATATTCTCATTCCTGATTCTGAAGGAACCACATGCAAATTACAACTTGTTTTATCTTTTGGGTTACACATGTGTGCTATTTATGACACTATAGGTTCTAGCATTCATAGACAGGTATGCTACAATATTAATTTCTTTGCGTCCTGTTGATCCACTTGATCAATTTTTTTCTTGTAATGACTCTTGTGACATGCTTCCTCCTCCAGAGTTACCTTTCTCGCCGGTCCAATCTACTGGCTGTCTTCTACACTCTCCATGCTCATCGGTATCGAGGGCTATTACGATCATCTGGGGCGCGATCCGCTTGCTTCTGGTCAAATCACCGACCCAACTCAGGTACCAACCTGTTTCCCGTCTAGAACTGACCCATGTTTGACTATTGTGTCTTACTTTCATATTAGGTGTATAGTATGGAAAAACTACGCCAAGGTGTTGTGTTATAAGCACGTAAGCCAACTGCGGAATCACGGCAGATTGTAATATTGCCAAAGGAAGGGAGTTAACTGACATAAAAAGTCCAATTTCCACCCTTGCCAAACTTGGCTGGAATTTCTAGGCTCGATCATAGATCCACCAGTGGCTATGTCTCTTGTATGTCCCCCCTACTGACCAATCAGATTCCACCTCTCATATATCTTGCACTTGCTTTAAACAAAATGGCAGCGAGTCAAGACGATTTCATCGACAATAATGATCTTTATTGTAATAAAACGAGGATTCTACCTGCATCGAATCACTTGAGCAACTTGGTTAAAAAACATGAAAAGATTTGGAAAATATCTGTGGACACCCAGTTGACGGAATACATCCAGCAATCGAACGAATATGGCACCGTGGTTTGCCATGTTGTTTATAAACCTGACATCGATTTCGTTACAGGATTTTGATTGGACTATGCACAGACTCGCTAGTCCAGCCAATACATAACTTGATAACTCCAGCTTAGTTGGGCCAGGGTAGATACTGGATTTTTGTAGTCAGTTAATTCCCGTGCCTAGGGAAGATGGCCAGATGGCAGCGATACACTCTGATGACGTTAATAGGTATACTAAAACACCAACTGTTTTTGTAAATTTGTTTTGCACAATGTCAGTTTAAAGCACTGTGGGCAAAATGATACTTTCCAGATCCTTCCCTTTCTGACTGTGGACATATTCAAAGGTATCCCTAGGATGCTGGGACTGTTTGTGGCAGCTGTCTGTAGTGCCTCCCTGAGGTGAGGGAATGGGGGGATGAAACTTGGCCTAACGTCGCAGTCAGTATCATTGCGCTAATATAGCGACGTTCATGCATGCTGTACTTGTCCGGACTTATGCACGTTTTATAGTGCTAGCCCACTGAGACATCATACAGGACCTTAAAATGGATATTTCACTCAGACACAGCATACTGATTCTGAGACGACCAGTCCTTGTTCAATCCCATTAACACCGAGCACTGGCCCGGGAAATAGCAAGTTCCATCTTTTGTGGAATGTGGCGACCAGGGATCGAACCACTGACTTTCTGCTTTCTGAGGAGAAGCTCTTTCCAATGCAGCCTGGAGAAGGCAGTCCCACTAAAGACAACTGAAAGTAAAGACTCTTGGCTTCTATCATTATCAGTACACAGCTGAACGTCAGTTCTCTGAAGTAGAAGTAACAATACTTTGTGTATGAAGATATAACAAATGTTGTTTGTCCCATGAAGAAATTGTCACATAGTATATGTCCATGCAGGATGTCATCTAACAAAGGCCGACATGGATTATGTGGATGTTAAGGTATTAAATAATTCTTTGTATGGCGTTTGTTGAGATTGAAGTCTACATTTTACATAATCCCTCCAGCACTATTTCCTCTGGGCTGTCCAGTCTGTCGGCCACAACCTGGGAAGACATCCTCAAGCATCACCTGCCAAACCATTCCGACTTCAAGGCAACACTTGTAGCTAAAGTAGCAGGTAGGATGTTTGGAACACATGTTTGATATGTGTGTATAATTATGTCTGTGTCATTTTTTGTCTACCCATACCCGTCTTCCCGAGGCAAGCGTGTCCACTAGCCTATATCAAAGCCTAGTTTCTACCCTTGCCACAACAAGGCCACTTTCCTTGGCTCAACTCTGGCGCCACCTCGCGTAGATCACTAGTTGAGCCCCTCGCAATGAAAACGCGATATCAAATCAGATCACTGTTCTTATATCGTATAGCTTCACAAAGATGGCGACTACCATAGGCGACGACCAAGTCGATCAGTCAACGAAAACAATCGCGATTTCATCCCTGACACAAAACATAGGCAACACAAAGTAAACTTACAACAGCCTTTGAACTACATATGACGCTATATACCCTCAAAGAGTTTGTTTACACCGTATTACTTAGGTCGAACTTATGACAGGCTCTGAAAGCACGTAGCACGGCAACTTGGTCAGCTTATATCATGAGGTTGGCTCCCCTGAAGAAAACTAAGCAAAGCCTTGCATTTGTTTAGTTCTACACCGCGTTACAATTATCATGTCCTATCACTCATTGTGACGCAAAAGATATGTCGTCACAGTAATTATATATAGGCAAAGGCCAAATAGCAAGCTCTCTGTTGTCCTAAAAACTTATAACTAAACTAAAAGCATATAATTATTAAAATATGCCTACTCACACTGACAGTAAAAGAAGTACTATTCTAACAATATAGCCTCCGCGGTGATGCGACCGTCAAATCGGTTGTTTTAAACAAAAGGGGGTTATTGTGATTTGATTACCTCTGACTGACCAATCAAAATCAGTATTTTCCAAATTCATGATAAAATGTTTGGTAAAACACGAAACAAACAAACACACACTTGTAGAAAAACTCGTTCTCGCAAGGAAAATACGGGAACTGGGACACTTGTGTCGCAAACAAAGAATGACACTCGTATAATATCCACTATATATCATATACATGTCTGATCTCCTTTCAGTGATCATCTACGGAGTGTTTTCCTTTGGGGTAGCCATCCTAATATCATTGGTCAGTGGAACATTGTTGCAGGTATGAAAACTCATCGTAATATGGTGTGGACTCACTTAATCAATTGACAGTTCCTTTTCTCTAAACAGGGAAATAAAGTTATTTTACGTTGATTTTCTAAAATTGATTCATCTCAAGGCTCTGTTATCTGCATGTTATGAAACAAGATTAATACATTATTATTGTTTAGCTCACCAGACAAGTGAGCTTTTGTTGTGGCCTGTGTGTCCTAGGATCGAATCTGATTTTACACTTTCGACAGTTTATAGACATTTGTTTTAAAATAGTAATAAAATATTTGGTACACGTGTAATTAAAACTAGGGCAAAAAAATTGTGCCCGGTAGCATATTGTCTACTATTACTAGGTAGAGTCCCATATATTTTGTGTGACAGATGGAAAGTAGTATGTTATTGTCTTTGATAGTGAGTGCGAGGTCGACAAGCTCCGCGTGTGTGTGCGCGTGCTTGCGTGCGTGCGTGCGTGCGTACGTATGGTGAAAATACCATTTAGCTACTGTTTTGTCTTATGGACCAAATCGTCTAAGTAGGTAGATTCTTAAAACGCATTGTCAACCATTTTGCAACAAAAGTTTTGAGATTCAAAGTTTAACACAAACGATAAGGTGTGTTCAAGAAGATTTATTTCTTTTTACCCAATTATAAAGGTAAGCAGTTGTGACCAGTCCTATAATGTGTCATATCTTAGACACGGTATTAAGTGCGTTGAAGGCATCATAGTGTACAAAGTTTGCGGTCAAATATATGGTGGAGAGAAAACATGTATATATTGTGGACAAGAAACTATAAGTTCAGTCCTGTTCATGTGATCAGGACCGCCTCCGTTGTCTAATGGTAGAGCGTCCGCCCGGAGAGCGGAAGGTCCGGGGTTCGATCCCCAGCCGCGTCATACCAAAAGACGTTAAAAGATGGTACTTGTTGTTACCCTGTTTGGCGCTCGGAATTGAGGGGCTAAAACAAGGACTGGTCGGCTCGGAGTCAGTATACTGTGTCTGAGTGGGGTATTCATGTTACACTGCCGCATGGTAGCTAAGTGTGCTAGCACTATAAATCAGCATCAGTCCGGCCTAGTACAATCAGCAGCCACACACATACATACACGTGCATGCACGTCGCTATATAAGTGCAATAATCTTAGACGCGACGTTAAACCCCATTTCACCTCACCACCTGTTCATGTGATCACCAAATGAAGGACAGCATTGGCTTACCTGTGTGCAGGTTGTTTAGTATAAATATTTTGAAAGTAAAACAATTACTGACGTCAGTAAGGTGGTGTTATACCTGAAATCTAACAATTATTTCTTCCATATTCACATGCTTTGTTTCATCACAGTGCGGGTTAGGTAGGACAGTTCCCATACAAAGCCACCACAGAAGGTACCACATCTCTGGTTTGTATGTGCAAATGCCTTGGCAATGTCCATAAGGCATATATCATAAGTGTCCTCTTTATAAATGTGCAACAGCATGATAAATTGTGTCTACTTTGTCAAGACGTTTCTGTGGCAATGTACGTCTTAGATGTGTTTTCAGTCTCCTAAAACTTGAGAATGATCGTTCAGATGTTGCAGTTATGATCCGTGTTATCAGGTAGATCTTGAGTTCTGATCGCCTCAAGACATGTTGTTGTTTTTTTGCTGCAGATCAGTGTCTGAAACTCAGCAGAGTAAACTGAGTGCCTTATATTAAAGGCCCGCACATTTCAAAAACTTTAGGCCCACTGTAAAAACTGTAGGCCCATACATTTAAGCTGAAGCAGGAAGACATAGTCTTGGAATATAAATAACAGCACACAACAAGTCAACCAGGAATGGAGATTTCATTAATTTATTTATTAACGATTTCTTTGAAACATCTTTATATTGCTCTTTGACATGTTCAATATGGATCCGTTTTCGAAGCATGGGTCCCAGATTTTTTTTTTTTTTAATAACATGGCAGAAAATAGTTCATTTTTTTAATTCTATTGATAAATATGATAAATTGAAATCAAATACATATTTTCTGACTTTTTGAAAAGTGATAGATTTAATAAATGAATTATTTTGACGTGGCTACGGTGTGGCTGGTACGGTGTTGAAAGAGTTAATGGAGACCATTGAAGCTGGCCCTGTTTCTCAAAGCAATCTCAATGTTTCCCGTAACAGGGTCAAAGGCAAATTGCCATGTTTTGAAGTAACATTGGCACCAAAATGTTTCCTTGCATACAACTGTTCAGGATTCACGAAAACCCATGAGAGAACAGTTTATACATTTAATTTTATTTCATACATGTAGCTTTGTTTAAAGGACACTTAAACATAACATAGCAACATCATAAATGCTTGACTAAAATCAAATTTGAAAAACGGTTGCAGAATTTGTCGCTCTGTGCAATTTGAACGATCGGTTGGCATCTTGATCTTTTAATCACATTCACGGGGATTTTCTGCTTGCACATTCGTTTGATTACCGTGTCCACAATATGAGCTCTGAATTAGTAACAACATAGAAGATGCAGTTGTGTACTCAATTCTCAATTTTTAAACATTTATTTTATCAGAGATTTACGATAATCATTGGGAGCAATCCCTGACACAGTAGACATTGTCTTCATTATAGTGATATAATTATAAGGAGAATAAACTGTAAAAACATAACATATGATAAACCTTTACTGAACATGTCAGTTCCAAAAATATTGTTTGATTTTGCTTTACCAAATAAACTGGATACTGAAATTCTTCTTCAACATCACTGGGACATGTTTTCTATCTTGAACATTAATACCCGCATCACTTCGGGCTTTCCTCCCACATTAAGGTGACACGCCGTGATATAAAAGTAAGACTGTTAAAAGAGGCGTTAAACTAAACTCACTCACTCACTCATTGTTTGTGTATGACCAAGCGATGGTGCGTCGGCAACGTGCAGAGCGTCTATGGGTTGTGGGCATGATGGAAACTGTCAGAAGTCAGCGTGCAGTGACCAATATGTTCAATGTTTCACAGTCCGTAATTAGCAGACCATTCTATTGTACATTCTTTTATATTTTAATGGGCAGCGTCCTAGCCCAGCAAACTCCACTGCATTACATGTAGACACCTGATAATCGCTTACAGAAGTCAAGGTGTGATCGCTCAACATTATCTCCCTTGAGGAAACCAAGGTTAGCTGATACCTGACATAAAACGCTACCAGTGTAACTATCGAACAATTTCCAGATGCGTAAAGCTATCAACAACACCAATATTTGAATCATCACAGCACCATTTCTCCACTGACTTTACTCGCCACCTTTTCTAAACACAACGTTTGTGTTTTGGGTGTTAAATTCAAAGCCCCAATGATTTTCATTAATAATGTATCTAGGATTATTATATTCGCAACAAATTCAAAATTTCCACTTTATTTTCACTTTAAGACTACTTTGAAAGACTGAATCTTATAAAGTGTACAAAAGTAAATAATAAAAAATGATATCCCAATGTCACAGGTGTTTTCTTTAAAAGAAAACTCGTTCCAGCTCCTATGTGTGTTTATGCAGGAAGTTATATTTAATATCAATGTTGGCAGCAACTTTTTGTAAATTTTGTTAAGTGTCTGTCTTCGTTGAGCTACAGTGCCAAAGCACTATTTTGGCAATTAAAGCATCCTTGGTAGCGAAAAGCGCATCTATAACTATTGACAATGATGAATATGTATGTCATTGAAGATATCCGTAAGTGTCGTAGCGGCCTTTACCGGACCTCTGTGTGGATTATTCATCATGGCAGCATTTTGTCCTTGGGCTAATGCAAAGGTACGGATCACACATCATACGGTTGGTACTCTCATTGGTATGTCAACTGAAACACTTTAACGTTTAAGTGATGATTTTAGCAGGCATATGTCTCAGACTGACCAAACTTTGTGAGAATCATGAGGTTTAGGTATTGTTTGTTTGTTGTTTAACTCCGCACTCAGCAATATTTTCCAGCTATGTGACTGCGGTCTGTATATAATCGAGGCTGAACCAGACAATGCAATTCAAATGGGATACGATGACGTGCATCAGCCAAGTCAGTGAGGCTGACTCTCCGATCTCGTCAGTCGCCTCTTACGACAAGCATGGTAGCCATTTACGGCAAGCATTGGTTGAAGACCTATTCTACCCCAGATCTTCAAGGGTCAGTATCATGAAACAAAGGCAGAGTTACCCTATATTTGTCCAAAATGACTTCGAATTTGGGACAAAACTGGAAATTTTGAGACCGAAGGGGAAAGTAAAAATTAAAAATAATACAAATAATACATATACAGTAATAAGAAAAAGTGGGCCCCTTTCAGGGAAGGACATTTTTGATATCTCATCAGAAAGGGGTTACTGAAAATAGAGTTCCCACATTATCCTCTTTTAGTCATTGCTGCCATGTAGTTGTATTGAAAAGGTCATTTCTTTGTCTATTATGCCATCATGTTTTCATTTTTGTAATAAAAAATGTGATATTGACATGCCGTGATATAACTTGAATACTGTCTGCTCACTCACTCACCCACTCTTACTCTTTGCAATTGTTAACAATTACTGTAACAAATACTTAAATTTTCCTGTGACAAATACCAGAGCATACATTATTGAATATAGTAATAACGTGTTGGGAACGTTTATACCAAACCCAAATTCAATGATTGATTCAAATAGTTACAAGCTCAAATCACACTGATGACGTTTCTTGGCCTGTCAGCACTACACCTGTGCTCGTGGGTTTCACCAACGTAGTAAATGCCTGAGCCCAAAAGTCTAGATATTCGAAACGAGCTGAGATAAATCTGAACAACTTACGTTCAAAGATATGATACTATTTTCGAAACTATCAGAAACCTGTCGCAGATCGCACAAAGATATGATAACTATCGTAACTCATTTGTGTCAGAGAGTGAAAAAGTAATAATAATGTTGGATTGTCAGGTCACATTGTTTAACACGCAACTATTAAAGTGACATTTCCTACAATCCTACATATGTCCTTCGTGTAACTGTGTTGTTCTTATATATGATAAATGATGCCATGATTACCCAAATACAAATAGTGAGTGAGTGAGTTTGGTTTTACGCCGCTTTTAGCAATATTCCAGCAATATCACGGCGGGGGACACCAGAAATGGGCTTCACACATTGTACCCATGTCGGGAATCGATCCCGGGTCTTTGGCGTGATGAACGAACGCTTTAACTACTAGGCTACCCGACCGCCCCTCCAAACACAAATAGCATTCGTGTGTCATGTAAAGGCATTTTTCAAACCCAATAATGCTGGCTTTTTGCGTTTATGTCAAAAGTCAAGTTTATAAAGAAAACACCAACATTATATCTGGAAACACTCAAAACAAAAATTGTTCAGGAAGCAGCGCACCCATAATGACTATATATGTTTCTTTTGTTGTTTACATATCCAATATATTTTTTGAATTTACAAAGGACTCAAATTCAGTATCAATCTATTTGTATTTAAATTATGTAATTTAAAAGAAAATCTGTCTAGAACTAAAATTCTTATCAAAATTTCGTTCACAAAGGGAGATACTTTAGAAAATGTCAAGTTATGTTGTCTCATGGAACACGCCACAAGTTAACGTGAACATACATATAATGTAGTCTTTTTCTATTATTTTAAATTAAGTAGAGCTAATAAATGGATTTGTCGGATTTGAGTAAGTGAGTGAGTTGGGTTTAACGACGCTTTTAACAGTGTTCCAGTTATATTGCGGCGTGTCAGCTTAATGTGGGTGGAAAGCCCGAAGTGATGCAGGTCTCAGACGTTTACCACTTTGGTGAAACCCGCGAGCACGGGTATGGTGCTGACAAACCTAGCAACATAATCGGGGCGAACTGTTCGAACTGTTCGAACCCACAGTCATAGGTTTCTGGCGTGACAAGGGACGCAACTCTGCACAGCGAATCGTGGCGCCTTAGACGAGTGGGCCACCTGTGCCCGCTTGTCTGATTTGATTTAAATCTCTCTGAGGAGAGAAATATTAACATTGTAAACGTGCGATATCTATTCCCAAACGTAGTTCGATGACGTTTGGCTTGTCTGACAGCATTGCTAAGGGTCATCTAATAGTACTTGTCCGGTGACCCTATCCTTCACAATGTTTTTATTGTCTGAACGGTCTCAAGTACCTATATTTTATTAATTTAAAACTAGTTAATGTACACTTAAATTTTAACAAGACCAACATCGACTATTATTTTCAAATCGGTCCATTGAATGCAAAATTCAAAGATGATCGTGGTGAAAATGTCTATTTTATACTGATCAGAAAATTTGATTGAAATGAACATTTTCTGCGAAAATATATTGAAAAGTGATTTTTGGAAAATGTTCAAAATACGTTACTTTATGTTGATATTTTAAACCCATGGGAACAATTTTTTTTTCTTGATTTCACATATGCAGATGGATGAAAATTTATAACATGCAAAAAATAAAGACAAAAGCATTGCCACTTATGCAATCCAGAAAATATAACAGCGGAACTCTGTGCTATATGAAAACTGTAACATTGAGCAAGGTCTCGCTGGGCGAATACAAAGGGAAACCACTCTCAGTTAGAGTATGATTAGCTGACTCTGAGTTGACAATAAGGTCACGGTCAGTACTATAGCCTGCCGACACCTTCTGTTTTTATCCTTCCCAAATTATCGAAAAAGTATGTTGTTTCACACTTCTTTAGCAAGGACTCGGATAGAAATATATTATAAGCTATCGACTCCATAGTTATGTGGATCGCTGTTGTTATTAAAAACATTTCTGACGTGAAATCTTTGATGTGTGAAACCTTTTATGCTTTCTTCGTGTTTTCGAAGTGTCAGTTTGAATCCCACGGTTTGTCAAAGTTTGAACTTTGAAAATTGTTTGCAAAGTATGCCGCCATCTTTGATGAAGATAAAGTATACTTATGACAGGTATGCGGCTATCTTAGATTTATGACAACCTTTCAATATCTTAGGGCTACGATAGTTTTGAAAATAGACTACGATAGACTGCGATTTCCATACGATAACTTAATGATTCTTTTAGGGCTACGATCATTTCGGAAATCTAGGGCCTGTATCACTTCGGGCTTACACCACACATTGAGTTGACACCCTTTCCAGTGACAGACCCAATATTATACATAACTGAATACAGAAATAACATGTTTATAAAGTTTATACCAACCACCAAACCCAATGATGCAAATAGTTCCTTTCCTTCAAGATCAAATTACACCTAGGCCTGTGTCTAGGCCTGTCAGCACCATACCTTTGCTCGTGGGTTTCACATGCATCATGTCGGGCTTTCCCCCAATATTTAGCTAACACGCTGTGATATAACTGGCATACTGTTAAAAGCAGCAATAGATCCAACTCACTCACTCACTCATTCTATGCATGTGACAGGGGGCATTCACCGGTACACTCGTGGGTTCAATAATCATGATGTGGATCTGCCTGGGTTCTGCGTTTTCCGATGTTGTGAAGCCGACACCATGGCTTCCTCCTGCATCAACTTACCAATGCATGACTGCAACACCACCAGTGGCTTCGAACACGTCTACGTGGACGACGTTTACACCATCTGTGCACAACACATTAGTGGCCGAAACCTTCCGAGAGCCGTATGTATCAAATCAATATAAAAAAGCATGTGAGACAGCACTGAAATGAAATAGCTTGGTGACATGTAATACTTACAAGAAGTTCAAGACCATCATTCATTCATTTTACTATAGTCAGAATGTCATGCCTTGGCAAAATAATCAGGTGTGATGTCTTTTTAACTTATTTTAAATTGTAAATTTAAGTGATTCAAATGATATTCTACCATGAAATTGAAGAATGCTTGATTCTGATTGATTAAAAAGATGTTTTCTTTTTGCTATGGAAACCTCTTTTAAATTGACTAGCCTTTTCACACAAAAAACGTGCGCATGAAGACATCGATACCCTGTACAATAGATTCATAAAAAATGATTGCCGATCACCATAAGGATTTGGCAGGAGGGGATTTTGAAAGTCCATCAGAAAAAAATGATTTTTTAAAAGAGCACCGTTTTTAAAAGCGTTGTTGCCGTCATGGTAGAATGGAGATAAACCTACAGTGTTTTGAAATTTGATGTAGTCCCTCTGTAGAGTAGATACCTCTTATTTATTCATTTGAATAAACCAAAATTTATAAAAGAGGTATCTACTTAACAGCAGGTCTATATCAAATTTCAAAACACGGTAGGTTTATCTTCTTATTGCAAATTGCTTTTGTATTACTGAGTGTTAAAAGGTCTGATTCAAAACCAGTTGATTATTAATATTTAGTTCAGATAATAATGTACATTTTTTTTACCAGTAAGGTAGACTGATCGAGCTGTGTGAATGTGGAGTATTCGTGTATTTGAGAGTTTCTAAATAAGGCTGGTCACGTGACGACACATTGTTCCATTGTGGAAAATGATATGATAAGGCGTCCTCCTTTGTCAAAGCGTTTGACCGCTGAGATCATATGGCATACCATTTTCCTGTATTGTCGTTCATTGACTCACAATGGGTAATCTTGTCATAAACTATTTAAATATTTGGCATTATCTATGTTTATATTTTCCCATTTGTCAGTTTACGCGGCACGAGAAAGGTGACTATGTCGACCATGGGAAAATATTATTGAGAAACAAATTTCAACTGATGAATTATTTGATGGTCATTGATCAGAAGTTGCTGGATGACAGAGTAGACAACAACAATTTATGGACAACAACTTTATTTCACTGTAATAGCGACGATTCGGTATAGATCCTTATATACGGTATAAGGATCTATACCAAAACGTCACCATTACAGTAAGAAAAAGATGTTGTTATCCCAATCTCATTAAATTCAGATCTTTGTTCTCGCTTCCACTAAAGAAAGATCTGAGGACATCCCATTGCGGGTCACGTCAGGCCGACCTTGCGCGAACTTTGACCGACGAATGGAATGACCAATCAGAAGGTAGCTTTCTCATTTTTACGGCACAAATTTCAAATTGGCGAGTACGCTTCAAAACATATTTTGACGATGGTCTAGATTGTAAGGATTCAGTCGTTAAACCCGTAACTATCGTTCAGAATACACAATGTTAAAGTTTTCGAGATTTCATGACTAGAAATCACATTCCGACTGTCACTTTCATAATCTGGTAAGCGACGCATTGATTGGTCCGATGAAAGGTCGTTCTGACGTGACCCCTAATGGGATGTCTTCAGATCTTTGTCTAGCGATAGAGAGAACTAAGGTCTGATTTTAATGAGATTGCTGTTATCCATAAATTGTGTCTACTTTGAAATCTCCACTGGGACGTGTGATTTTCAAACTGACATATGAATCCATTCTCTGAATCGGTGTAATTAAATAGCCAATTCAGCAGCGATGTGTGCACCTGTTGTCATACACAAATGTGAGTGTTGTATAACTATTTGGATTTTTTGCATCTTGAGTGAACATGCTTTAGCACATGGATAGAGGAAATCTACCGGCTCTCTTATGTGTGGCTTGGACTTCTCGGCACTTGTTTGACTACACTCACTGGCTTCGCTGCCAGTTGGATCACAGGTAACAACATTATCAGATAAACCTTGGATAACTTAACTTTGGAGTTTACACATACACGTGTTTACTTCTTATAATATTTCCAGGACGCATGAATGGCCTTGTCATTTGTTTGACTACACACATCGGCGTTATTGCCAGTTGTGTACAGGTAACAGCATTATTAGGTAAAACCATGCTTGCTGTTATAGGCGACAATGCTTGTCCTAAGAGGCGAATTACGGGACCGGGTGGTCAGGCTCGTTGACTTTGTTGATGCATGTCACTTGATTTTCTGGTCCAGACACGATTATTTAGGCCTTGTCAACTGAATAACTGTAAGGCCTTGTGCGATCCCCTAATCTTTTCAGAAACTTTACATGTCTCAAACTATACTTGACCTTTAGAAAACCAAAACGTAAACTTTATGGATGACAACTCTGATTTATTGCACATAGCAAGGTTTCGATGTAGATTCTTACACCGTTTTTAGGCTTGAGGTAGAATTTTTTTTAGAAAAACGTTCAAGCGTCAAAGCACTCGGACGCAAGCGTTCTGGTGCATTTACTAAGAAGTTTAGGGCAAACCTATTCTTTATTACACATGGGGATAGAGCTAACTTCTTTAACAGATAACAAAATTGTTATCCCGTCTAACGAATACGTGTAGCTGCAATATTGCCGACACGGCTTTAATCAAGTTTTGCTCATTTTCTAACTGTTTTCGAAAATGACAACAACAAAAAATGAAGAAATATGGGGACCTGAAGAAATGTTGGGATCTGAAACTTTCAAAGGGATAGTTTTGATCCTATCATCACAACAGTGCATACAAGTCAAACGGGATTATTTCGCCCTAACATGCTGCATACAGTATGAATATCATCTCTGATCATAATTTTAGGTTTTAATCGCAACAGCCCAGTAGATCCCAGGTACTTGGTGCCTGTAGTTTACAGACTGTGCTGCTGTCTTCCCAGATCGACCAGGGCTTTCCTTTCACGAAGAACAAACGAGGATAGCATCACGGTAGTCTGAGGATAATGTTTCTGTATGTCAAGGTTGATTCAAACCTACAACCATATGTTATGTGAGCTTTCGGTGTCAAATTCATATTGGGTGCTTAGGGGAGGGAAGTTTTACAAAAATGTCCTCTTCAAAGAAAGAAACCGGAAAGCCAGATTTGTGTGACGTAGGAAAATACATGTATATGAAGAACCGTACTAGGTATTGGGCCGAAATGTTGTGGAGAGAACATCAGTTAATGGTACATAGGAAAGGTCCAAGGTGAAGGTCAGCTACTATCAATAGCGCGTGTGTACCACGTTGGAATCGATAGCGGCCTGATATCTCATGCACATGGAAGAGACAAGTACGTGAATAACATCCTGGGGAATGGTAGCCCTCTCAGCCTGCAACGCATATGCAACCTACTGCAACGTTTGGGGTTGTGGTTGACGTCGGAGTAGCCGTCTATCCGATTCATCCAACAAGTTCAAATCAGGGGATCTGGAGGGCCAGGGGAGAACATCAACGTTGTTCTTGTGTAGACAGGCTCTTGTGATCCGTGCTGTATGCAGTCGAGCGTTGTCCTGCTGGAATACACCATGGCCGTTGGCTGCAATTGGGAGGACGTGTGGCAGGAGAATTTCGTTGATGTATCGTTGAGCCGTAAGACTGCACTGGATATGGACCAAACCTGTCGTGCCATGATGAGAGAGAGCCGCCTACATCATAACGCTACTCCCATCAAAGCTGTCCACTTCCAGTACGCAGTTTCCAGCGTAAAGTTCTTCCCGACGTCTGTAGACCCGTGCTTTTCCATCCCCTCAACGGAGGAGAAATCTCTATTTGTCACTGAACCAGACATCTCTCCATTCCGGTTGAGGACATACCCAGATTTGACGACACCAAGGCAGTCGTTATTGACGATGTTGTCGACTGAATATGACGCATCAAACAGGACGTCTTGCTCGTAGAACTGCTGCTCTTAAAAAGTTTCGTACGGTCTGGTCGGAGACTTTCGGAGTCCGGGTATTTGGGATGCGGTTGGGGTGGCTGTGATCGTCCTTTCACGTAGTTGTTGCAGTCGATTACTGTTGAAACCAACAATGCTGTTGAAACCGATCCCATAGCCTTGTGATTGTGCTGAGCGCTACATTGGAAACCTTGATCGGGATTCCCTTGCCTTCAAGCGGCCTATGACGTTGTATCTTGGCATGTTGAACTGTCACTTTTCGGTTGATGCTGATGCCAGGCAATCACAAACCCTGCACTTCAATACCGTTCATAATGCTGCTGCACGTGCAGTGCGTGCAGCTCCATGGCCCTTTTAGTTATGCACTGTGTGCGGTTTTTTCCGAATCGTACGTGTTTCCCGACTAATGGTTTGTCTGGAAATTTGTCACTAACACTATAACACATTAAACCTCTTAATTTTGCACCTCTTGGTCCGCTTATTACCCGTTTTGCGTTTCTTTTTTTTAAGAGAATAATCAATTCGTTGAAATTACACATTGTACCTAAATATATCGATTAACCATACCACCATAAACGCAGCAAATAGTAAAGTTTAATTCACATCAAAATATTCAAACCTGTTTCTAGAGTACTCTGCGGAGTTTTGTGAGGAAAAGATTATATTCATTTCAGCAATATTTTACATTTACAGATAATGCATGGAATGTAATTATGTCCGTTGTAGACAGCAAAATAATATGTTCTGCTGCTATATACTCTGCGGAGGTGGTGCATATTACGCGGGTCAAAACGTATTTCCAATTTGCAAATTTATGCTAATAATCCATTGGTTGTCGAAATTAGCTGCTGGTTGCCCAGAGAGAAACAAAATTTAAGCGTTCGTTCGAGGGTCGCTTAATCAGTAAATAGTGAGAAAAAAAATTGAAGCTAACATAACCTCGCAGTTTAGAATGCATAAAGTTATAAAGTTTAGAAGTTATTTAAAAAAATATATATAGAATACTAAACTCGCTCCCGTGTAATACCAATTTTTATGAAACGAGTGAACAGTTGTGGTATCTGACTCGCTTTCGTTCGTCAGATACCACAACTATTCACGAGTTTCATAAAATTGGTATTACACGGGAGCGAGTTTAGTATTTTATTTATTACTTGCCATTTATAACGTTTTTTTAATTATACTGTTGAGTATGAATAGGCTGACACCTACATGATCCACGGCATAGTCCAATTGAGTTTAACAGAATAATACTTCAAACACGTCAAAAGTTAAAACATATGAATTTAATACCATACAACACAAAATTATCGTAAGGCTAAGACTATCGCAACTCATATACTTTAACTTAGACTAACGACTGTCGTTGCGCTACAATACCATCGCCTTGTGGAACGGGCCTTGCACCTCAAAGTTTACAAAATCGTCACAATACCCGATGACGTAATTTGTGGAATTTTGTGGAAACAATGCCATGTGACATCAGCCTAGCAACAAGGTTGCTGGGGGTCATCGAGTGTGCATAAGCTCCTCTCAGTGATCTATTAACTCCACACGCAATGTCGTTGAATAAGCCAAGGGATGTTGAGAGCTTTCAATATTTGTTCCTGAAACGTGTTCCGAGAGTACATAAAGCACGCGTTTTGGTATTACACAATGTGTAATACAGCTGTATGTTTATTAAACGGGTGATCTCTCTTCACGGGCAAGTAATACATGCCTTTATTGACAATATTTATTGTGTGTTGTAGAGTGCAGTGAATCTTGCTGGGCCTCGGCTGATGACGCCAACAGAGGGAGGACATGAACTACCGCTGTCGGTCAGAGGGTCGGAGGAGTTGTCTCCCTTACAACCATGCAGCAGGGTCGAAACTATATGATATTTAATCCGATGGATGGACGAACACTTCTCTCCGCGTTAAGACTCACTTAAAAATAGACTTCCTGGTATAGTTTGGAAATTCAGTCGGAAAAGAACCAATCTCTTGAACATTCAAACCACCTATCGAGCCTGAAGGCCGAGAATGAATTAAACAGCTCGTCTTGTTTCCACAAATTTCATGTCTTCTGGTTTTATTTCTTACTCGCATTTTCCCAACTGTGTCTTCCCATTCTCATGGAACTATTGTTTGAATCTGACCGTTACTGACCATGTCATTTGAATCAGCTGTCTTCTCCCTGACATATTTGTTCCAGTTCGTTGTATACAGTCTGACAGTTGCCTCTTGCCTGACAGGTCCTTTGAACTCTGTTTGATGCTTCTCATCGTTGATTGGCTGCTGACTCTATGGGCGTGTCAAGTTATGTGCATGAATTAAACAATCACCTGATTCATGTAACAGGATATTGTATCGTTTTCAAGGATATTGTTTTAGCTTTTTAATGTCAAGTAGTTTTTATCTTTATTAGTTTTAGTATAAGATTTATGTGCTTGGGTTAAGAGTCCAAGCGGTTGGTCCATTTTATTTAAGGGTGGACAGGTTATTCTATTCCTGTTACTTTGCATTTGCACACTTGTAGTGATTCTGCTTATAAAATCTGCACAGACAAGACATGGATTGGTTTGTTTGTTGTTTAACGCCACAATCATCAATATTCCAACTATATGACGGCGGTTTGTAAATAATCGAGTCTGGACAAGACAATCCAGTGATTGACATCATGAGCATTGATCTACGCAAACAAGTCAGGGATCCTGACCACCCGATCCCGTTAGTCGCCTCTTACAACAAGCATAGTCGCCTTTTACGGTAAGCAAGGGTTGCTGAATACCTATTCTCTACCCGAATCTTCACGGGTCGGCAATACATTGACAACAAATAGCACAGCAATGCCAATATCCTATGTTCACGATGTGGGTTTGTAGACACACCCTGGTGTCCCCCACAGGGGTGATTGATTGATAGACTGACTCACTCATTTATTCTGTACACTTTACCATGTCCGATGGAATAAATGTCACCTCAACACACACCCGCAGCTCGTGATTTCTCGCCATACACTTCCCTGCAACATTCACAACCTCAACTTGCCCATTTCAATCCAAAGCCAAATAATGGGAAACTGTTATCCCAAAGTTACAAAATAAACAGTAGTAAACAACCTAATATTTAAGAAAGTTAACTAGTTCTAAATTTCACTCAGGTGATCCGAGTTTCAAAATGTGTCGATTCGCGTTGCATCACATGAAAACATTATTGCAGGATCAACTCAAAGGTTTTTATCTCTTTCACTGCCGAGGCTTAAACTAATCAGAATAACAAATATTATGAGACAGATGAAAAGCCGGCGTCCCTGGGAGATGCACATATGACACTATAATGTGGGAAGCGCACGTAGTATACCTACAGAATACGAAGAATCATAGTTCTACTAATATATGAGTTTCATTTGCTTGTTTCTTGTTTAACGCTGTCATCAGCAATGTGCAGTCTTTGTTACGACAGTTTGGACAAGACAAAACATTGACTTAAGATGTAGATAAAGTCTCACACAGCCGGTGCGATGCCGCGCAAGCATCGAGCCTGCCAAAGCGATAGGTTGGCAATCTGCCAACAGAGGGCTTGACGTAAATAGCCGAAAGTGAGATTGATAGTTTGGTCGGCTTTTACGACTGGGACCCTTTCCACCCCACAATCCACACGGGGAATATAGGCTATAAAACTGGGCGAAGATATATTGTTAATTATATAATTATTTAAAATAATTGATGAAAATAATGTCCAAAACTGAAAGTGCTAAGCTTGCTTCAACAACAACGAAATGCTAAAATGATTAATGTGACTTCCTGATACGAGTGAGCGGGTGAGTGAGTGAGTGAGTGAGTAGAGTTTATACGTCGCCTCTAGCAATATTTCAGCAGTATCAAGCTGGGGACACTTGAAAAGAGATTCGCATCTTGTAACCATGTGGGACATAGATCCCGGGTCTTCGGCATGAAAAGTAAATGTTTAAAACCATTCGGCTACCCCAAGAAGATTTTCGTTAAAACATTTGTCACACATTTACTGGATATGTGTTTCTGTTATATATACTTATGTATGATTGATAGCTATATACCCATCCAACCAATTACGATGTAAGTTTCTTATAAAACAATTCTATATTATGAGAAAGACGATTATCAAACGGATGACATTCTTATTGTTTCGACTGCTGGTCTGACTTTATTTCCCCCAGACACTGAGAATAATAGAAGGTGCCAACTAGATAAAGATAGACTGTTTGTAAACTTGGTACACCAAGCAGCACCAGCGTATTGCATTTTAAAGAAATGTTTTCGACCTACCGACCCTATTTATTGTCAGAAAATCCATAAAGCAAACTAGGCTGGTCTAACTGGGCATAATACTAAATTTCTACAGATTTTCACTGTCCCTCATGTACAATTGTACACGGAGGAACCGGCCGGTAGGCAGCTACAGGGAAATGATGCGATATCATCACACGATCACTGACTCGTATTGTGTACAGGTGCAATGTATGACAAATATAATATAAAACGCCAACGCCAGAGAATAACCCGTCTCTAATATCTGCAAAAACATATTCCATTGGGCGTTTAAAGCAAACTAATGATGAAAATTGTATGAATAGATCACTGAAAATGAGGGACGAAACCAGATGTCTTGCCCTACTAGTAGCAACCACCTTCTACACAATTTGCATTAAGAAATATGTTCTTGTTCCGGAGGTACCATGCGGTATGATTATGATGATGATTATGATTACGGTTAACCGCTGTTGTGTTTGATAGTGACTCTGTTGTTTACAGAAGGCCCGGTCTCTATTGGCCGCATGGGTACAACGTGTGCAGCCCATTTCAGATGTCCCCTACCGTGATTTTGCTGGAATATTGCTACAAGCGGCGTACAACCTCACTCAATCACTGATTTTGTTGGCTGTCGTGATATATCTGGAGTATTGCTGACTTTAAACAACATTCCATCATATATACCACTGCACTTCTGACAAAACCAGTTATTATTTACAATATGTTTATGTTTACACTATTTTAAACTGAAAGAATTGTATCCTCTTTTACATTGTCGGTGCACGTGGCAAATCTTTGTTTTCATGATAAATTAAAAACAACAAAATTCAAAAGTAATTTTATTTTCATGTTCCGGGTCAATGTTTTGGAATGTCTTCATATGCAGCACCATTCGTATATATGAAGGTCACCAAAGCAGTATCATTAATACGACTGGCCTAACACTCATATACAGCCCCGTCCGAACATAAGAAGATCACCAAGGTATCATTAATACAACTGGCGCAAAGACCCATAGACACAGCTCTGACCAGAAGCCATGTAACCAATCAGAACACTGCTATCCTTCACTGCCGACTAGCCTGTCACTTGGGCGCCATCTTGTACCCAAAGCGCTACCGGTATCCAAAAATGTTACCGCCACGTGTTGCATTTCTGTGCGGAAGGTCCTCAAAGACGGTTATTGTTGTCAATTTTATGGCGACCGAAAAGCAGGAAGTACACAGCACATGAGATATCGACGGGTTGGACTCGCATTTGCTGGTTGAGATGATATCTGGTCGGATGAACCTGAATGGGCTTCAAGCTCATCATCAGCTGATAAATTCATGAAATATTGTCGGCTACAGTCGAGGCCTACATGGACTTAATGGTAGCCTCACTAAAACGTCATTGAGGCCAACCTGTTAGCATTTCTTATTTTATATAAAGGTCATATTTTTTCGTTAAGCATGAATGTTGGAATTCGTACTTAAATGCTAGCTTTTCCTTCACGTTGACTAGTCTGACTACAAGAACTGTTACAACGATTACTACAACACATCTAGCTACGTCCTAGATGTCGCTAGGAAAGTATTGGAAAATATTTTGAATTTTCAGAAGCTCTACTGAATTTAATGGGCAAATGTCATCATTGTCGGGGAAGATTTCTTACTAATTAATATACGTAGCTTAATCTACATACATAATAGGGAAAGTGTAGATATTGAGTGACGGGGGGAAAGGAGATATTTTCACGCGAGTGAAAATATCACTTGTTCCACCGTCACGAGATGAGAGAAACATGATATGTCACGAGACACATGGAATATCCTATTTAATATATACTTTTTGTGCAGCTGTCTACTGGAAAATTAAACTAGTTCATTACAAATGTAAAACCTTGAAACGTAAATTCTCCCTACCCGACACACAGGGACGGTTCACCACCTTGTATTTGCGACTCAAAAAGTAGTTTCGTGTTTGAAAAATCTTTAAAAATATACACAAACGTATCAAAACATATTTAGGGTCACGATAATTTGATATCATACATCTCTATATGATTATATACAAAATCCACTTTAACAAAAAAATATTTTTGCCTTGTCAATGTGGAACTAACGTACAAAGAACGTAAACAATTGTGTTCGGGCTAGTCACTTACGACAAAGGGAGACAATTAAAGGGGAAGTAACTCTTGTATGACAATAGTTCCGTCACTGTAGTGAAATATCAAGTGTTATGTTCACTGCAATGGAAATATCACTTTTCTCAATTTCAGAAATCTCTTTCATGCTAAAGTATTAAATAAATTACTGCATCACCCTTGGATCAATAGGTACAAATGGTTTAACCGACTGACTGTAACACCATTTCTTATTTGTTATGACGCAGGTTGCCCAGTGATCCAAGGCGATGGAAATCTCCTTGCAGAGATGCATCCGTTATTTGCGTGGGGATTCGCTGATCGTTGGCCTTAATCAAATATTTCCCCTGATGATAACACTTGGTTTGTCAGCACCATATCCGTACTCGTGGGTTTCAACAAAATAGTACATGTCTACGCCCGCATCATTTCGGTCTTTCCGCACGCACTCACTCACTCACTCACTCACTCAACCACTCAACCACTCTCTCAACCACCCAAACTAACCAACCTACAAACCAAGTACTTATTAAAGCACTCCCTGACTCAAACCCTCATTCACTCAAACATCCTCTGTCCAGTATCTCTGAAATATTATGCCACCGGTATCATATTTTGTTTCACAAAGCAGCCGAATACACCAGCAGCGGTCATTCATAAACCTTTCACCAAATCAGAAGGAACTTGCAGAAACTTCATACAACAATACCCTCTCGTGTTTCAACTACAGTGAATCGATAAAGTTCATCATAATTCATGCTGCCATCCAGGTTGCCATACAAACTGACGACAGCACCTGCTTGTTTAGGCTGAATTTGGCCTTGAAACACGGACGGAGACACCGGTGAAGCTCCTCGCCCGTCCACGAGGATTCGCTTCATTTTCACAGAATCCACAAGGAAATCGATGGTCTGCCCTGCTGGAATGAACCCGCTCTGAGGTTCGACCAATGTGGCCATGCAGGCCTGGGTGAATGGGAAAGAAGTTGGGAAGGGTTGACAGTCTTCTACAGCAGTCTTGCATTGGACAAGGTAAACTGCAATCAAATCAACACTGTTTCCGTCGGTGCCAGGTGGCTTTGCAAACAGGGATATCTTATAGTACCCCACCTTTGGGAACCGCGCCCTCACCCTCATACCACTGTAGGAGTACTCTGATGTGACAAAATCGTTGAGATCGGGGATGTTCTGAACGGCATGTTCCATCTTTAGCAGGGTTGTAGCATTTTCAACCATGCCCACCGAGAATTCTAAAATACCACTGTCCGTCACAAAGAAGTCATCTTTATAAACATCATTGACAAAACCATAGTTCTCTGCGACCGCCTTGACACCCCATAGTCCATTGTTTTCGGGAAATGGCTTCATCCCTGGTATAAAAGACATACATTTTATTGAATATGAGATCAGTGCGCAGTAACGATACTCCTCTCCATGCGCTTCTCCGTATACTTGCAGCCTGTAGGTAGCTCTTGCAGGAGGGTACACCGTTATGCCAAACGAACCGTCTTTCTTTCGACGAGGAACAACATACTTGTCACATTCTTCTCCAGTGTCGGAGTTTTTGAATTTGCAAACAACATTCACAAGCATCAGTCTGTTGACTCTGAACTCGATCTTCACAGTCCTGTCCACATGGATGACACAGTCTTTGTGAGTCAGAAGCTCCAATCCCCACTGCAACGCTGACAGGGTTGGTGACACCTTCTTGTTGAAGAGGTTCAGATTCAGAGGGGGATTCAGCAGCTGGTACTGGCAACTGACATCAAGTCCTCCACGGAGGTACGGGTAATGGCTCCACACAAACTTCTGTGGGTCCATCAGGAAATAGAAGTCGTTGAACATGGGACAGAACTGGTTCTCGTCATCAATGTAACCAGATCCCCATGTGCAGTCGACTTGACGCCATTCCCCGTGAACGAAGACGATGTTCCAGGTGTGGTTTACGTCATCAAATGATTGGAATGGGGTGTCCGGGTCGTAGAAGTAGTCTTTGGAGAATCCCGGCACAACTCTCGCCACGATGTCAACTTCTCTGAAATAAATGCAGCTAGCGCTCATCACGTGAACAAATAGCATGTTTTTAATAATCAAAGTATTTTTTTTAAGAATGAAGAAAATGACATTGGAAGATAATGCATATATATTATATTACTCAAAAGAAGTTAAGGATCACCGGATTCCTTCATATTATCATTATATGCATCGCCTCAAGCTTAAGGCCGCCCGGCCTTCATCACGCACACAAAGAGTGTATATGTATGTATTTATCTGAATTCCCCAATGGGAATGAACAAAAAAGAAGTTTCATATAATTAATCTGATATGGCATGACGGCTCAACTAAAGTTATTCTCTTTTATATTATGTGATAAAAACGTTAAGCATTGGTTAACCTAATGGTCGTTATAAAGCCTTAAGCGGCATTTGGGACAATAATTGATTGCTACGAGCGTGATTTATAATTATGAAAACATGTTCAATACTCAACTTGGGTACATAAGCAATTGAACGAAAATGTATTGTGCAAACTTGAAACTGTACTGGGTACGTTAAATGTACAGCTAATGTTACCTGCAAAGAGCTGTGAAAATATTTGAAAATCCATGACACACCGCCTTCCTTGTTAACAAAATAGTTTGGGGGTCACAAGGCATATTCCTGTAAGTGCCGGAGAGAATCGAGTTGATATCGTATCTGAAACAAATATCAATTACATACAGCTTAATGAGATAGTCCTTACATTAAAATAGTGAGTAAGTTAGTAGGAGAAAGCGTTTAATATATTTGAAATTTGTGGTAAATTAAAAAAGTATGCTGGTTCTATGCTGCTTTGAACAATATTCCAGTTATATCACAGCGTGTCAGCTTAATGCGTGAGGAAAGCCCGAAGTGATGCAGCTCTCAGACGCTTACCACTTCGTGAAACCCACGAGCACGGGTATGGTGCTGACGAACCTAGAAACATAATCTGGGCGAACCGGGATTTTAACCCTCAATCACGTTTCTGGCGTGCCCAAGGGACGCAACTCTGCACAGCGAACAGCGTCGCCTTCAGACAACTTGGTCACCCGTATCTGTCAGCTTAACTGCATTATTAAAATAAATCGTCTATTCTTTTGACAGAGTTATCCGAGTTCACGTTTCGTGTTGGAATCGGTCACGAGCAATCCAGCAATCCAGCAATGAAGGTGAAATTGGGTTTAACGTCGCATCCAAGATTATTGCACTTATATAGCGACGTGCATGCACGTGTGTGTGTGTGTGTGTGTGTGTGTGTGGCTGCCGATTTATAGTGCTAGCACACTGAGATACCATGGCGCAGTTTAACATGAATACCCCACTCAGACACAGCATACCGACTCCGAGCCGACCAGTCCTTGTTTTAGTCCCTTAATGCCGAGCGCCAGACAGGGTAACAACAAGTGCCATCTTTTAACGTCTTTTGTATAACGCGGCTGGGGATCGAACCCCGGACCTTCCGCTCTCTGGGCGGACGCTCTACCATTAGACCACGGAGGCGGTTTGTAATTATGGACGCACTGTATTCCGAATAGTAATATATATTAACACCTATTACATGTGAGTGTCGTCGACGGAGAAGTGTCTGGCAGTGTTGAAGTCATGCATTGGTTAGTTGGAGCAAGAGGAAGCCATGGTGTCGGCTTCACAACACCGGAAAATGTAGAACCCAGGCAGATCCACATCATGAGTATTAAACATGATGAGTATTGAGTGAGTGAGTTGGGTTTAACGCCGCTTTTAACAGTATTCCAGTTATATCGCGGCGTGTCAGCTTAATGTGGGAGGAAAGCCCGAAGTGATGCAGGTCTTAGACGTTTACCACTTCGGTGAAATCCACGAGCACGGGTATGGTACTGACAAACAAAGCGTTATCATCAGGGGACAAACCTAGAAACATAATCGGGGCGAACCGGGTTTCGAACCCACAATCATAGGTTTCTGGCGTGCCCAAGAGCCGCAACTCTGCACAGCGAATCGCCGCGCATTAGACGACTGGGCCACCCGTAACCCCTGATGAGTATTGTTAATTCCCCCTGTCACATAAATAAAATAGGTGAGTGAGCTCACCCCGCTCGGTTGTATCACAACATGCAGGTCTGAGACGTTTACTACTGTTTGGTACAGAGAATCCTGAAACACCATAAGGGTGATCTGTCATTCGAACACAAGGGCAAAGGTTTTTGTGCCTGAGGGACAAAGGCGGAAGTTGTACCCACGTGATGTTGTGAGTAATCCACCGGTAGATGGCCCTCACACGGTGCAGATCATCCGGGGCTTTGTGTGTGAGATATGTAGCGAGAGATCTTAGACTGGAACATGACGTCTCCGGACACTAAAACATTCATCGAAGTGTAAATTAACTTTAATGGATAAAAGACGCATTCACAAAATGAATAAAAAACATAATAAATGACTGCAATCAAAACCTAAGAACATCATGTCGAATCTGTAAAACAAGTAATTCGAATGCATCTGAAGAGTCTCAACGGTTGTTGGTTGGTTCGTTGTTTAACCATGCTTGCCGTAAAAGGCGACTATGCTTGTCGTAAAAGGCGACTAACGGGATCGGGTGGTCAGGCTCGCTGACTTGGTTGATGCATGTCATCGATCCAAATTGCGTGGATTGATGCTCATGATATTAATCACTGGATTGTCTGGTCCAGACTCGATTATTTACAGACCGCCGTCATATAGCTGGAATATTGCTGAGTGCGGCGTTAAACAACCAACCAACCAACCAATCGTTTTTTAACACCGCACTCAGCAATATTCCAGCTATATGAGGCGGTCTGTAAAGTAAAGAGTCTGGACCAGACAATCCAGTGATTGACATTAGATCATCGACATGCATCAACCAGGTCATCGAGGCTGACCACCCAATACCGTTGGTCCCGTTGGTCGCCTCTTACAAGCATAGTCGCCTCTTACGACAAGCTTATCTAGTAGGCACCCTTTTACTATTCTCAGTTTCTGGGGGAAATAAAGTCAGACCAGTAGTCGAAACAATAAGAATGCCATCCGTTTGATCATCGTCTTTCTCAGACTATAGAATTGTTTTATAAGAAACTAACATCGTAATTGGTTGGAGAGGTATATAACTGTCAATCGTACATAAGTATATATAACAGAAACACATATCGCGTAAATGTGTGACAAATGTTTTAATGAAAATGGTCCAGGGGTGATGCTATCAAGGTTTCTGAAGATGATAACCCACCTGTAGAGCATGCCTATCAGTTTCTTCGAACACAGCAGCATTCCTTATTAAATCCTTTCTCCGAGAAACTGGAGGTACCAAGGCAGGTTTCTGTGGGCCAAACGTATAACCGTTTGTTCGTATTTCCGAGTTGCTGCTTCTTCTGACGGTCACGTCCTTTGGCCTCACGTTTTTAGTCGGCGGGTTGGAGATCTTCATGGGTGTCGTCACAAGTCTCTGACCTGTACCAATAATTGGTGCGTGGTTGGTTGTCGTGACAACAACCTTGTTGCCGCTTTGTTTCACCGGCGACGTTTGACGTTCCGTACGAGTTTCCATGGAGGTGCTGGAGGACAACCTCTGTCGTTCCCGCGATCGCCTTTCAGTTCCGTGTGTCGCGTTATGCATCTTGCTGATGGATGATTTCTGATTTGATGACATGGCAACGACTTTCTGGTTGCTGGACGATCGAACCATATGTGGTCTTGAGCTTTCTGTGCGAGTTTCAGTATACTGATTTGAAGACTGTCGGACATACACCTCCTTTGAGGTTCCTTCAAACACATGCATGACACTCGGTCTGGTTCCTGCTTTCCCGGGGTTCCTCTGCATAACGCCGACGTTAACAGGTGCCCCAGTGTCGGAGGCACTGAAGACCATTATTCCCCTAGAGCTTTCTTCAGACCCTCTACTCCTCCGGCCGGGACTACGACTCCTACTCCGAGTTCTGACTCTTGGCATGGAATGAAACTTATTGACCACTTCGCCATTCGTTGGGGGAACAGTGAGTATCGCTTCGTCACTTATGAATCTGTAGCCACGTCCAAACGAGCTGCTGTTTGAGGGGACTCTCAGGATCCGTCTCTCTGTCCTCTTCTTATTCCCCTTTTTTGATGATGACTGGCCCATGTTTTGTACCTGAGAGGAAACACGATTATGATAAAATGCTAGGTTCATAGTGTTTGTTTGTTTGTTTGTTTGTTTGTTTGTTGTTTAACACCGCACTCAGCAATATTCCAGCCCGGAGAGCGGAAGGTCCGGGGTTTGATCCCCGGCTGCGTCATACCAAAAGACGTTTAAAGATGGTACTTGTTGTTACCCTGTCTGGCGCTCGGCATTAAGGGGCTAAAACAAGGACTGGTCGGCTCGGAGTCAGTATACTCTGTCTGAGTGGGGTATTCATGTTAAACTGCGGCATGGTATCTCAGTGGGCTAGCACTTTAAATCGGCATCAGTCCGGACTAGTACGAGCAGCCCCCCCCCCCCCCCCCCCCCACACACACACACGTGCATGCACGTCGCTATAAAAGTGCAATAATCTTGGACGCGACGTCAAACCCCATTTCACCTCACCTCACCTCATGTGTACGTTTTTAGAAAACATATGTAGGTGTTTAAACTTACACAAACTAAACATTGTAAAACATAAAAAAGATATTGTGAACGTTCTGTCAAGCGGTCTAATGTCAACACCTGCCAGTGATTCACTATAACAGTGAGTGAGTCATTTAACGCCGATTTTAGCAATATTACAGCCATATCACGGCGGGGGACCCCAGAAATGGGCTTCACATGTCGTGAATCGAACCCGGGTCTTCGGCGTGACGAGCGAACGCTTCAACCACGAGGCTACCCGACCGCGATTGACTTTAACAACAAAAGGTACATCAGTTACATTGTTACGTATAAACGAGAGAGTTAGTGAGTTGGGTTTAACGCCGTGTTTAACAGTATTTCAGTTAAATCACGGCGTGTCAGCTTAATGATATAGAAAAGCCCGAAGTGATGCAGGTCTCAGACGTTTACCACTTCGGTGAAACCCACGAGCACGGGTATGGTGCTGACAAACCTAGAAACATAATCGGGGCGAACCGGGATTCGAACCCACAACCATAGGTTTCTGGCGTGCCCAAGGGACGCAACTCTGCACAGCGAATCGCGGCGCCTTAGACGACTGGGCCTACCGTGCCCCCACGTATAAACGAAGTAGATGGATAATTATATATATAGTTAATGCTGTCAACAAATGTAACATAATGAAGAAAGATTGTACACTCGCCGACACATATGTTATTTACTGTGTAGCACGAAACATGATCCACGCTACAACGTACAGTTACTCCCAACGAAATACGATTGTGCTGCACAGTGTGTCCATTCACACAGTGGGATATTCACAATGAGCACCGCCCACGTCGTCGCCTTGGTGTAACAGTCGTGTCTGAACTCCAACATGTGGGCTCTCGTGTGCTGAATAAACTAGTGTGGTTAAGCATGTCATGTCACCTCTCATTGCATTTGTGCGAATCTCTGACGATATCCAGGCGTTCCTTGGTGCGTTAATACCATAGACATAGTTTGAAAATTATTTTTCAGGTACAGACAAAAACAAACAATGATAAACACCTGCAATCGCTTTCAGCTTGTAATCGCAGCGTGGTGTGGGTTAGAGGTGAGGTTAAATTGGGTTTAACGTCGCGTACAAGATTATTGCACTTATATAGCGACGTGCATGCACGTGTGTGTGTGTGTGTGTTTGTTGCTGCTTATACTAGTCTGGACTGATGCCGATTTATAGTGCTAGCTCACTGAGATACCATGCCGCAGTTTAACATGAATACCCCACTCAGACACAGTATACTGACTCCGAGCCGACCAGTCCTTGTTTTAGCCCCTTAATGCCAGACAGGGTAACAACAAGTACCATCTTTCAACGTCTATTGGTATGACGTGGCCGGGGATCGAACCCCGGACCTTCCTCTCTCCGGGCGGACGCTCTACCACAAGACCACGGAGGCGGCGATGTGGGTTAGAACAGGGTAGAGGAAAGCGAATTGTTACTGAGTACATGGGAGTGAGGGAGAGAGTTATTTTTAATGCCAATAAAAACATTCAATGAAAGAGTGAGTGAGTGAGTAAGGTTTTACGCCACTTTTAGTATTATTCCAGCAATATCACGGCGGGGGACAGCACACAGGGGCGTGACGAGCGGAATGCAGAGAAGGGGTGTTGTGAAGGAATTCCAGGATGTAGCATATTACATACAAGACAAAGCGTGAAGAAGGGGAGGAGCTTCGGAATGGTAGCTGAGCTCCAGATAATTTTTTGAGCAATTGATTTTGTCCTCGAAGATTTCTATTTTTATTGGGTTATTACATTTTTCATTGGGTAACCAATATTTTTTTCCACTCATCTAATCATCACTCTTATCGGTTTTTCCTAAAATGAATAAGCATGTTGAGATTTAAAAATAAAGGAAAGAATGTTTTAGATGTATATAACGGTTCTCAATATAGGCTTGACTTGGAAAGTAAATTAGCTCGTAAATGTGTTTCAGAAATTAGCTCCGTCCAGCTTCACCGGCTTTTTACGCATGATGAGTTTAAATATTTTAGTTTTTCATTTAATGCATGCGTTTCTGTACGCAAGTTAATTGAAAGTAATTTGAAAGGGGGGGGGGGGGGGGGGGGGGGGGGAGAGTTCAAGGAAGTGAGGTTGGGTAGGGTGTAGGTATGTTTGAAGGAACAGTACGGTATCAGAGAGGAGGCGAAGGAGGAATGATGAATTAGCCGTCTCCTTTAAACTCTTATTGGAGGTGTTTGGATGAATATTTTTTTTCCGGAGAGAGAGGAGAGAGGTGCTGGTGAGAAACTACATTGGTGTTAGCATGTGAGTTGGGGCAGGTTTGAAGGATCATTATTCAGTCCAGTAGCGAGTATGCCTGAAGGAGGGCGTGGTCGAGGGGACAGAAAGACGTGACTTGACGAGAGGGAGACGTTTGAAACAGAAAACCATACAACAGAAACACCTATACAACAACCGATGTCATTGCAGGAAAAAAGTGATCCTTAAGAAGTGAGATCTCAAATAATGTGGTGATCTTTGCCTGCATGATAAGCCGCCTATGTAAGAGAAATACCAGATATTAAAAAGCTTGCAGTGATATTGTAATTAGAACATGATAAAGTATCTTACCGGTCGTATTCCCAACTGTATATCCTCGTTAACACCTGGATTATCACGGAAGTCAATAAAACAAAGGCAAACTGTCACTCGTGGGAGCGCTGCGCTCCACTGGTCATGACACCGTCTCGATGTGGACGACTGCAACGCATTCCTGCACGATCCGCATAATATGAATCGAAAATGATCCGAATCGGGACGTGAAAAGGCATTCACGAACACAAAGCCATTGACATACGAGTTTTGTATGTGACACAAATCTGAAAGGGAACGTCAGATCCTCTATGAATCATGAACGGTTCAATACATTCTCAGCCCGTGCTTGTGTTGTCTGGCTGTGCATTGCCGGCGAGCTTGAATAATACCGTTTGACTGACAGGTGGGTTTTACTTTCCAAGGGACGCAAACATAAAGGGGATAGCTTCGATTTTTCTTTACTCAGACGCATCTCAAAGCCCAAGAAAATATCTCACGCCCTGGGTGTGTAAAGTTAAGATACTCTGTTGAGGTTAAGGCTTATGTTGGCGGTGTTCTGTTCATAACTAATGTTCTTGTAAGACACACATGTTGAACAGGTGAAGAAGCTGTTATACCTGAATTTCCCTGTGGTTGAAATACAATCAAATGCCCGTTAGTAAACACGCCTGACCTGCTGTAGTGTGTTGTACGCTATTCAGGGTGTGCACAGGTTTCATACATGATATAACAAGTCCCGTAACGTCCCGTGTCATGCCTTAAACCCCCTTTGCATATATGTCACGGTGAATAACACGCTTGTGGGTCCTATTTTATCAGAGAGCAACATCACCCCTTGTACACAATATATACAGACCCGTCAAATCCGGGTTAGAATCTTCAGCAAACTAGGTTGTCGTTAGAGGCGACTATGCTTGTCGTAAGAGGTGACTAACGGGGCCGGGTAGTCAGGCTCGCTGACTTGGTTGATGCATGTCAACGTATCCCAATTGCGTGGACCGATGCTCACGATATCAATCACTGGGTTGTTTGGTTCAGACTCAATTATTAACAGCTCGACATCATATATCTTGAATATTGCTGAGTGTGGCGTTATATAACAAACAAACAAGATATGTCTATATTATATGTATGTTTTACATGCAATATACTATTTTAGATTAACGGCCTTTGGTAATGGTATGATTATGGACAAATAACATAATCGGGCATGGCTATATATGATCAGGACAAGTATTTAACAGGCAATGTAACGCTCCAAGATGGACACAAACTGACCGTTGCCCCAAGGTTATTCCTCCGCCAAGACTGCAGGGTAAAGGGTAAAGTACAAAGCTTCTCCCTACCGGGGTAGAATAGGTCTTCAGCAACCCATGCTTGCCGTAAGAGGCGACTATGCTTGTCGTAAGAGGCGAAAAACGTGATCGGGTGGTCAGGCTCGCTGACTTGGTTGATGTCATCGATCACAATTGCGTGGATCGATGCTCATGATATTGATCATTGGATTGACTTGTCCAGACTCGACTATTTACAGACCGCCGTCTGTATTGCTGAGCGCGGTGTTAAACAACAAACCAACCAACCCGACCCTATCACCCAGATCAGTTTTTAATTTTTTATTCAGATAACTATGGTTTCACGGCACCGAATCATATCTCAATAACTGGTTGAACACACGCCTCATGTACAGATGATTTCCCAAGGTATCCGACCATGGCTGGGCTATTTATGCTGATGGCGTGTCATCGCGCCACGTTGTTGGGTATCGCTGCTAATAATTTCATTCACTCTGCCTGGTCCAGATTCGATTATTTGTCGTCTTTATACTGCTGACTGCGACGTTAAACAGCATTCACTCAGTCACACTTTGCAACATGTGATATAAAAGAAGCGGGTCATTACATTCCTCATATTTGTAATTTAATTGTCACATTTACAGAACATTGTAAGGGCGACACACCATGCAGATAAAGAGGCCACAACAACGCCTCAGTAACGATCTAACACAGAAACGCACATGTGTTGTTAACGAGGATGCATGTACGTCTCGAAACTGTACAATATTTTAGTGGGTGGGTAATAAAGCTATATTTCTACAGGGGACACCAGAAATGGCCATCACGCATTGTGAAGGAAATCGAACCGGACCTTCAGTATTCCGAGCAAACACTTTAACCACTAGGCTACCATTGCTACTGTACCATGAGGGAGTGAGTGAGTATGGCTTTACGCCGCTTTTAGCAATATCACGGCGGGGGACACCAGAAATGGGCTTCACACATTGTACCAATGTCGGGTATCGAACCCGGGTCTCAGGCTTGACGAACGAACGCTTTGACCACTTGGCTACCCGCCCGCCAAACCATGGTTTTAATATAAAGACCCAGTGATTATTTTCCAAACTTAACTTTAAGGACAAGTTTTTCAATTTGAGAACTATTTAACGATTCTCCATGACACGCGTCACATCTATTGTAAACTGCCGGACAAAAGAAAGTGTACACCCATGTTTGATGGTGGCTGTAAATGAAAAAAATACAGAAATGGTTATTCGATGATGATGTATTTTATTCGGGTATCATTGTTGTGCTTTCGACTTGACGTTTTGTTGTGTTTCGGAGGCTTTTTGATAACTTTATTACGTTTTTGGTTGAATTTTGCAGTGAATACTTTCTTTTGCCCCGCAGTTTATAGATATCAAATTCCACTACAAAGATTTATCTGCTAAAGGTTGTATTTATAGCCACACCGCCAATCTCACAAGAGAACACGTGAGGTCACTTCAATGAACGCCACAGCACTTTGTTTACCCTCGATCACATCAAAACTCACGGAGGTCACAGCAAAAGAAACGGGGGTCACAGCAAAAGATACGGGGGTCACAGCAAAAGAAATGGAGGTCACAGCAAAAGAAACGGAGGTCACAGCAAAGGATACGGAGGTCACAGCAATACATAAGGAGATCACAGCAAAAGATACGGATGTCACAGCAAAAGAAACGGAGGCCACAGCAAAAGATACGGAGGTCACAGCTAAAGATACGGATGTGTCAAAAAAAGATACGGAGATCACAGCAAAAGATACGGAGATCACAGCAAAAGAAACGGGAGCCACAGCAAAAGAAACGGAGGTCACAGCAAAAATATACGGAGGTCACAGCAAAAGATACGGAGGTCACAGCAGGACACACGGAGGTCACAGCAGTACGCAAGTAGAAAATCAGTAGACAACATCACAACACATTTACACCAACAATATAACTATTTGCACAGACATTGTGATTGTTTCCCAGAGTGTCGAAGTCCACAGATCAGCTCAACGAAGTTTAGAATAGCATTGTGCTGGGTATTCATTTGTGAATGTATACACGCTATTGTATTGGATTGTACAGAACATGGCCCTCATATCGGCTTTTCAGTGGACAGACTTGGTGTTGAAAAAATGTTGATAACAAGACCCATGTAGTGTTAGAGTAAGTTAGTTGGATCAAGAGTAAGTTAGTTTGATCAAGAGTAGGTTAGATGGATCAAGAGTAAGTTAGATGGATCAAGAGGAGGTGCATGAGATCAAGAGTATGTCAGATGGATGAAGAGTAAGTTAGTTGGATCAAGAGTAAGTTAGAAGGATCAAGAGTAAGTTAGTCGGATCAAGAGTAAGTTTGTTGGATCAAGAGTAAGTTAGTTGGATCAAGAGGAAGTAAGTTGGATCAAGAGGAAGTTAGTTGGATCAAGAGGAAGTTAGATGGATGAAGAGCAAGTTATCTGGATCAAGAATGAGTTAGCTGGATCAAGCTCCAATATTGTTTCCGTTATATCTGTACCGACAGGAGCCAGGCACGGCTTACGCGGCATAACGTCGTTTACGCTTCACTGGTTATCTGGCTCAAGCGGTTGCAACACCCACCAATTGTTCAAAGCCTTGGCTTAATACATATGTAAATGTCCTCTCAATATGTTATATATATATTCGATGTCAATTATAGGCCAACGCAAATTACACTTACATATGTATACATGAGATATTGATAAGTAGTCACACTACAAATGTATATTCTACAGCCACAACGTTTCATTTTAACGTCACAAAGGCTATGTTATGACGTTGGCAATTAATTGCCTTTGAAGAAGTTCTCAAACGCACCACTTCACCTTGTAGCTATTCAAAGGCTCGAATAATTTCAGAGATATAGAAGACGAAAGCACATTATCTTGTTAACCAATCTTTGTAAGTTTACTTACTATGGAGGGCACGGGTGACCCAGTCCTCAAAGGCGCTGTGATTCGCTGTGCAGAGCTGCGTCCCTTGGGCACGCCAGGAACCTATGATTGAGGGTTCCAATCTCGATTCGCCCCGATTATGTTTCTAGGTTTGTCAGCACCATACCCGTGCTCGTGGGTTTCACCGAAGTAGTAAACGTCTGATACCTGAATCACTTCGGGCATTCGTCCCACATTAAGCTGACACGCCGTGATATAACTGGAATATTGTTAAAGGCGGCGTTAAACCCAACTCACTCACACTCACTATCTTACTATGACGTTGACATGTATGAATGTTATCAACTGTTAAACTGAGTGATTAACGTACAAATAAGTAAAAGATTTGCCCTCATGCCAGATGAACAATTTATACTGTAAGAAATATGCATATGTCTCACAAAAACGATACGTCACACAGATAAAATTATTTACATTTGTCCGAATGTGGGTAGGGTACTCATTCAGCTACTGTACATTGTCCTTTGCCATTTTAAGCAAGAAAGTACATAACTACATGCTTCGTCTAATGCCAAGTATTGTTCTTGAAGTATGGCGTCATGACGTCGTGTCTATTTCAGTGACAAATCAATCACAGAATGGGCCTCGCTAATACAGTAAGGTAATCACTCTCGAACTGTCAACCCACATGTGTGGCATTGCGTTCTGTAATCTATTGATATTTGATAGATTATATTAGGTTATGATAGTCATTATATGACACTATCGCCTTCTATACAGCCACATACGTAAGACTTCAAGCATACGTTCTCTACCTCATGTTCCAAAATGTCAATAAACGCTAGGTCAGGGTAACCGACACTTCTAATATGCCCATGGAACTTGGAGGAACATGCTTATTCGGGTAAAACTCCGTTCCTGTTAACTTCTCCAGATTAAAAGTGTGCGACGACGAATGTCTCAATATACAGATTCAGTACTATCACTTGATTGTCGGATCCGACTCTTTTGTTTAAAGGCCGCAGTGGCAGGAATATTACTTGGTTCGTTAGACAACAGACACCTACGTTTGTAGGGAAATTGTGTGAGTGGCGAGTGTTACCGGTAGTGCAGCACACGTTTCCGAACACTTGATATCATTTCTTATTTTCAGTGATCAATTCACATAATTCTCCATTACCAATTTGCCTGTGGAATCTCTTCGGACAGATAATCGAGGATGGTTATTCTCTGGTGTTGACCTTTTAAATTAGCATGCCCATTCTGAGTTTGAGTTGTCTTCAATACTTGTTAACATAATGATTTATATTGCGCTATCTATCCATTCCACACATTGGCACGCTCAAAGCTCACGCATTATTATTACCCAAATAGATTGATCAGTGTGCACTCGATATTCATTCTCAGCACCCTGGGGAGTATACAACCCAAGCTGTCTGTGAGGCGCTAGAAGTCAAGTCCTACCGGGTACCCATCCATTGCTGGGTGAACAGAGGCGTATTTTGAACAACGTCACTTGCCTAAAGAGACACCACATGTGCATTACACAAAAAAATTACAACTGACATTGAGTATACATGTCCTACAACCAAACAGTTACACACAAAATCATGTATATACATTACATCGCGATCAGTACGGTCGCGCCACGGTGCTGTACCGAGGGCGTGCCATCATCTGTGGATTATTTAAATCTGTCATAGATGATGATGGGGAAACATAGCTCATTGCTTGCTGGTATGGCATTGGAAGGGTGTTTTGGCTGTACATGCTAGGGTCCACGTGACCATACGAAGGCGAGACATATCCTCCCTGGTATCCATTCTGGATCTGAAGAGCGTGGAGACTAGACTGGTAGTCTGGTGTGCCGTGAGAGGGAACAGGGGATGGACCTCTGTAGAATCCGTTATCAACATATCCTGTGTAGCTCACTGCCGACAACCTTTGCTGCTTTGGTCGTGCATCTTCATCATCCTCTTCCTCATCATTGTCATCGTTGTCACTCGCCTTGTTCACATTCGCTCTGTCGTGTGCATTGCTATTTGCTTTGTCATCTGCTTTATCGTCATTAATGTCTAAGTCGTATTCATTGTCATTCTCGTCTTCGTCAACTTCGCTTTTGCCTGGTTCTTCCTCATCTGTGTCGTGTGTGTTTTTAACTACTGGTGCTCTGTGCACACCCTGGTGTGAAACGTACCTATTGTTTCTCTGATTGTTCACATGTTCATCGACCGGTTGATTTCCTCCTGCATTCCTGCTTTCATCATATTCGTCGTCTTCTTCTTCATCCTCCTCCACCTCTTTGTTGAACTGTTCAGGTTTAACAGGTTCAACCATCCTACCATGATAGGGATCATACCTCATTGCATCCTCTTGCTCATCATACAGTATATCGGGCACATGTTGCCAACTTCTCACACTCGCTACGGAAGAGGTCGACCCTCTCCTGCTTTTCACTAGCACTGGAGGCTCCAATCCGTAACCCTGGTTGTTCACCTGTTGCCAACTTCTCACACTCGCTGTGGAAGAGGTCGACCCTCTCCTGCTTTTCACTAATACTGGAGGCTCCAATCCGTTCTTACCCTGGTTGTTCACTTGTTGCCAACTTCTTACACTCGCTGTGGAAGACGTCGACCCTCTCCTGCTTTTCACTAATACTGTTGGCCCCAATCCGTAACCCTGGTTGTTCACATGTGAATACTCCTCGCCATGCTCTCCTTTGCCGTCTTTGGGTCTACCTTCATTCTGCAGTCTTCCCTTCTCACCATCAGGATCTTGGTACACTGCAATTTCTGGAGGATCTATTGAAGGTGGTCTATCGCCGTATGGTTCGTCTTCCTGTGATTCAGTATCTGGTTCAGGAGAAGGTGCTGAAGGAGCAGCCTTCCCCTTCTTCTTCTTCCTTCTTGGTTTGGAACTTTCTGAGGCTAAATACCTCTGTACTTCAGTTTTGTCAGAAAAGGGGGAACATGATCTCATGCCTTTCAAACACTTAATGAAAATGAAGACAACTGGACTATAACTGCCTGGCTCATTTGGATCAGAAGCAAAAATCTGCAGTTTGTAATATCCAGAATAAGGCAACCTGACCATGATTGCCATCGTTGTACTATTTGTTGCTTCTGAAACAAAGTCATCTAGATTGCCCGATTGTTGCGAATGTTCCAGTCGAATAATGTTGTCTACTTTCCATTTCACTGGCAGTGCGAATTCAAGGGTTCCATCTTCTGATAAGAATAAATTTTCCTCAAAAACGTCCTCTGTGAATCCACAATCGACAGCACCAGCCTGTCCACCCCACATGCCAAAATGTTCAGGGTATGGTTCACCATTCTCATCAGCTTCAGTGCAGTTGATGATGTAACTTACAAGACCTTGGTGTTTAGACATTCCTTCGGTTTCTCCAAACAACTTCAGGTTGTATGTACCTTCAGATGGAGGTTTTACCTTTGCTGAAAAAATGCCATCTTTCTTATATAAGATGACATTATTTTCATAATCCTGTCCACTTCTCTTACGATGGAATGTACAGGATACATTTACCATCTGTACTTTACTTGTACGGAAGTTTATAGTGACATTGTGTACAACGTCAATTTTGGCTTGGGTATGAGAGAGCAGTTCCAGCCCCCATTCCATGCCATTCCTGTAAGGCTTGACTGTTAGGTTAAACTCATCCAGTGTGATCGGCGTCTTGAGGAGTTGGAACGGAGCACTGTATTTCATACTATCTTCCATGTAGGGGTAATGGGCAAGAATGAATACATCCGGGTCTGTGAGGAAGTTCAGTTCATTGTAATTCCAGACAAACCTGTTGCTTTTGTCCATTTGACCTGCTCCCCACGTCACGTCAACTGGCCACCAAGTACCACTGATACAAACGATGTTCCAAGCGTGGTTGACGAAAGAGTCCTCGGTGATAGGGACACTGGGGTCGTAGGTGGTTCCCTTGGAGAAGCCTGCCACGTAGTAACAAGGCACGGAGACTACCCTGCAAAAGCAGAAAACAAACAGATGCACTCATCTCTTATTACCTTGTATTTATCATACACATCGGTTGTCACATGAGCACTTGTCTAACATTTGTGCTGGAGGGAATGAGTGCATGGTGTTTTCAAGATGCTTTCTGAATCATTTTGCTATGTTATGGTGCTTGGCAATCAGGTTCGTGGATAACATCTATATTATTCCTACAAGGCTGCTTCTTGCCCCTTCACCTATTGAACGTTTTTATGTGTATAATACAGACGTTCGTAACATGTAACTCCTTGTCTTGTTTAGGTCCAACGTCTAACTAAAGACTAAATCGTGTCAAGGCTAGTCTTATTCTCAGTGTTTGAAGACATTTCGTCTATGTTCAACATCACTACTAGTGTGTGGCACACAATGGCAGGACGAGGACGTAGTTTAAGTTTAATGGAAAAAACATTCAATCGTTCGAAAATTATCAGACATCTTCAAACACTTGACAGCTACTCTTTTTCTTTCTTTCTGGCAAGTACACAATGATGGTCAAATGAGGGCACACACGTGTGTTTGTACCATCCACATCTTCTGTGAAAAGCAGGACAAAATATCCTGTACAAGTTCAATGATAAAATCCGGAAAACCACTGCAATCCGCCGTTTTGACACATTTTACTTATATTTACACATTAAGTGTTGTTATAAATCCAATGCAAACACGTGTTGAAATGAATAAAACCTAGTTCTTAATTATTCATAGTAACATATCTGATAACTTTTATAACAATTCATCAAGGTTAAGTGAGTGAGTAAGTTTGGTGTTTCGCCGTTTTCAGCAATATTCCAGCAATATCACGGCGGGGGACACCACAAATTGGCTTCACACATTGTACCCATTGATGTTGGTGTTGATCACGATGTACAGAACTCACGCATGGATTGACATACGGAGAATCTGTTTGGAACTACGTTTTCATAGTATATAGAAATATAGTGGCGAATCTGACACCTAACAGCGCTGTCAATACTGCCGGCATGAACCCTCCTTCATCTTGAGGTCATGGGTCACAGCAGGACTGGAGTGAGTGAATGAGGTGGGTTTAACGCCGCTTTCAACAGTATTCCAGTTATATCGCGGCATCTCAGCTTAATGTGGGAGGAAAGCCCGAAGTGACGCAGGACTCAGACGTTTACCACTTCGGTGAAACCCACGAGCTCGGGTATGGTGAGCAGGACTGGAACTGACTGATGGATATTCAATCTGATAGCAAGGACGACATCTTACTTGCACAATGCTTCAAACAGCTGAGCATATCCGTCACATACGCTGATGCGATACTTCAGCACTGACTTGGGGTCGGACGGGTAGACGTGCTTCTTGGTGAGGAAGGATTCGGTATCATAGCTACGTCAAAACAAAATACACAACTTTGTTACAGATTGCAATGAACGGAGAAATCATAGCAATAAGAGTTCATTATACGATTCCGACTATATCATGAGCATGTGTTTATCAATCAAAATAAAATAGTAATGATACTAGATGTTCTTGAAAAAGCGAACGTATCCTGCCCCATCGGTGGTACCCGTCACAAACTCATGCAAAGGCAAGTCAAGTGTTCATCTCCTGTAATGATTGATGCGGCATATGCTTCTGGTAACAACCGTTGTTGGGAGTGGATTATCCCAGGTTACCTTCTGAGTTGCCACATAATCTTTGTCATCTCAACTGTCAATACGAATTAGCTCACCTACATTGAAAATAGCTATTGTGTGATTATATTTAAGTACATAACGTAATATGGGGCACGGGTGGCCTAGTCGTCAAAGGCGCCGCGATTCGCTGTGCAGAGTTGCGTCCCTTGGGCACGCCAGAAACCTATGATTGTGGGTTCGAATCCCGGTTCGCCTCGATTATGTTTCTAGGTTTGTCAGCACCATACCCGTGCTCGTGGGTTTCACCGAAGTGGTAAACGTCTAAGACCTGCATCACTTCGGGCTTTCCTCCCACATAAGCTGACACGCCGTGATATAACTTGAATACTGTTAAAAGCGGCGTTAAACCCAACTCGCTCTCACTCACTCACTCACATAACGTAAAAATAGTAGGAGAGTAGATAATGTTCAGGATCAGTTTACGCTAAGTGGTGGATCCCCTGAGGAACACAACGGTCGAGTTTCATATATACAACTCCACATTAGATAGGGCTATTTTTATAGTTCCATGACACACAAACTATTCCAATGGAATTACATATCGGATTATTCCCATCTAAGGTTGAATAGTATACAATACTGCCACACTAAATAGTATTGTAACTACGTGTTTAGGAGTGACAGTGACGACTGAAGTGAAAAAGACAAAAAGGTGTTTACCATATATTCAGCGCCATCCATTTGTAGAAAGCTCGCACCTTCTCCAGGTCCTGCTTTGTTTCATGGGAAAGATACCTTGCCAAATCCTCCACCGATTGGCAATGCTCATCAGGAACCTGAAAGTAATCACATTCTCATTGCCCACAATGTGATGTAGAGGTTTGGGACCACGCCAGGGATCACGAATCCTTCTGGGCGTTGCCGTTGTGTTTTCATCCTCTCGAATGGGTCTACTGTTACTGATCATAAGAACTCGGTTGTGTTTAAAGCATCGATGACCGAACGCCAATTCAGGTTTACAATTTGCTCCATATTCAATATTACGTTGTTTACGTATTGACACCAGTTCTAAATGAGGTGCTTCTTACGTACTTACTCTGCAGTTTGTTCAAGCAAAGGGTTTGCCTCTTCGTCAATAAAAGCGACAAGACCAATTCCTTATTCAATAGAAATCTCTTTATGAATCCTATCAAATAGCAATGATACTAGGTGTTCATGAAAAGGTCAGCGTATCCTGCCCCACCGATTGTAGCCGTCACAAACACACGCAAAGGCAAGTCAATAGTTAACCTAATGAGACGCGGGAACATATGGTACAAGTCCAAATAGGGAATTGCATCGGTTTTTGTCTCCGATGCGTCAAAATGGAAATGTCCTACACATGTGTACCAAAACACTTTTTGAAAGTTTTACTGGGGCCTTGAACGTTGTAACCTTTATCAAACAACTTCTGAGCAAGAACCGTATGGCACTCATTGAAATCTAGGTAGAAAGAGCATTCTCGATTGCGTATCAAAAGTTGCGAAATGTAAACTCGACAGGCTGGAGCTGCTGGAACATTAAGCACAGTTCTAGAAGAAGTGTTTCTTTCTAGCGACGTTTGGTCTGCTTCTTTGCATTGCAATTCCCAGAGTGTTGTAAATTCGAACTCATTCAGTTTAAAATCGATCGAGAAGATAAGCATTAGACAGGGACGCCACAAGTATCATCATTGGATATGGCGAGGTAAAGTGAGTGAGTTGGGTTCATAACGCCGTTTTTAACAGTATTCCAGTTATATCACGGCGTGTCAGCTTAATGTGGGAGGAAAGCCTGAAGTGGTGCAGGTCTCAGACGTTTTCCACTTCGGTGAAACCCACGAGCACGAGCACAAACCTAGAAAACATAATCGGGGCGTGTCGAGGTTCGAACCCACAATCATAGACTCTGCACAGCGAATCGCGGCGCCTTAGACGACTGAGCCACCCGTGCCACCCGAGGTAAGGTGAAAGAAACACCAGTTCCTGCTCTCCGAGCAGAGGCTCTATCCACGAGACTACGGGGGCGGCTTTGTCATTGTAGGTTTAAACAATATCCCGCAATATGTATAAACAACGTCACACAGGACAGTTACACACGACGAATTAGCTTAGCGCAAGACATACACATTCACGAATTCTGTGAACAACTCGTACCGTCACTGTTTGGGCTCCAAAGTTTCGACTGACATGGGTACGAATGTGAAAAACTCATCAGATGTGTATACATCGATAAATAACGTAATGTATTTGTGTTGGTTGGTTGGTTGTTTAACGCCGCACTCAGCAATATTCCAGCTATATGACGGCGGTCTGTAAATAATCGAGACCGGACTAGACAATCCAGTGATTAATATCATGAGCATCGATCCACGCAATTGGGATCGATGACATGTATCAACGCTAGATTGTCTGGAACGGACCCGATTATTTACAGACCGCCGTCATAATGATAGAATATTTTTGCTGAGTGCGGCGTTAAACAACAAACAAACAAACAAACACAAGTTGATGACCTGCATCGCTTCGGGCGTTCCCCGCACCACAAGCTGAAACACAACAACAAATCTGTTGTTCAAAGCAGCATTAAACCAAACTCACTCACTCTTTGCTAGTAGAGAAAACGCCCATACCTGTTTCGCCCACGAGTCCCTCTTGGCAAACACCGACACATCTGGGATTAAATCGTCTTTTCTCTTCTTTGGCCGTGGCAAATTTGGGATCCCGCCTTTAGTCGTCTTGGTTTTGTTCTTGTTCTGGACTTGAGGTCTCACCACCTTAGTGACACCATGGCGAGCCCGTGAGGAACCAGTATCGGCGTTCTGGGGTCTCCTGTCCTGCTCTGTGCTTGGTCCACAGCCCATCTGAAAGCAAAAAGTATTTCCATATTCATAACAAAAATAATGTCTTGTCTTCGTTTGTTTTGTATTTCAACGGTTTGGAAATGCGATATTTTTAGGGAATAACAGGTTTGGTTGGGTTGCAATGTTCTTTAATGAGCTACTTTGCTCAGTGCGTAAAACGACACTGCTTGTTTGAAGACAAACATTTGATGTCTCATACATCCAAAACGCACATTAGTTGCATTTTTGGACAAATATGCACCTGATGTCATCAATGCTTTTCAGTGATTCATTCATATAATTTTTACCCCTGTTTTGCCTTTGACACCCAATGGAATCTGTTTCGGTGGATAGTCGAGGCTGGATATACTCTAGCTTTGACGTATTATGTTTCTAAAACTCGAAATCCACTAATGATTGAGACCGCCTCCGTGGTCCAATGGTAGAACGTCCGCCCGGAGAGCGGAAGGTCCGAGGTTCGATCCCCGACCGCGTCATACCAAAAGACGTTTAAAGATGTTTCTTGTTGTTACCCTGTCTGGCGCCCGGCATTAAGGGGCTAAAACAAGGACTGGTCGGCTCGGAGTCAGTATACTGTGTCTGAGTGGGGTATTCATGTTAAACTGCGGCATGGTATCTCAGTGTGCTAGCACTATAAATCGGCATCAGTCCGGACTAGTACAAGCAGCCACACACAACACACATACACGTACATGCACGTCGCTATATAAGTGTAATAATCTTGGACGCGACGTTAAACCCAATTTCACCTCACCTCACCACTAATGATTGTTATTGATGAGAAAATAGTGAACCGGTTACTGTATGAGGCTTTAGTGAACTTGTAAACGAGACGTGTAGAATATCTGGCTTCAGACACTCAACACATATCAATTCTCAATCACACTAGGGTTGTCGGCATGACGTGTGTACCTTGTTTACTATGTGAGTAAGTCAGTTGGGTCAAGCGTCACTTTGAACAATATTCATGTTATATCACGTCGTTCAAGCTAAATATTGGAGGAAAACCCTAGTTTACCGCCACAGAGCACGGGTATGGTGCTGACAAACCTAGAAACATAATCGGGGCGAACAGGAATGTCAGGTCCAGACCGCTGTAATATTGCTGAGTGCGGCGTTAAACAAAAAACAACAAATGACGAGCGGTCACTGTGACCAACTAACTATATGTACTTCCCAACAGACATTGTTCATCTAATGCTAATAGTATTTAAGTCTATTTGTTGTAAGCAAGCTAGAATATACAACAAATTATAATAAGAGAGAAATTTGAGCATACACCCGCTCATGTCATATCTCGTTTTCAGGAAATATTGGTTCCCGCGATAGAACTGATTGTGGTATGGATGTCAGTGTTGTCATAAAGTCACACGTAAGTTAAATTGGGTCTTTGTCTTTCGAGATACAAAATAGGGATATGAAAAGCATTAAGAATTCACATTCAATTTGTAAGATATATATATAAAGTCCTTATTTACAGTTTAAAATATAAAATGCAGCAAAGAGGTTTTTTGGGTGATCCTGGCACAGTCAGGCTGGTTAGGCTCATCATCAGCTCAGGGGCCTTGCCCCCTCTACACGCAGCCCAGACAGCGAATGGGACTTCTCCCAGGAAGCGCTTACCTAGTCAAACCCACCCAGAACATTTCGGAGAATGTGAAGACTCCCCATAACCAAGATTACCCAGATTGTCAGAAGGGCTGTATTCCTGGTATCAAACCCGGGTACTCTCCCAATGTCAGTCAACATATTCGGAGATACCAAACCTAAGGCACCGAGAACAATGGGGAGTCGGGCAACTTGGTATTTGGGATGCAAGCGTGACATTTCGAAAGCGAGGTCCGCATATATGCCATGTTTTTCCTGAACCTTGTCAATCACATAAGTATCAAGAGGGACAGAAAATTGATATACTATGATTAGTAGTAAATGATTTCATTAGATTTATCAAAAAGGACAAGGTCAGGTTTGTTGGCCTGGTTACGTCTGAGGATCAACAACACCAAAAGAATATGAAAGGACGGGTACAGCATAAGTATTTGTGGCTTTAACTTTACTGCGAGCGTTCTGCTCTGAACTCAAGATTTGCTTAAGTCTACATTTGTACTCTGTCCGAAGTTTGTCCTTGATATGGGCATTCTGGAGTTTGTCCCTAATCTGCATCCCTAAGTACGTATATGTCTGACCTTCCACGAGATGGTCAATAACTCCCCCAAGTAAACTGACTGATCCTCCCTCTTCTACCTTTCCACGTTTCAGATGAAGAATGTTGCATTTGTCGATTATTACTTTTATTATGATCATTAACTTGAAAAATCAAGTTTCTCCGTTCCATAGGAATTGTTTTGTGTCGAACATTATAACTTATATGTCCACACAGTTCACATCCAGACCCCCAATCCTGCCATTCGTTCCAATTACGTCACTACTTAATTATTTTAAAGCACTACAGCTATTACTAAAGACCTACCTTGATGGCAACAGCAGAACTCCTCCGTTAATTAAAGTGTACCTCCTGGCATGGCCTAGAAGTAAATACCTACATACTAATAGGACGCTAATATCAGGGTATCATCAGCGGAATATCGGTCGTGAAAGGTGGTATAGAAAGTGAGTGTCACAGCTGGTTAATTTCGAATAGATAGCAAATACATTGACGTGTAAAGATTTGTATACAAGACAAGGGCCCCCACCTCGCTGCGCTCGTGTTGATAGAGGCAGTCCAGGAATAATATGTACCACAAACTACCTATATTGTAGAACCGTGTGTGATAAAAGTTTATTGTTTGATTTCGCGTGATATATACATTGTCCTTAAGTTGGGCACGGACGTCACAATTTCCTTTACATTTGTGTATTAAATACCGCTCTGAATATAATTCATGAGCTTTTAAAAGAGGCGTACTCTCAAGTACACTGAAGACATGTTATTAAGATAGATAGGCGAATCACATGCGTGACGGACATTCGTAAATTACTATAAGCCTATGATTTGTGACATATGAATACACGCAATGGTTATAGTTGGGAAATGTGTACCTGTTTACCTCGAGGTGTTTCCCTGTTTACTCGGTGTGTTGATGTATGTCCTTGGACACATACGACCGGGTGACTGTCAATACATGTTGTTTGTTTGTTTGTTTGTTTGTTTAACGCCGCACTCAGCGGTATTCCAGCTATATGACGGCGGTCTGAAAATAAACGAGTCTGAACCAGAGATCCAGTAATTGACATCATGAGCATCGATCTACAATTAGGATACAATGACATGCATCAACACAGTCAGCGGCCCTGACCACCCGATCCCGTTACTCGCCTTTTACGACAAGCATGGGTTGCTGAAGGCCAATTTTAACCCAGATCTCCACGGTGGGTTGTGTGTTAGTAGTGAAGGGAGTGGGTGCTATTGAGGACTTTACTATTGCTGCAATAATCACTATCAATATTATCGATCTACGCAACGGGTATACGAGGACACCCGATCCCGTTAAGCCTGGGTTGCAAACGATTGTTTCTAACCGGAATTGTCGGGGAGTGTAAATAACACGTGACGGTTATATGAACTTAGCGTGCTTTACTCATATTAAACATATGTTTTTAGTCTATTAGTTCATCTAAATGCTTCATTTTGGACACTGATGCGTCAAATTTGGAAATGTCCTCCACAAGTCTACCGAAAACGTTTTTTAGGTCTTTACTAAGGCCTTGACTGTTGTAACCACGTCTTTACTTAGGCCTTGACTGTTGTAACCACGTCTTTACTAAGGCCTTGACTGTTGTAACCAAGTCTTTACTAAGGCCTTGACTGTTGCAACCACGTCTTTACTAAGGCATTGACTGTTGTAGCCACGTCTTTACTAAGGCCTTGACTGTTGTAACCAAGTCTTTACTAAGGCCTTCACTGTTGTAACCACGTCTTTACTAAGGCCTTGACTGTTGTAACCACGCGTTTACTAAGGCCTTGACTGTTGTAATCACGTCTTTACTAAGGCCTTGACTGTTGTAACCTCGTCTTTACTAAGGCCTTGACTGTTGTAACCAAGTCTTTACTAAGGCCTTGACTGTTGTAACCAAGTCTTTACTAAGGCCTTGACTTTTGTAACCCTGATCAAACAACCTTTGAGCAAAGGCCGTATGACGATCTTTGAAATTTTCCAAGGAATGGCATGCTCGAGTGTACCTCAAAAGTTGTCAAAATGTAGACACCAAAGGCTGGAGCTGTTGGAATATTACCCGACTCAGTCACGTGACTAACGATGGTCATCAACTGATTTGACGTTTAACAGAGATGACCATAATTTGTCTATGCAACAGAATAACCAGTCCAGATTATTCACCTAAACGAATTCCATTTTGCGTAAAGGACAAATCGTTGTGAAACTTATATGAATGGACCACTGAAAATCAGTGATGACACCAGGTGTTCGCGTAAAGGGAAAGCATGTCCTGTCCAACACGTAGCACCCGATATTCACACAATTTGCACATAAAAGTCAATATTCATTGCCTGGCGCCGTACAAACAAACCACACAATCAGGTGATCAATGAACCAGAAACTCCAGTGACATAGTTTTACATTTACTGAATTTGTTGAACCTAATAAAAAATATTAAGTACATGTATATTTATTCATTATTTGAATTATCATTTTAAAAACCGTTCAGGACTCAGTTAAATGGTAAACTGAATCAACACACAATAAACTGTGTAGATGCTAGGTTCGCCAATAATTCCAACGACGATGAGACCCGTGAGGTAAGGTGAGGTGAAATGGAGTTTAACGTCGCGTCCAAGATTATTGCACTTATATAGCGACGTGCATGTACGTGTGTGTGTTTGTGTGGCTGCTTGTACTAGTCCGGACTGATGCCGATTAATAGTGCTAGCTCACTGAGATACCATGCCGCAGTTTAACATGAATACCCCACTCAGACACAGTATACTGACTCCGAGCCGACCAGTCCTTGTTTTAGTCCCTTAATGCCGAGCGCCAGACAGGGTAACAACAAGTACCATCTTTTAACGTCTTTTGGTATGACGCGGTAGGGGATCGAACCCCGGACCTTCCGCTCTCCGGGCGGACGCTCTACCACTAGACCACGGAGGCGGTCGATGAGACCCGTGAAGATTCCGGGGTAGAATAGGTCTTCAGCAACCCATGCTGGCCGTAAAAGGCGACTATGCTTGTCGTAAAAGGCGACTAACGGGATCGGGTGGTCAGGCTCGCTGACTTGGTTGATGCATGTCATCGTATCCCAATTGCGTGGATCGATGCTCATGATATCAATCACAAGATTGTCTGGTCCAGACTCGATTATTTACAGACTGTAATATTGCTGAGTGCGGCGTTAAACAAAAAACCAACAACAACCAACAACAACGACGATGAAGCAAATCTCTTATGGCACCTACCTTCGCGCTCGCGATAAGGCAACACACTTCCTCGTCTCACGACCTGGGTAAGAAGGAAGCTCGTGTATCACACTCCATGCCCGCCACGTGTATAGTCAGGTTCCAGTAACAATGACGGTACCCCTTTAGACACCAGTAGCCAACACACGCTATGTTTACCATCATTGTAGCGAAGCTATTCAGCTAGCATAAACGGCCCTTTGAACGTGACATCAATAGGATATCAATACCAATGGAATATTGCCGTTGTAAATTCAGGCGGAAGACTTATGCCTAAAGTGTTACATTTAACACCACGTTTTGAGGAACATACTGTTTGTGTATTTGTTTGTTTGTTGTTTAACGCCATATTCCAGCTGTATCTGTGTAAATAAAATCATGAACATCGATCTACGTAATTAGTATACGATGACATGCAACAACCAAGTCAGCGAGCTTGACCACCCGATCCCGTTAGTCGTCTCTTACGACAAGTACAGTCGCCTTTTACAGCAAACATGGGTTGCTGAAGACCTATTCTACCCCGGATCTTCACTGGTCGAGGAACATTCTGAAAAAAGGTACTGTTACTGTTAGCGAATGCGTTTTAATGACATTTAACAAATAAAACCATACAAGATTATTATGATGTGTCAATATCAATATTTATATTTCACAAAATATGTACATAAAAGTGAAAAAAGTATTGGAAGGGGTCATGTGGTTCAAATAAATTTCCTCCCCCGTCTTTGGGGTAATCTATTTATACATAATGACAGTCGACTCTGTGATTCAGACGATACCATAAGCATGTGTTTATGAATCACTATCACATGACTATGATACCAGGTGTTCGCGTAAAGGTGAGCATACCAGTGGCATCCGTCACAAACACATGCAAAGGCAAGTCAATCGTAGAAAAAAATTGGAACACGTGGTTCAAGTCAAAATACGGACATATTTTTGGTCACTGATGCGTCGAATTTGGAAATGTCCTCTACATGTTAACCTTACGACTTTATAAAAAGCTTTACTGAGGCCTTGAAAGTCTTAACCCTGATCAAAGACTGACAGTAACAGTCTAATTCATCTCGTCTCTAGATCGTCTCTGTGAAATAGTCACGAATACTGAGCCGTACATTTCGTCAATCCGAGCCCTCGATCATAGGTTTCTGCACAGCAAATTGCGGCGCCTTAGACGACTGGGCCACTCGTGCCCCCAATAAACTGCAAGACCACACAATATTTTTACAATTTAGAAAGAGGACGTTTTACGAATACTTGGCCAACTGAACAGCCGTATATAACCACTCTTGTGTACATTTCACACGTGCACGTGCACCGTATGGGTCATATTTCAATAAATCGAAATTACACATTCATTTTGTAACTTTCGATGAAAGAACAAACCACGGACGTATATCTTTGAAAAAACAATTACACGAGGCGTCAAAAGAAATTGTGCATTATATGTTGTAGCAGGATCACTCGGGGTGCAGTGGGTTTAATGCGTCCCGCGTTAGGTTTTATACCACGAGTCGGAGATTTATTTCCCCGCTGAGAAATTTATTCCCATCCAAGGCGGGTTACACAATATTTTATCAATATCACGTTGACCAATCAGATCCCATCATTATGACATGGAACGCGTGATGATCCTGGGTAGAATATGTCTTCAGCAACCCATTCTTGCCATAAAAGGCCACTATGCTTGTCGTAAGAGGCGACTAACGGGATCGGGTGGTCAGACTCGCTGACTTGGGGGATGCTCTTTACGGGTTACATAACAACTGTGACAGGGAGGAGAAGTATCTGGTGTATTTCTCAATGACTGATAATCTATTAACCAATGCGATAGCACTTGATTTGAAATCTACAAAGACCCTGTGATAAATCTGATAAAAGAATTGTGATTCATTTGTGATACTATTTACATTGATACTCATTTGTGGTACCAAATTGTGTATATTGGACATTTTCGTGATATGTACGTTTAAAAAAAGACAAAGAAGTATTTGTTGGACACAGCTCGGATACTTAGTGTCAACAAGATTTTCAAAGTAAACACATCAAAAGGGAGAAATACGAAATCCTAATGGTTATGTGCAGCCAACAAACAATTATGTTGTTTGTTTGGTTATGTGTTTGTTGTTTAACGCCGCACATAGCAACAGTTTTATTCCAGCAATATGACGGCGGTCTTTAAATAACCAAGTCAGGACCAGACAATCCAGTGATTGACATCTTGAGCATCGATCTACGTAATTGGGATATAATGACATGCATGAACCAAATGAGCAAGCCTGACCACCCGATCCCGTTAGTCTCCTCTTACCACAAGCATTTTAACAACTTCACGTACATAAAGTCAAAATGGCCGTCACTATGTTGGCGGGCAGATTTCTAAAGTCAATGAGACGGTGTAGATGCTTGAGTCATAACTGATCAACTTGCCGATCATTCAAGGGTAATTTAAAAGATGTGTCGAAAAGATACTGAAGTAAATTCATAGACTGATCCTTAAGACAAGCTTGGGTTGCTGAAGACCAGTTCTAACCTGTATCATCACGCGTAAAACATTAATGTACACCGTGTGAAAATTATGTCGACGTTCACGTCTAACAAATTCTCAGACAGTTATTTTCAACCCGCATACAGGTTTACACACTTTTAGCAATATTTCAGCAATATCACGGTGACGGACACAACAAATAAGCTTTCACAATGTACCCATGTGACGAATCGAAACAGAGGCATAGGCGTGACGAACACTTTAACCACTGGGCTTCCAAGCCGCCTCTGTTGTCAAAGAAGTCCAGTTATACCTTATCAAAATCATTCTAAAATGAACCAAGGACCAAGCACATTAACAAGCCCAAGTCAACATACGCGTGCATACAACAAAGATTTTACACAATGCACAGCGGAGTCCGGGATGCAACCGATTATGTGACGATATTTGAAATCACCTGGTACACCACCAGCTTAATTTTATGTTAATGGACATGAATATATAATGTATATGAAAGTATACATCATGCGTATAATTAGGGGAAGTGTAGCAAGTGTTTTCAATGTAGCGCCCAGCACCATCACAAGGCTGTGGGATCGGTTTCAACAGCATGGGGCAACACGTGATCGGCCAAGGTTGGGACGACCAGGAGTAACCACCCCCGCCCAAGATTGCTACATCCGACTGCGCCACCTACGTAAAAGGACGACCACAGCCACCGCATCCCAATTACCCGGACTGCGAAGATTCTCCGACGAAACTGGACGAAACCGTTGAAGAGCAGCAGGTCTACGAGCAAAAAGTCCTGTTCGACGCGTCATATTGAGTCGACAACATCGTCAACAACGACTGTCGTCAACACAGGGTATGGCCTCAACTGCGGTGGATAGATGTCTGGTTCAGCGACGAATCAAGATTTCTCCTCCGTCGAGGGGGTGGAAGAGCACGGGTCTACAGTCGTCGGGGAGAACGTTACGCCGGATACAGCGTGCAGGACAGTGGACAGGTTTGGTGGGGGTAGCGTTATGATGTGGGCGGCTATCTCTCATCATGGCTGGACAGGTTTGGTCAATATCCAGGACAATCTTACGGCTCAAAGACACATCAACGAAACTATAAAGGTGTTGTACATTATTTTTAGAACGCTTTAAACAGTATTTCCGTTATTAACAATGTGTGTGAGACACAAATAATGTTGCCTCTAGTTTTAGAAACAAACTGTCCCTTAATTTGCTAGACGTCTTGAGCAAAATGTGTCCAGCCTCCCAAACATTGAGAGTCGCCTTTCAAACCGCAGATCAAACTGTCCTATGCACACTACAGCGCTGACCTTCATCTGAACAGGGGTCTAAGACGCCGCAATTCGCTGTGCAGAGTTGCGTCCCTTGGGCACGCCAGAAACCTATGCTTGTGGGTTCGAATCCCGGTTCACCCCGATTATGTTTCTAGGTTTGTCAGCACCATTCTCGTGCTCGTGGGTTTCACAGAAGTGGTAAACGTCTGAGATATGCATCACTTCGAGCTTTCCTCCCACCTAAAGGTGACACGCCGTGATATAACTTGAATACTGTTCAAAGCAGCGTTAAACCAAACTCATTCACTCATCTTACATTTTCTTTGTGAAGCCTTGATCAAAGGAAAGGCTTATCATTTTTCCGATAATCGACAAGAAAGGCACCAAGGTAAACACGCTCAGGCCCCTCTTTGTGTGAATTGGGTGCAAATAATTTAATCCCATAGAAGCCTTGGCTTGGAAACTGTGCACGGATATTCACAGACGAATCCGTTTCAGAAACAGATATGTTTGTGTCATCGTTCGTCTTTTCAGCAGGAACTATCTCCAGTGACAAATCAATCTTCCAGTCGGTTGGCAACTTGATTTCAACCTCACCCTTCTCTGCAAAGAATATGCCGTTCGACAGAGCGTCTTTGGTGAAGCCATACTGTAGAGCTTTGGCCCTCATTCCCCATGGCCCTGGCTGTTTAGGATAAGGTCTATCGTCAGGATGAGCATCCGCACTTTGTATCAGAATACTCCCGATGTGTTTCCGTTCTGGTGCCCTGGTCGTCAGGTTTCTGGCAAAGAGACGAAGGGAATAATATCCAGCCTTGGGCAGTCGACATTTTATATGAACCTGGCCATTTTTACTGTATGCCATAATGAACTTGTACAAATCTTTAGTATCATCGGCATCTTTCAAAAGCACCGTAAAGTCACTTTCAGGTCTGGCGTTGAATATCAACTCAGCTGCGCCATTCTTTGCAATCACTACATCCGTTTTGGTAAAATCTGACTGAAACCCATATGCACTTGCATTGGATTGTACTCCCCAAAGACCTTGATGCTTTGGGTAGGGCTTCACAGATTCAGCACACGATGTACAGCGAAGGAAATATGATGTCAAGGGATGGAACGATTCGCAATTAGAATCTATTTGTCCTAATATTTTTAATGTGTAGTTGCCCGTTCTTGGAGGCGTGACCTTGACAGTGAAACCCCCGTCATCTTTTTTTCTAATTAACACATAGTTGCAGCAATCTTTCCCTGTGTTCTCTTCAACGAGTCCACACATCATACGTTGGACTTCAGCTCTGGTACATCTCGCTGTTATTTCACATGACATTTCCACATCAACAACATGGTTCCTGTGTGTTGTTGACACAAATCCCCATTCAATGCCTCTGTTGTAGGGCACTGCTGCTTTTGAAAATTCCTCCAGACTTATTGGTTTCCGAAGTAACTGGTACATGGCACTCTCGGAGAGGCTGTTTTCCATGAAAGGAAAGTGTTTTATTGCAAACAGATTTGGATCCATCAAAAAGTGGATTTCCTCATACTGGCGTATGAACATGTAGTTTTTGTCAATAGGCCCCGTTCCCCATGTGACCTCAATTGGCCACCAGTCACCTTTCACAAAGACTATGTTCCAGGCATGGTCTGTGTCCTCGTCAGCTGTAAATTTATGTTCTGGGTGATGTCCAAAGCTTTTAGCAAAACCGGATATCTTTTTACAAGGAATGTTCACCTCCCTGTAACAAATAGAAGTGAAATGGCATTTAGTTCAAGACACTTTCTGAAACACATGATATTACCCATAAGGCAGAATGATCTCTGCTCCAACTTCCTGATATTTGCACATGTGTATTATAGCGATTCTCAATGCTGGCTGGTCAGTTGAAGCCACCCTACGTCACAGTGTTTCATTGTGTACAAAACACACTGATCAGAAGGAAACAGTTGGTCGTGGTTTGTCTTGGGATAGCTCGTCCAAATACACCCATCGCTTAACTTGGGGCGGATCTCGTGCTTTTCATGCTCTGTATCCGAAGGACTACGCTGAACAGCTTAACATCATGAGTTGACACATCGTTGTTGGACGATGACGTTCATATTTTGATAACATTAAAAAGAATTCCATTATCGGGAAGTTAATCGCTTTGTATGATAGAAAGTGGTTCAGTTTACACACTATGACGTCATCCATTGTTCATAACGTCACAAATTGATAACAATATGTCATCTAAGCTAAAGGCTGCCTTTAGTGACGTTTCTCTGTTACAGTAGGATTGACATTTCATACGTTTTTCTTCCTTTTCTCTCTTCAATGCCAATGTGTAATATATAGAATAACCAACTCGAAAAAATTCTGCACAGCTCGTTTGTGTTATCTAAATATCTAATAACATCTAATAAAACATGAATCCATGTAAATGGTTTTGATGATTTTAACTCAATTACTTGTAATATCAAGTGAAGAATAAAATAAGTGAGTGAGTGTGTTGGGTTTAACGCCGCGTTTAACAGTATTCCAGTTATATCACGGCGTGTCAGCTTAATGTGGGAGGAAAACCCGAAGTGATGCAGGTCTCAGACGTTTACCACTTCGGTGAAACCCACGAGCACGGGTATGGTGCTGACAAACCTAGAAACATAATCGTGGCGAACCGGGATTCGAACCCACAAGAATAAAATAAGCTTCCCTGTCAATAACACTGTTATCTGAATATAAAGTCCGGGAAACTTCGAGCTACGAGACATGAAAATGTAAATATTTTATCCAAAATTTTAAGTCACTCCTCCAAACCATTTTAAATACGTCCCCGTTCTTTGATATTCGAAATATCCTCTATTTTCAGTGCATATTGTGTATGTTGGTTGGTTGGTTGGTTGGCTGGTTGGTTTGTTGTTTAACGCCGCACTGAGCAATATTCCAGCTATATGACGGCGGTCTGTAAATAATCGAGTCTGAACCAGACAATCCAGTGATTAATATCATGAACATCGATCCACGCAATTGGGAACGATGACATGCATCAACCAAGTCAGCGAGCCTGACAATCCGATCCCGTTAGTCGCCTTTTACGGCAAACATAGTCGCCTTTTACGGCAAGCATTAGTTGCTGAAGACCTATTCCAACCCGGAATCTTCACGGGTCGCATATTGTGTATGTATTAAGAAGTTAAACACTGCACTGTAATCTATTTATTGATAGTAACATAATACATTAGTTCCTTATGGATAAACTAACTATAGAACATGGGACTGAATTGATCCATGATGCAAAAAGTAACACATCACTCGAATCTACACGTGTTTGTTCGTTGTTTAACACAACACTCCAGCTCCAGGTCTATCAATAACATCAATTGACATCATGGGCATCGATCTACGCAGCTAGATAGGATGACAGGCATCAACCAAGTCAGCGAGCCTGACCACCCGATCCCGGAAGTCTCCATTAGACTTATTCTAAGCAGGATCTTCACGGGTTATCAGTACGTACCTGCAGAGCTCTTTAAACAGAGTGGCGAAACCTTCACAGACACCTGTCGCCATTTTGAGAACTGATTCAGCATCCTGAGGGCCGATATAGTCCCGTTGGAAGCCTGCAGCATCATAACTAAAACGAAACATGAAAACAATTATATACTACTCAATTACAGATAGGGATACAGAGATAGCCGAAGCTGTTCGTGCCCTGGCCCACCACGCGGTCTTCCTCTACAATTATTAACTCCCATATCCTAATACAGATTAACGGCAGTCGTCGGGCTAAATCGCGTTATGGAGCGGGGTCCAGATGTGTGTACTCAACCTGTAAAAATCTCCAACTTCAGACGCAGGGGTCATACGGTTGTCTCTAATGTACATTTGGGGGCACGGGTGGCCCAGTCGTCTAAAGCGCCGCGATTCGCTGTGCAGAGTTGCGTCCCTTGGGCACGCCAGAAACCTATGATTGTGGGTTCGAGTCCCGGTTCGCCCCGATTATGTTTCTAGGTTTGTCAGCACCATACCCGTGCTCGTGGGTTTCACCGAAGTGGTAAACGTCTGAGACCTGCATCACTTCGAGCTTTCCTCCCACATTAAGCTGACACGCCGTGATATATCTGGAATACTGTTAAAAGCGGCGCTAAACCCAACTCACTCACTCTAATGTACATTTACGACGCATATAACCAAACGCATTTGTCATACCTCCATGGCAGAATGATGAGATATGATTGGTCCACGTGATCTTGATCAAATACTATGTATCCCGCCTTAGAGGTAAACACATTCCCCAGCGGGTGAATAAATCCCTTATATCCCGCCACGAGCAAGACAAGTGACACGTGGATTTCTGAGTCAGAATAAATCCCTTATATCCCGCTTACATTCAACCGCACGCTTTTCCCGAGTCAATGAGAGTCACGTGGCATAGCACAAGCTCACCTCAGTTCAATCGAACAGCTGTTTTCTATCAATTTTGAATGTATTTAAATAATTTTACAATGTCATTTTTAAACATGTCGGTAAGATAAAGTCGTTGTAGCAGGTTCATTCGGTTTGTTGTTTAACGCTGCACTCAGCATTATTCCAGCTATATGACGGCGGTCTGTAAATAATCGAGTCTGGACCAGACAATCCAGTGATTAATATCATGAGCATCGATCCACGCAATTGGGATCGATGCCATGCATCAACCAAGTCAGCGAGCCTGACCACCCGATCCCGTTAGTCGCCTTTCACGACAAACATAGTCACCCTTTACGGCAAGAATGGGTTTCTGAAGACCTATTCTACCCCGGAATCTTCGGGGTCAGGTTCATTCGGAGTACATGGGGTTTTATACCACTCGTCTCCAGCTCAGGGTATAAAATCTTACGCAGGACACATAAAATCCCGCGTACCCCACGTACCCCAGCTACAACTTTTAATATTACCTGATGTTGTGTGTGATCCACATGTAAAATGCTCGAACTTTCTCCATGTCATCCAGGGCTGGCTTCACAAGGTATTTGGCGAGGGAGGACACGGAGGATGTCACATCTTTGGGTGCCTTTTAATGGTAATCAGAGAGTATCTAAACTATAAAGAATCACTTCATGTCACCCTTATCATAGTTACATTTCGTTATTTGTGTAAACATCAAGCACAGATATCGAACCGATCAATCATCAAATAAACAACTGAAAAGAAGTTAAGCACCACCCGATTCTCTCATTTTACAGTAGTTGATATGTGATGGTCTTATCCCGTGTTGAGTTGTATGTATTATAGGTGAGGTGAAATGGGGTTTAACGTCGCGTCCAAGATTATTGCACTTATATAGCGACGTGCATGCACGTGTGTGTGTCTGGCTGCTTGTGCTAGACCGGACTGATGCCGATTTATAGTGCTAGCACACTGAGATACCATGCCGCAGTTTAACATGAATACCCCGCTCAGACACAGTATACTGACTCCGAGCCGACCCGTCATTGTTTTAGCCACTTAATGCCGAGCGCCAGACAGGGTAACAACAAGTACCATCTTTTAACGTCTTTTGGTATGACGCGGCTGGGGATCGAACCCCGGACCTTCCGCTCTCCGGGCGGACGCTCTACCATTAGACCACGGAGGCGGTCTGTATGTATTATATAGTGCTGACATCATCTAAAAAGCTACATTTTACTGAATACATAGATCTTAGGATTTCGCTTATAGCAGTGTATGGGCACCAGCGGTCCAGTCCTCTTAGGCCCTGTAATTCACTATGCATGATGACGTTCCTGTGGCGTGCCTGAAGCCTATGTTCGAATCCCAGTTCTTCTTGATCACACAAGTACACGACTTATGGTTCCCCTTGGCGATGCCAAATGTTAAACGTCCACACTCAGGGCCATCGAGCGGGGCTTTCCTCCCACCTCCATCGTGCATACGACACAAATGAAATACGGTTCAAAGCGGCGTTACCCGTGAGATGGTTTTCAGCTGCAGCAACCCATAGTTGACGTAAGAGCTTGTAGTATATGTATTGTGTACATAATCAGATTGCAGAAAATCTACAAACCGTCAAGGCATGCTGGTCGATATATTTAAACTCTGACACAGGGGGAACAGCGTCGGAACGCCTCTTCTTGGGGGGTTTGATAGGAGGGTCTGCGTCGTGGCCAGATATAGGCTGTACGGTCTCAAGAGTGTCTCCCCGGGAAGACGCAATCGAGCTGCTGCTGCCCATCTCGCTGTCATAAATTGGAAAATATGTGACTCCTGCGTCCAATCGAGAACGTCTATTACACATTACCCCTTGAGGTTTACATCATTATGGCAGTATGTGGACTTATAGTAACACCTTGTAATGCTTTCCTGTATCCAAGACAGAGGGCAATCAATCCGCATAAATACATAGGTCTAATTAAGATTTGATACTGTCCGTGTAACTCCACATACAACAAACACTCCCGTGAAGATCCGGCTGCCAATGCGTAATCAGCACATGTTTGTCTTAAGAGACGATTAATGGGATCGGGTGGTCAGGCTCACTGACTTGGTTGATGTATGTCATCGATCTCAATTGCGTTGTTCGATTCTCATGATGTTGTCACTGGATTGTCACAGTTCGCTATACCAAACTTGGGTTTGACAATTAGTATAGACAATGTCTCAGATTCACGTCTTAGTTCCTCACACTCAACTAACTACACAGAGACAATGTCTCAGTTCAACACCCTAAACTTACAACACAGCGATAATGTCTCTGATCCATGCCTCAGTTCCCCAAATTAGAACTAACTACAAAGGGACAATATATCAGGCCCAAACACTAAACTAGCCTAGACACAGACATTATGTCTCAGTTCTACAGTAAACTATCCCAACAGAAACAATGTCTCAGTTCCTGACACTAAACTAACTACACATACATTATGTCTGATATCCACGTCTCAGTTCCCCACACTACACTAACTACACAGACATAATGTCTGAGATCCACGTCTCAGTTCCCCACACTAAACTAACTACACAGACATAATGTCTGAGATCCGCGTCTCAGTTCCCCACACTACACTAACTACACAGACATAATGTCTGAGATCCACGTCTCAGTTCCCCACACTACACTAACTACACAGACATAATGTCTGAGATCCACGTCTCAGTTCCCCACACTAAACTAACTACACAGACATAATGTCTGATATCCACGTCTCAGTTCCCCACACTACACTAACTACACAGACATAATGTCTGAGATCCACGTCTCAGTTCCCCACACTAAACTAACTACACAGACATTATGTCTCAGATCCACGTCTTAGTTTCACACATCGAACTAACTACACAGAGACAATGTCTCAGTTCCCCACACTAAACTAACTACACAGACATAATGTCTGAGATCCACGTCTCAGTTCCCCACACTAAACTAGTGAGTGAGTGAGTGAGTTTGGTTTAACGCCGCTTTTAACATTATTCCAGTTATATCACGGCGTGTCAGCTTAATGTGGAAGGAAAGCCCACGAGCACGGGTATTGTGCTGACAAACCTAGAAACATAATCGGGGCGAACCGGGATTCGAACCCACAATCATAGGTTTCTGGCGTGCCCAAGGGACCCACACTAAACTAACTACACAGACATAATGTGTGAGATCCACGTCTCAGTTCCCCAAACTAAACTAACTACACAGACATAATGTCTGAGATCCACGTCTCAGTTCCCCACACTACACTAACTACACAGACATAATGTCTCAGATCCACGTCTTAGTTCCACACACTCAACTAACTACACATACATTATGTCTCAGATCCACGTCTTAGTTCCACACACTGCACTAACTACACAGACATAATGTGTGAGATCCACGTCTCAGTTCCCCAAACTAAACTAACTACACAGACATAATGTCTCAGTTCCCTACATTAAACTAACTACACATAGTTTTCTGTGAAGAACAGATACACTGTCTAACTAACTACACAGACCAAATGTCTCAGTTCCTCAACGCGTCGGTTTCACACAGTAAGTAACTACACAGTGCGTCGGTTTCACAGGCTAAAGTAACTACACAGTGCGTCGGTTTCACACAGTAAGTAACTACACAGTGCATCGGTTTCACACAGTAAGTAACTACACAGTGCGTCGGTTTCACACACTAAAGTAACTACACAGTGCGTCGGTTTCACACAAATTACAATGAATGAAACCTTTGCTTCAAACTGAAACCACTCCACTCCCCATTTATGAAGTGGTCAAGTGTAACAAATGTTATAAATGTGGATAACACTTTCTTAGTAACGTACAGACTCTTGTACTTTTCGGGGTTGAGTCCCATCCGGGATTTGAGCCCCATAGTAGCGATCTCAGCCACCGAGTCTTCCACAAAAAGAAAAGTCCGACAATTGGTGGTCTGGATCAAGTACTATGTGTAGCCCTCCGACAAGTGTACACAACGTGCTTTGAACACACAATGCCATTTAGAAAGTAGTCAAATGTAACAAATGTTACTTTTGGGATAACGCTTTCTTAGATTTTGTGTGCTGGCGATTGGGTGCCTTAATCTGGCAGTCTGGGTTCGAATCCCGGATGGGACTCAACCCCCAAAAGGTACTAGAATTTCTACTTTACTAGCAAAGTGTTATCTCAAATATAAAATGTTACGAGTGTATTATAGTTTAGTTTTCGTAATACAACCCAGACGAGAGACAGTATAAACTTACCTTCGTGTAACGTTAGCTGCAAACCAACAACTGTTTTATGTTTACATGTTTATAATCGCATAGCAGCGTCACTGACACTGTTATCTGACACTGAGTTAGTTGTATTTCCTAAATTAGCACATGGTGCATTGTCAATCCAGTGCAGAGTGTGTAAGTGCAGATAGCTTTAACTCTAGGTGTGGGCTCAACGGGTTTTTACTCCTCCGGTGCGTCGGTTTCACACAGTATGTAACTACACAGTGCATCGGTTTCACACAGTATGTAACTACACAGTGCGTCTCTTTCACACACTAAAGTAACTACACAGTGCGTCTGTTTCACACACTAAAGTAACTACACAGTGCATCGGTTTCACACACTAAAGTAACTACACAGTGCGTCTGTTTCACACACTAAAGTAACTACACAGTGCGTCTGTTTCACACACTGAAGTAACTACACAGTGCGTCGGTTTCACACAGTATGTAACTACACAGTGCATCGGTTTCACACAGCATGTAACTACACAGTGCGTCGGTTTCACACACTAAAGTAACTACACAGTGCATCGGTTTCACACACTGAAGTAACTACACAGTGCGTCGGTTTCACACAGTATGTAACTACACAGTGCGTCGGTTTCACACACTAAAGTAACTACACAGTGCGTCGGTTTCACACACTGAAGTAACTACACAGTGCATCGGTTTCACACAGTAAGTAACTACACAGTGCGTCGGTTTCACACACAAAAGTAACTACACAGTGCGTCGGTTTCACACAGTAAGTAACTACACAGTGCGTCGGTTTCACACACTGAAGTAACTACACAGTGCGTCGGTTTCACACAGTAAGTAACTACACACTGCGTCGGTTTCACACACTAAAGTAACTACACAGTGCGTCGGTTTCACACACTGAAGTAACTACACAGTGCGTCGGTTTCACACACTGATGTAACTACACAGTGCATCGGTTTCACACAGTAAGTAACTACACAGTGCGTCGGTTTCACAGAGTATGTAACTACACAGTGCGTCGGTTTCACACACTAAAGTAATTACACAGTGCGTCGGTTTCACACACTGAAGTAACTACACAGTGCGTCGGTTTCACACAGTAAGTAACTACACAGTGCGTCGGTTTCACACACAAAAGTAGCTACACAGTGCTTCGGTTTCACACAGTAAGTAACTACACAGTGCGTCGGTTTCACACAGTAAGTAACTACACAGTGCGTCGGTTTCACACACTGAAGTAACTACACAGTGCATCGGTTTCACACAGTAAGTAACTACACAGTGCGTCGGTTTCACACACCAAAGTAGCTACACAGTGCGTCGGTTTCACACAGTATGTAACTACACAGTGCATCGGTTTCACACACTAAAGTAACTACACAGTGCGTCGGTTTCACACACTAAAGTAACTACACAGTGCATCTGTTTCACACACTAAAGTAACTACACAGTGCGTCGGTTTCACACACTAAAGTAACTACACAGTGCGTCGGTTTCACACACTAAAGTAACTACACAGTGCGTCTGTTTTACACACTGAAGTAACTACACAGTGCGTCTGTTTTACACAGTATGTTACTACACAGTGGATCGGTTTCACACAGTATGTAACTACACAGTGCATCGGTTTCACACACTAAAGTAACTACACAGTGCATCGGTTTCACACACTAAAGTAACTACATAGTGCGTCGGTTTCACACACTGAAGTAACTACACAGTGCGTCGGTTTCACACACTAAAGTAACTACACAGTGCGTCGGTTTCACACACTGAAGTAACTACACAGTGCGTCGGTTTCACACAGTAAGTAACTACACAGTGGGTCGGTTTCACACACAAAAGTAGCTACACAGTGCGTCGGTTTCACACAGTAAGTAACTACACAGTGCGTCGGTTTCACACAGTAAGTAACTACACAGTGCGTCGGTTTCACACAGTAAGTAACTACACAGTGCATCGGTTTCACACAGTAAGTAACTACACAGTGCGTCGGTTTCACACACCAAAGTAACTACACAGTGCGTCGGTTTCACACAGTAAGTAACTACACAGTGCGTCGGTTTCACACAGTAAAGTAACTACACAGTGCGTCGGTTTCACACACTAAAGTAACTACACAGTGCGTCGGTTTCACACAGTAAAGTAACTACACAGTGCGTCTGTTTCACACACTAAAGTAACTACACAGTGCGTCGGTTTCACACAGTATGTAACTACACAGCGCGTCGGTTTCACACAGTATGTAACTACACAGTGCGTCGGTTTCACACACTAAAGTAACTACACAGTGCGTCGGTTTCACACAGTATGTAACTACACAGTGCGTCGGTTTCACACACTGAAGTAACTACACAGTGCGTCGGTTTCACACAGTATGTTACTACACAGTGGATCGGTTTCACACAGTATGTAACTACACAGTGCATCGGTTTCACACACTAAAGTAACTACAAAGTGCATCGGTTTCACACACTAAAGTAACTACACAGTGCGTCGGTTTCACACACTGAAGTAACTACACAGTGCGTCGGTTTCACACACAAAAGTAACTACACAGTGCGTCGGTTTCACACACTAAAGTAACTACGCAGTGCGTCGGTTTCACACACTGAAGTAACTACACAGTGCGTCGGTTTCACACAGTAAGTAACTACACAGTGCGTCGGTTTCACACACAAAAGTAGCTACACAGTGCTTCGGTTTCACACAGTAAGTAACTACACAGTGCGTCGGTTTCACACAGTAAGTAACTACACAGTGCGTCGGTTTCACACAGTAAGTAACAACACAGTGCGTCGGTTTCACACAGTAAGTAACTACACAGTGCGTCGGTTTCACACACCAAAGTAACTACACAGTGCGTCGGTTTCACACAGTATGTAACTACACAGTGCATCGGTTTCACACACTAAAGTAACTACACAGTGCGTCGGTTTCACACACTAAAGTAACTACACAGTGCGTCTGTTTCACACACTAAAGTAACTACACAGTGCGTCGGTTTCACACACTAAAGTAACTACACAGTGCGTCGGTTTCACACACTAAAGTAACTACACAGTGCGTCTGTTTTACACACTGAAGTAACTACACAGTGCGTCTGTTTCACACAGTATGTTACTACACAGTGGATCGGTTTCACACAGTATGTAACTACACAGTGCATCGGTTTCACACACTAAAGTAACTACACAGTGCATCGGTTTCACACACTAAAGTAACTACACAGTGCGTCGGTTTCACACACTGAAGTAACTACACAGTGCGTCGGTTTCACACAGTATGTAACTACACAGTGCGTCGGTTTCACACACTAAAGTAACTACACAGTGCGTCGGTTTCACACACTGAAGTAACTACACAGTGCGTCGGTTTCACACAGTAAGTAACTACACAGTGCGTCGGTTTCACACACAAAAGTAGCTACACAGTGCTTCGGTTTCACACAGTAAGTAACTACACAGTGCGTCGGTTTCACACAGTAAGTAACTACACAGTGCGTCGGTTTCACACAGTAAGTAACTACACAGTGCGTCGGTTTCACACACCAAAGTAACTACACAGTGCGTCGGTTTCACACAGTAAGTAACTACACAGTGCGTCGGTTTCACACAGTAAAGTAACTACACAGTGCATCGGTTTCACACACTGAAGTAACTACACAGTGCGTCGGTTTCACACAGTAAAGTAACTACACAGTGCGTCGGTTTCACACACTAAAGTAACTACACAGTGCGTCGGTTTCACACAGTATCTAACTACACAGTGCTTCGGTTTCACACAGTATGTAACTACACAGTGCGTCGGTTTCACACACTGAAGTAACTACACAGTGCGTCGGTTTCACACAGTAAGTAACTACACAGTGCGTCGGTTTCACACACTGAAGTAACTACACAGTGCGTCGGTTTCACACAGTATGTAACTACACAGTGCGTCGGTTTCACACACTGAAGTAACTACACAGTGCGTCGGTTTCACACAGTAAGTAACTACACAGTGCGTCGGTTTCACACACTGAAGTAACTACACAGTGCGTCGGTTTCACACACTGAAGTAACTACACAGTGCGTCGGTTTCACACACTGAAGTAACTACACAGTGCGTCGGTTTCACACACTAAAGTAACTACACAGTGCGTCGGTTTCACACACTAAAGTAACTACACAGTGCGTCGGTTTCACACACTAAAGTAACTACGCAGTGCGTCGGTTTCACACACTGAAGTAACTACACAGTGCGTCGGTTTCACACACTGAAGTAACTACACAGTGCGTCGGTTTCACACACTAATGTAACTACACAGTGCGTCGGTTTCACACACTGAAGTAACTACACAGTGCGTCGGTTTCACACAGTAAGTAACTACACAGTGCGTCGGTTTCACACACTGAAGTAACTACACAGTGCGTCGGTTTCACACACTAAAGTAACTACACAGTGCGTCGGTTTCACACACTGAAGTAACTACACAGTGCGTCGGTTTCACACACTAAAGTAACTACACAGTGCGTCGGTTTCACACACTAAAGTAACTACACAGTGCGTCGGTTTCACACACTAAAGTAACTACACAGTGCGTCGGTTTCACACACTGAAGTAACTACACAGTGCGTCGGTTTCACACACTGAAGTAACTACACAGTGCGTCCGTTTCACACACAAAAGTAACTACACAGTGCGTCGGTTTCACACACTGAAGTAACTACACAGTGCGTCGGTTTCACACAGTAAGTAACTACACAGTGCGTCGGTTTCACACACTGAAGTAACTACACAGTGCGTCGGTTTCACACACTAAAGTAACTACACAGTGCGTCGGTTTCACACACTGAAGTAACTACACAGTGCGTCGGTTTCACACACTGAAGTAACTACACAGTGCGTCGGTTTCACACACTAAAGTAACTACACAGTGCGTCGGTTTCACACACTGAAGTAACTACACAGTGCGTCGGTTTCACACACTGAAGTAACTACAGAGTGCGTCGGTTTCACACAGTAAGTAACTACACAGTGCGTCGGTTTCACACACTGAAGTAACTACACAGTGCGTCGGTTTCACACACTAAAGTAACTACACAGTGCGTCGGTTTCACACACTGAAGTAACTACACAGTGCGTCGGTTTCACACACTGAAGTAACTACACAGTGCGTCGGTTTCACACACTAAAGTAACTACACAGTGCGTGTGGGCTCAACGGGTTTTTACTCCTCCGGCGTGATATATACTCTTCAAATATAAGAAACCCAAAGCCAGATTTGTGTGAGGTAGAAAAATACATTTATACGAGGAACCGTGGAATTGCTAACACCAGATTAATCGACCAAAAGACATTACACAAGCCAATGGAATCATTGCCTGTTTAAAATAATATTGGTGTTTACATGTTTTATTAATAAACTGATCGCCAACGTGGTCGATACGTGGTAGAGCGTCCACCCGGAGAGTGGAAGGTCCGGGGTTCGATCCCCGGCCGCGTCATAGCAAAAGACGTTAAAAGATGGTACTTGTTGTTTCCCTGCCTGGTCCTCGACATTTAGGGAATAAAAGAAGGGCTGGTCGGCTTGGAGTCAGTATACTGTGTCTGAGTTGGCCCACTGAGATCGACACGTGTCCGGCCTAGAACAAGCAGACACACATATAAGTGCAATAATCTTGGACGCGACGTTAAACCCCATTTCACCTCACCTCTCAAAGAATTGTTCATTAAACAAACCAACAGGTTCAGTCCGGTGAAGAATGATCCCCGGTCGCGTCAGACCAAATGACGTGAAATGATGGTATTTGTCAGTATACTGTGTTTGAGTCGGGTATTCATGTTAAAGTGCGGCATGGTATCTCAGTGGGCTATTCAATCGGCATTAGCCTGGACTTAATAATAATAATAATAAGTGCATTTATAATGCGCCAGATTCCATTCTCCGAGTGGATGCTCATAGAGCTACACTATTATTACCCCGGTCAATGGATCAGTGAGCACTCGATATTCATTCTCAGCTCCCTGGGTAGTATACAACCCAAGCTGCCCGAGAGGCGCTAGAAGGTTAACAGCCACTTACCATCTCATCTTACCGGGTACCCACTTACTTGTGCAATCAGCCACACACACACACACACACACGTACATGCATGTCACTATATATGCGCAATAATCTTAAACGCGACGTAAAACCCCATTTCACCCCACCTATCCATAAACTGTGGCATGTACTTAATCGTGTCTATTTATTCCCTACACTTCAAGTGGATTTGGGCAACCGGCAACCTCGCGAGATTAGCAAAATCGATATGTTTTTTGTATACCCGTTTAGGGAAGTTAGATCACAAGCTGAGCTAATCTGTGACATAGCAACCACACTCACACAACTGTTAAAAACAGCAACACAACTTCCTGGTCAACCCGCCCCTGTTTACCCGCTGCGAAGATAAAGCAGCTGTGCGTCAGCTCGTCAGCCATGTGGGGGATACAAGACGTGACAGGTACAAATGATATTCATTGCATTCGCACAGCCACTTGTGTGAGCTTAATGTGGACACGGCGATTACTTGCACGATCTCTGACTAAAGGCTTTGAAAATAGTCACAACAGTGAGTGTTTTGTGTCGGCGCCCTCAGCAATAGTCTAGCTTTATGACGGAGGTCTGTAAATAATCGGGTCTGGACTAGACAATCCAGTGATTGACATCATGAGCATCGATCCACGCAATTTGGATCGATGACATGCATCAACCAAGTCAGCGAACCTGACCACCCGATCCCATTAGTCGCCTTTTACGGCAAGCATATTCGCCTTTTACGGCAAGCATGGGTTGCTGAAGACCTATTCTACCCCGGATCTTCGCGGATCCACAACAGTGAGTGAGTGAGTGAGCGTGCGTGCGTATGTGCGTGCGTGCGTGCGTGTGTGCGTGATTGAATGAGTGCGCGAGCAAGGTTTAACGCCGCTTTGAACACTGTTTTAGTTATTTCGAGGCGTGTCAACTTAATGTGGGAGGAAAGCCCGAAGTGATGCAGGTCTCAGACGTTGACCACCTCGGTGAAACCCACGAGCACGGGTATGGTACTGACAAACCTAGAGGGGCTGGTCGGGTAGCCTAGTGGTTAAAGCGTTCGCTCGTCACGCCGAAGACCCGGGTTCGATTCCCGACATTGGTACAATGTGTGAAGCCCATTTCTGGTGTCCCCCGCCGTGATATTGCTGGAATATTGCTAAAAGCGGCGTTAAACATACTCACTCACTCACTCACTCACTTGATGTTTTCGACATGTCTACCATAAACCATTTTAAAGCTTTACTAAGGTACTGGGTGTTGTAAGAGTTATTAAACAACGGGAGATCAAGAGTCGTATCGTGCTCTTTGAAATAGAGCTGACGTTGAATAGATATCATTCAGTCATCGGTTGGAGTTTAAAGTTTACGGAACGTCCGCCAGTGTTATAAATAGAACAGCACATAAAGTGACACGGACACTGTGGCATGTTGTGTTCAGCTACCTTTATCGGGAACACGTTCAGGTAGATTTCACGTGTGTCTACTCAAAGAAGCAAAGAAGTGTGTCTAGTCACTTAACATGGGAGGGAAACTATCAACCCCTGGGCGATACAGAGAGGGCACAGCTGCTGATGACTCGCATCCACCTGTTCGGCCGCCATCCAAGTCCAGGAAGAAGCTTCTACCGGCCTCATTTGAAGACATAGATAGCTTTTCACTGAAGGTAGAGTCTAAAACGTTATTTATGTATCAAACTAATATTGGATATATAAATCACAGACAATATTTAGTATTTGACCATGCAAAGGATTCAGCTGTGACGTGTATGTTAATCTCTAATATTTAATCAATGTATACTATATGTAAACAGTATCACGTATGTTCTAAATATACACATTTCCGTGCGCCGCTGGCTGTACATGTACATATACGTCTTATATGTTATATCGCGAGTAGAGGTAATTTAGGTCAATGGATATGTCCATGCATCAGTAGTTATGTGGTAGAAAGTAGACGCGACATATGTATTGCACACGGTGACCTACGCCGATATCGTGGGTTGTGGGTGTAGGTTTTTCATGATATATGCTGACTCATCAGTGTGTTGTTTTTTGGAAATACGCAATAGAGGTTCCTACTTTCGGTTGTCGCAATGATTTGATGGTTCATTGTCATCCTGGATAAACGCGTGGTTAGTCCGAGCGGATTCGTTACATTCAGATCACGTCACACTTTGGGATGACATGCTCGCTTAGAAATGTGTCGAGATATGTCACCTTGACCTGATGCAGGTAACACATGGTTGTAACGGATCAATTCACCTGTGAAGTGGCGGCTGTGCGGGGACGCGTTAATGTCAACACTGAGACACCCAACAGGTGCGATCATGTCTGTTTGTTTGTTGCTTAACGCCGCACTCAGCAATATACCCAGAATATGTACGTAAAATAATTAATGGTGAAACCATCAAGCAAGCACTCAGCAATATTCCAGCTATATGACGGCGGTCTTTAAATAATCAGGTCTGGACCAGACAATCCGGTGATGGACACCATGAGCATCGATCCACGTAATTGGGATACGATGACATGCTTCAACCAAGTCAGCGAGTCTGACCACCCGATCCCGTTAGTCGCCTCTTACGACAAGCATAGTCGCCTTTTACAACAAGCATGGCTTGCTGTAGACCTATTCTACCCAGCATCTTTATAATCACCACAATCGCATCCTGTTATCATACCGGGAAAAAGGATATACAACAACAGTCCATGGGAATAACTAACGGCCTACCAGGAATTACGGTTTGTCTTTCCCGTGGGAATCCGTATAATCCGTATGTCCGAGGTTTGAGTCTTTTTCTCTCTTTCTTACCAACAATCACATTTACAGGACACGTGTCAAGATCCCATCTCTAAGCACCTACAAAATTTCCTGTATCAGTAACCCAAAACAAATGTATCCCTACGTAACATTAAACAAGCGGCAGCAATATCTAATTACTATATAAGTTAAATTTGTTTGCCGCAAAAAAATAGTTTTAATGAAACAAATAATGACAAATCATGAAGCTATCAATTAATGTTAATATTTATAAAGCGACCTTGACCAACTTATAACAATTCAACCCCGTGTCTATTTATTAAGAGGGGGCAGGGTGGCCCAGTCGTCTAATGTGTCGCGATTAGCTGTGAAGAGTTGCGTCCCTTGGGTACGCCAGAAACCTATGATTGTGGGTTCGAATCCCGGTTCGCCCCGATTATGTTTCTTGGTTTGTCAGCACCACACCCGTGCTCGTTGGTTTCACCTAAGTGGTAAACGTCTAAGACCTGCATCACTCAGGGCTTTCCTCCCACATTAAGCTGACACGTCGTGATATAACTGGAATACTGTTAAAAGCGGCGTTAAACCCAACTCACTCACTTTTATATTAAGACAAATTGTAATGAATATTTGTATGATCGCTGTAACATATAACAATAACGACCGTTAAACTTAACTGTAATAACAAATGCAGCTTAAATTAACAATCAATAGGTAATTACACTACAGCATAGGGGACACAATTTAATGATAACTGTATTCACAGGCACCTGTTTCCGCATGCGTGTCGGTGACGAAACTCGCCCAATATCTGATGCAGTCGGCCAAGAATGACATGGACAAGGTTCGAGCTTTCTACAGATGGATCGCAGAGAATATCAGGTACACTTGCAGGAACACACAATGCCATTATGAATTGGTCAAATGTAACAAATGTTTCTTTGTAAAGTGTGGGTTCCAATCCCGAATGGGACACTACCAAAAAAAATATTAGAATCTGTACTGTACTAAGAAAGAGCTATCCAAAATAAAATATTTGTAGCACACTTGCAGGTGTTTGAAGTTACCCCGACATTCATACCCGAGCAAGTTAATTCATCAAGGTTTTTCACGGTGGTAAGGTGAAATGTGCATTCCACGAAATAGGGAAATCTTGTACAAAAATCATTCATTTCGCAGAATTTAAAGAAAATAAGTGATTGAGTTGGAGAAGGGCCAAAAAGAATTAAAAATTAGGTTGAATTTTATCTGTTGAGAATCGATAACTCAGTTTACACCTGCACCGGGTCTTGTACACGTCTTGAGATGAGTGTCTTATCTGAGGGGTTGACCTCCACCGATAGCACTAAATATATTGAGTGCTTTTCATATGTTTTATAATGTGATGGAATAAACATAATGTTAGACGGTGTTGTTAGTGTTGTAAAACAATTCCACTGAGCTCATGGCGTGTTTGTACTAAGAGTGTCTCCCCGGAAAGCGGAAGGTCGGTGGTTCGATTCCCGTCGCTCTATACCAAAAGACTATCGCTCGGCATTAAGGGGATAAAACAAGGATGTGTTGTCCCCGACTCTGTATATTGTATCTGAGGGTAGTATCCATGTTAAAACCGGCATTTGTCCTGACTAGTACAATCAGCCACCGCACCCCACCCCACCCACCCCACCCAACCCCTCCCACACACACATACACACGCTAACGCACCCACACACATGCCCGTCGCTATATGAGTATCTTCAGTCAGGGACTACCTAGGACCATACACTCACTCCCCCACTCCATCACTCACTTTGTTTTAGCTACGACGCCTTTGGTGTACGCCTGAAGACATACGGACGCCAGGACGCCGAACGTGTGCTACAAAGACGACAGGGCGTCTGTGAAGGATACGCCAACTTGTTCCTGTCTCTCTGCAGGTTAGTACAGATATAACACTGTACACTGTACACTGTACACATATACCATCTGAAGATAAATTACATATTCTATGCAAATCATTCACAGGATTGGGAGAGTGGTTATAACACAATTACTTATGTTTGTAAAAGTTAACAACTTCGTAAAAGACAGAAACTTGGTGATAACAAAACGTGCGTGTCTCAGCATCTCGGCAACGAAACTCTGTACAGATGAAGATGAGGTTAAATGGGGCTCACCGTCGCGTTCAAGATTAGTGCACTGACACAGCGACGTCCACGCATTGGGCTATTGCCAACAGCGACGTGAAATATATTTATAACTACCTCTATCTCAATATATGCCGGTTTTGAAAAAAATGCATCCTTTTTTATATTTTCAGTGAAGTAGGAATCCCCTGTAAGATGGTGATAGGTTTCAGCAAGGGCCGCAGCTACAACCCCGACATTGGCTTCACGCCGGAAACAGAAACAGCGCATGCGTGGAACATCGTGTACGTCAATGGACAGTGGCTCCCTCTGGACGTGACCTGGGGAGCTGGCAGCGTCGATGAACACAACCGATTCCAGAAGCGTTATGAAGACATGCACTTCCTGACAAATCCCAAGGACTTTGCAGTGAAACACTTTCCCTATATGGATAACGACATGGACAAAAGCAAGGTGTTCCAGTTGCTGAAACGACCCCTCTCACTTGAGGAGTTTAACAAAAACGCAATGGTCGACACCGCAGGAACAACATGGGGCTTTGTGTCGACTTATAAACATCACACAATTGACGTGGAGAAAAAGTGTATTATTACGTTTAAAACACGTCGTATGGATCTACAAAACATATCTTGCCATCTGAAAGACAAATCTTCAACAGAATACGAGCGATACGTTGTTTTACGAAAGACAGGTAAAAACAGGTTTAAAATGGAGGTGACACCGCCAAGGATAGGGAAGTACGACCTGAGACTTTTCGGTAAAGCACTTGATTCGACTGAAGTTGGCCATTCACAAATAATCACTTATAAGATAAACTGCAAATCAGTATATGACAAGGTGCATTCACACCCTGTTCATGCTGGGTTATGGGGAGTGAAGAGAGACGTTGACGTGGCGAAGTATGGCTTTGCGTCCTCAGTGAGGTCAAAGGACGTTATAGTGAGTACAAATGGAACATTCAAACTGAGATTAAAGACACAAAGAAATCCCAAAGCAATATTTCGACTGGAGGACGCAGACAAAAAGGACCTCAGTCAACATATTTGTCCATACTTGGGACGTGGGTTTGTAGAAGTTACTGGAAACTTACCAAAGGAAGGAGTTTATAAACTCATTCTGCACAGCAACAGTGGAGATGGTCAGAGGGAGTACGATCACCTGGGCGAGTGGATGATTAAATGTGATAGTCCGTCCTCAAAACCCTCAACATATCCCAGTCAGGACACACTTTGGGGTGCTCGGACAGAAGCCACCCAGTACGGATTTCTTGACGATATATTCTCCAAGAGCGTGTTCTCAACCAGCAATGGTGAACTGCAACTGCAGTTGAAGACAAGCAAGTTTGTAACAACATCCGTGAAACTGTACCAACGAGAGTCAAAGTTGGAGAAGCATGTGTTCGACTATTACAACGGCAACACGTTGGTTATTAAAGCAAGGTTACCCAAAGCTGGGTTTTACAAGTTGTCTCTGTTTGCTAAACATGAAGACAAGAAAACGTCTCAGTCCCTTGACCTGGTGGCTGACTTCCTTGTTGAAAGTAAATCGGATGCAAAAAACATGAAGCCTTTTCCAGTGGTCTACACACATGCAAAGACTTACGGATGTACCCTAATGGAACCATTACATGGGTCTTTAGCAGCCAATCAAAATGTTCGTCTCAGACTGCGATCGAAGACTCTGAAGCGAGTAATGGTCAACAATGATGTCCATGAAAAGAAGTCAGGAGATGTGTTTGACATCACTTTTGAGGCACCAGGGAGGGGGTCTGTGGGAGTCTTTGGGACCCCGGATCTGGAAGGAGCCAAGTTTGATGGACTCTACGAGTACACCGTTAGTTGATGCACGTGACACAGTGGTCCATACGTCTTCCTGTCCTTCAGACGTCCCTACATGTGACATCACATTCATATAAACTTCCAGGAAGAAGAAAGAGAAACTTTGGTTTTCGCTGAAATAAAACAAATAAGAAATGAGGATTTGAGAGTGATCTATTTGATACGGGGGTTGGGGGGGGGGGGGGGGGGGGCAGTCGCTATGCAGAGGTGCGTCCCTTGGGTACGCCAGAAACCTATGTTTGTGGGTTCGAATCCCGGTTCGCCCCGATTATGTTTCAAGGTTTGTCAGCACCATACCCGTGCTCGTGGGTTTCACCGAAGTGGTAAACGTCTGAGACCTGCATTACTTCGGGCTTTCCTCTCACATTAAGCTTAAACTGTAAAAAGCCTCAGCTACGTCCCAATAAGACACTGATTTTCAGTTTATCTGAAGATTATTTTGATAATGCTAACAATCATCACAGTAGTTGTTCCAGATTCACGATTGAGAAGGGCGACGCCATGTTTGTTTGTAAACACTGAAAGTAGTACCTATACCTGAAAGTAGTTCGTCAGTGATTACGCTCATTTCAAGGACACATTCTCTTGAAAAACGTGTGAACATCAAAAAGTGTCTTTCATACCCTTATGAACGTCAGTTTCGGGGCAGCTCGACCGTCATCTCGTCCAATGGAAATAGTGAGTGAGTATGGTTTTACGCCGCTTTTAGCAATGTTCCAGCAATATCACAGCTGGGCACAAGAGAAATGGGCTTCACACATTGTAACCATGGCGGGAATCGAACCCGGGTATTCGGCGTGACGAGCTAACGCTTTAACCACCAGGCTACCCGACCGCCCCTCGTCAAGTGGAAAATACATTTATCGTTTAAACGTAAAACAACTACAGGGCAAAAGAAAGTATACATCCATGTTTGATAGTGGCTGATAATGAAAAAGACATGAAAGAAGACTTTGCTCGATGGTGAGGTATTTTATACCTGTACTATAAACTGCCGGGCCAAAACAATATGTACTTGAACATTACGATTTGACCAAACAATTACAAACGTTATCAAAACGTAACTCGGCTGAAAGCAGTCGCCGAAACAACAATGCAAGCTTAAGGTTCAAAAGAAACCCGCTGGGAGCTGACCCGTGAAGAATCCGGGGTAGAATAGGTCTTCAGCAACCGATGCTTGCCGTAAAAGGTGACTATGCTTGTCGTAAAAGGCGACTAACGGGATCGGGTGGTCAGGCTCGCTGACTTGGTTGATGCATGGCATCGATACCAATTGCGTGGTTGATGATCATGATATTAATCACTGGATTGTCTGGTCCAGACTCGATTATTTACAGACCGCCGTCATATAGCTGGAATATTGCTGAGTGCGGCGTTAAACAACAAACCAACCAACCAACCGCTGGGAGCTTGTCATTGATATGATGCATGTACTATTGCCTACATTACCCGTATCAAATAATCAGCATCAAACACTTCCTTTTCCAGGTAGTGTCTGTTTGTTTGTTTGTTTGTTTGTAAACGATGCACTCAGCAATATCCCAGCTACATGGCGGCGGTCTGTAAATAATCGAGCCTGGGCCGGACAATCCAGTGATTGACATCACGAGCATTGACCTACAAAACTGGGGTAGGATGACAAGCATCACCCAAGTCAGCGAGCCGATCCCGTTTAGCCTGAAGACCTATTCTACCTGTTTTCGACCTGAAGCTAGAAATAATAATTTTTAAGTGTATATTTCTTTGCCTCACAGTAAGTATGCCCTGTTTTGAATCATCACCTGTATATGACTGAAACATTGTCCATGCAACTTTAAAATATGTTTTATGGAGCACTGTATGAAGTCAATAAATGGCTTAAAATCATGACCATTCACTCACTCAAATCGAAGCGGTAACCTGGTGGTTAAAATGTATATGACAATATCAGTTGATACTGTTGTTTATTAAAGAGCTGTTTGTACATGAAACCCAGGCGCATCCTGGTGTTGGTGAATCTGTGACAACGCTCGCTGAGAATGTCCGAGCCTTCTACAGATGGATGACAGACTGCATAACGTAAACACCACTTCTGGATATTAAACTATTTTATGAAATACTTCAGTGTGAATGACTGTCCTGAAGTTGAGAAAAGTAATATTTTCATTGCAGTGAACACAACATTTGACATTTCACTGCAGTGAACACAACTGTTTGACGGAACAATTGTCATACAAGAATTATCTCCCCTTAAATTGTCTCCCTTTATCGTAAGTGTCTGCCCGTACACAAACTGTTGACTTCCTTTTAACCCTAGTTCCTCATTGACAAGGCAAAATAGAGACAGATGGTCATTATTGGAGTTAATATCGCCTCTTGCCGTTTGTTATCCTCTTGAAAATGTTTTGTTTTAAACTGTAAATTTCGTAGCTGAAAAGAATTGTATTTCAAGTTGATTTTGCATATAATCATATCCAAATGTATGATAAAGAAATGTTAATGACCGAAAATATTTGTTGTTACTTTTGTTTACATTTTTAATATTTGCAAGGTGGTGAAACGACAATGCTTGTTAGGTAGGGAGAATTTACGTTTCAAGGTTTCCTTTGTAATTAATTATCCGGTAGACACACACACAAAAAGTATATAATATATATTCGTGAAACTATCTCCTTTCCTCCGTCACACGATGAGAGAAACATCATATTTCACTCGACACATGAAATAATCTCAATGTGACACAGAAATACTTACCTCATAGCCACAGCTGTGACCGGCTGATAAATGTAATTGACTCCAAGCAGCACCAGATGGTGTAATTGTCTATTTAAATCCATACGTCTCTTCTTGTGATACGGAGACAGCTCTACGCTTACGAAAGAACACCGAGTCAAGGATGTGCGTACTGAGTTTGTTTGGCTAATGCTGCTAAGATAACAATTTCATTAAAATCAGATCTTAGTTCTCGCTATCGCTAAACAATGATCTGAGGACATCCCATTACGGGTCACGTCAGAACGACCTTTCATCCAACCAATCAGAGCGTCGCTTACCAGATCATGAAAGTGACAGTCGGAATGTGTTTTCTAATCATGCAACCACGAAATATTTAACACGAGGTATTCCAAACGACAGTTACGGGTTTTATGATTATATCTATACAATCTAGGCCATCCATAAGCCTTTCAAGAATATTCTTCTTATCAGTTTTAATTTTTTTTAATCGAGAATACGTCAAAATATGTTTCGAATCGTAGTCGCCAGTTTGAAACTAGTGTCGTAAAGCTCAAGAAAGCTGCCTTCTGATTGGCTAATGTCCATTTCTTGTCGGTCATTTCATTGGTCGGTCAAAATTCGCGAAAGGTCGTTCTGACGTGATCCGTAATGGGATGTCCTCAGATCTTTGTTTAGCGGTAGCGAAAACTAAGATCTGATTTTAATGAGATTGCTAAAATAATAAATTATGCTATAGTTATGACCACAATTCCGAATTTAAGTTATGATCTCATTCGCCTGGACACCGAAATATCCCCATCAAGTTTGGTGGGGCGGGGAGGAAGCGAAGAACTTTGGGAAAAAATAATCTATACACGAAATTGCTTGGATGTATTAATTCGTCCTCGAATGTTACGAAGGAACATCTTCACTTTTCATACTGGATGTTCTGAGCTAAAATGGTAAGGTGTTGTTTTACCCAATGAGGAATCGAACCTGTGCTTCGTCGTGGTGAACGAAGGCTTTAACCACTTGGCTACCCCACCTCCTATAGGTTACTGAGCGCCATCGGGGTAACGAAGGAAAGAACACGGGAACTACAAAAGAAGACATGAACTTCCATATGTTCCCGGAAGATAGATATATTGTTGGTAAGGCGCGCATGCGCATTAGTGGTGAACACCCAATTCCAACACTTCACTCAGTGACATTTAAGCATTGACCGATATGCAAAACCGATATGCAAACTGTATGAATCCGCATAGCGGATTCTTACAAAAAATTGCACATCCGTGTTTCGATTCATACCTCAATGAACCGAAAAATATACACAGTCAATGCTTGTAATTATATTCGACAACCAAACACAGTTATTTATATCCAAGCAGACAAAAATGACGTGATTGATAAACATTCTAGGTGTAGGAATACATACTGTGGCGTGACATGAATCATGTGATTGTTTAATTTATGCACATAACTTGACACGCCCATAAAGTCAGTAGCCAATCAACGCAGAGTCGAGTCAAAACAAAGTTCACAGGACCTGTCAATCAAGGCAAGGGGCGAGAAGAACTGCAACAGTCAGACTGTAACGGGCCGAAATAAATATTTTCAGAAGGCGGCTGCTGCAAATTACATGGTCAGTTACCGCCAGATTCGAACTTTAGTTCGCTGAGAACGGGAAGACACAATTGGAAAAATACTAGTTAGAAATGAAACCCGAAGACATGAAAGTTGTGGAACCGAGGCGAGCGGGCAAAAAACAGGCGAGCGAGCCTGCACGTTTGCTGTTTCATTCCTTCTCGGCCTTCGATCTCAAAGGGTAGTTTGGACAATAAATATGCATGTATTTCGCTAAATGTCCTGTGCATGACCATACACGTGAGCAGAAAGGGAATGCCCTCGACTGTAATATTGGGATTCCCCGACATTCTGTTGTAATAAAAGTAGTCCGCTTCGGTGGACGTGGCTTAATTTTTTACATTCATTGTGAAATGAATGCAATAACTCGTGACCAATTCAGCTAATCAGAATGCAGGAATTTCAATGAACACAAGGAAAATTTAAATATAGGTTGTTGATCTGAACTGAACACAACAGTAACTGGTATTCAATAATAAGTCTCTTTATCAGCACCATACCCGTGCTCATGGGTTTCACCGAAGTGGTCAACGTCTGATACCTGCATCACTTCGGGCTTTCCTCCCACATTAAGCTGACAAGCTGCGATATAACTGGAATACTGTTCAAAGCGGCGTTAAACCCAACTCACTCATTCACTCACTTTATCATCTCAAACTGACCTCCACATGAGATATCGCTTGGGTGAGATAAATGGTTATCACAATACTTTGCAGACCATTGTGTCCTCATCGGTTTCCACTTTATAAACACAAGACGCTCCAGGGGACGGGGGAGGGGGAGTTTGGGGTCACGGTGACCTC